TTTCGCCAAAAGAAATTAGGCTAATGAATCATGTTACCTTTTGATTTTTTGTATCTTGCGGGCTGCTCTGCAAAAATGAGCTGTCACAGGGGCTTCTACACTACCTAGAGATTTGCAGTTTTGTGAGAACTCTCTGGGAGAGCTATTGTTATATTTATTAGTTGCTTTTCCACAAAGGTGAACTTCAAGCAACTTTAGAAACAAGCATTAGGAACAAGTGTAGAAACAAGAATGAAAGCAATGATAATATGTACAAAAGAGCAGATCCAGCTCGGCCCACTCCACAAAAAATTAGCAGAAAAATAATGCCCCAAAGACTGGCTTTTGCCTGGCATTAAAACAGTGATGTTGCCAGGCATGTTTCCCTGGAGAGAGCGTTCTCGAAATGGGGAGTCACCACTGAAAAAGGCCTGTTCCCATGTGACCACCTTCTTGCCTTTCCTGGAAGAGGGGTTAGTGGGGAAGGAGTACAAATCTCAGGACCTGGGTGGCAGCCTATTTTCTGCTTGGCTTAAGAGCAATAGCCGTCTGGTCTGCCCTCTGATGCCATTCACCAGGCCCCACACAAAGGCACCTGCATGTGGGGCTGAGCTTCAGGAAAGCTGCCAACTCAGGCTGGGACAGTTGTACAAAAGGTGGAGCATTGTTTCCACTGGCCTTTGAAACACTTGTTGTTGAGTGGTAATTTGTACTTGCAGTCTTAAAAGAAGAAGAATAAAGCCACCCATTTTGGCGTAAGTATCTAATAGTACAGTCTCCAGGTAGCACAGCATGACCCAGTTCTAGCTTTCTACTGAGAAAAAAATTCCGGTTTAAGTGGAATTAACTTCCAAGCACAACTGTAACTTGAGGACTTTGTCACCTTTCTGCTTTTTAAAATTGAAATTCTGAAGCCAAATGTGCAAATAATTTCACTATGAAGAGGAAGCAGTAATTAGTAGTGGAGTGTTTCAAATCCTTCCTATTGTGCATATGAATATTGTGTATATTATTGTGCATATTTTGCATAGGGAATCAGGCAACAGTCTTGTTTTCCCAAGTACAGTACAGATGAACCAGAAGTTACAAAAAGAAGAGAAGTCACATCAATCCTCTTTGTGGGTTTCTATAGCTGAAATTTGCTCTCTATACTAAATCCTAGAAAAGAAATATTGCCCCTGTATTTTGCAGGCAATAAGTATAGAGAGATTAACACGCCTGCGAATAACAATAATGCAAAACGTTTATGTAATTATTTATTTTTGGAGCTGATTTTACATCCTGAATTTGTCTTCTGTCAATGAGCTATACTTTCAGTTATACTAAGAACTGATGTAACAAAATTGCTTTAAAAAGGTGAAGCTGTTCACACTCTCCACACCACATGATAATATAATTTTATCAGCTGGTGTGGGGTGACTTCAGCCCTGCTTTCTGCAGGGATTGGCTGTGTGGTCAAGTTGTTCTCCATGGGGAAGTTGGTTGCACAGCCCATTCAGCCGCTTCTCCACTGTCCCTACACTTGATGCCACCTGTTATGTCAGGTGTAGGGCAGGCGGGTATAGTTTGGGGAAAACAGCCTTGTGGGCCAAGATGGGGTGGGCCTGGCTAAATGTGGCCCAGGACTGAAAGTTCCCCACTGCTTCTCTAAACCCCTCATAGTTTGTTCCCTCTAAATGTAAAAGCCCTTGGTTCTTTACTTTTTCCTCTTTGGGAAAGAGTGGCATAATAGTATTGCAATCCAATCCGTGGCCTGTTGACACTCCCTCCATGGGAGCATATCAGTCTGAATAGTGTCCAGTATTGTTCACTCTGGCTGGCAGAGGCCCTCCAAGGTCTCCAGACACGGGTCTTTCCCAGCCTTCCTTCCTGGGCCACCAGGGATTGAGCCTGGAACTTCCTACCTGCTCCATGCATGAGCTTGGCCACTGAGCCACGGCCATTGTGTTGCCTTGGACAAGTGCTGTGTGGCAGATGAAATCCCCAGTAAAGGACTAGTGTGAAAACAGCCAAGTCCTGTCCATTTCTGAAAGGGAAAGAGAGAAATAATAAATGTTCTCTGCACTGCTGTAATTTGTATAATTTGGTATTCTTGTGATCAGAATACTGAGTAGCAAAAAGATAACAGTGAAATGCTGCTAAAGATACAGTCTCTCATATATATATGGCAGATTATGTTTGTGAGTGTGTGTGTATGAGTGAGTGAGAGAAAGAGAATGAGAAGCTTTTCATTTATTGGAGTCATTCCTGGAAGTGTCTGATTTCTGCTACTGATTTTAGCAAATGGGGACTTGCTGGTTTGGCTATAAATTAATAATAAACTTTCTGTGATACCATTTACTGATGCGACCGTGCGTGTGGCAAGAACTTTAATTTTTTGTGGATAATCTTGGAAACATTGGTGCATCATGTATGGAGTGTGTTGTGTAGGTGATTATTTACATGGTGTGTAGCAAGCAGTGTCTGGTTAGGGAGCTGTGTGGAGGTAATAGAGGCCGGGGGCCAGTGCTGTCCGAAGACACTTCCGGGTCACGTGGCCAGCGTGACAAGCTGCATCTGGCGAGCCAGCGCAGCACACGGAAACGCCGTTTACCTTCCCGCTAGAAAGCGGTCCCTATTTATCTACTTGCACCCGGGGGTGCTTTCGAACTGCTAGGTTGGCAGGCGCTGGGACCGAGCAACAGGAGCGCACCACGCTGCGGGGATTCGAACCGCCGACCTGACGATCGGCAAGTCCTAGGCGCTGAGGTTTTACCCACAGCGCCACCCGCGTCCCTGTGGAGGTTATAGGAGAAGGCAAAAGCAGCATCTTAGGTTAGTGTGGTAGACTAGCAGACTGCAGCCTTTGGGATGGATGGGATTTCTAGGGAAATATCTGGAATTCCAAGTGGCTTAGAATAAAGCATGTCAGGCCTTGCATTCAACATCCCTGAATAGCTTCCATTCAGTTGAGGATGCAACTCAGGCCCCAGAGCTTTGAGGCTTGGCAGGTACAGTAGTTACACTGGGCCCCCGACTGCATGGCCCGCAGAGTCCAGGGCCCTTTTGTTAGCAGGAACTAGATTTTGAATTGGGAACTAATAATAATAGTTGAATTTACATACAGTGGTACCTCGGGTTAAGAACTTAATTCATTCTGGAGGTCTGTTCTTAACCTGAAACTGTTCTTAACCTGAAGCACCTCCTGCTGCCGCCACGCCGCTGCTGCACAATTTCTCTTCTCATCCTGAAGCAAAGTTCTTAACCCGAGGTAATATTTCTGGGTTAGCGGAGCCTGTAACCTGAAGCGTATGTAACCCGAGGTACCACTGTATTGCCCTATACCTGGAGGTTCACAGAACAAAATCAAAATATAAAACCACAAAAGCTGTAATCAAAATAAAAACAATCCAGTACCCCCTCCCAGGAGATATTTTAAAAGGGCATAGGATGTCAGTCAAATCTACCAAAGGCCAGGTTAAAAAGGAACGTTTTTGTCTGGTGCCTAAAGGTGTATAATGAAAGTGCCAGGCGAACTTCCCTGGGGAGAGCATTCCACAGACGGGGAGCCACTACAGAGAAGGCCTGTTCTTGTGTTGCCACCCTCCGGACCTCTCAAGGAGGAGGCACACAAAGAAGGGCCTCAGAAGATGATCTCAGGGTCTGGGTAGGTTGATATGGAAAGAGGCAGTCCTTGAGGTATTGTGGTCTGAGCTGTTTAAGGCTTTATAGGTCAAAGCCAGCACTTTGAATTGGGCCTGGAAACTAATTGGTAGTCAGTGCAGTCGGACCAGGATCAGTGATATATTCTCAAACCATCTTGCTCCAATGAGCAACCTGACCACTGAATTCTGCACTAGCAGAAGTTTTTGAACAATATTCAGAGGCAGCCCTACGTAGAACGCATTGCAGTAATCTAACCTTGAGGTTACCAGAGCATGGACAACAGTAGTTAGGCTATCCCTGTCCAGATAAGGACGTAGCTGGGCCACTAGCCAAAGCTGATGGAAGGCACTCCAGGCCACTGAGACCTCAGCCTCAAGCGACAGCAAAGGATCCAGGCGTACCCCCAAGCTATGAACCTGCCCCTTCAGAGGAAGTGTAACCCCATCAAGAGCAGGCAGCCTTCCAGCCCATCCAGTCTAGGGAACCACCCACTAACCGTGCCTCAGCCTGATCTGGATTGAGTTTAAGTTTGTTAGCTCTCATCCAGTCCATTATCAAGGCATTTCCACTGCCTCACCTGCAGATGTAAAGGAGAAATAGAGCTGAGTGTCATCAGCATACTGCCGACAATGTACTCCAAATCTCTGAATAACCCCACCCAGCAGTTTCATGTAGATGTTGAACAGCATAGGGGATAAGATTGAGCCCTGAGGAACTTCACGTTGAAGGTTCCACAGGACTGACCCTCAGGGAAATGACCACCCAAGTAGACCCAGAACCACTGCAAAGCAGTGCTACCCACCTCTAACTCAGACAGCTGCTCCAGTAGGATACCATGGTCAGCGATATCAAAAGCCACTGAGAGGTTGAGGAGAATTAACAGGGACACATTTCCCCTGTCTCTTTCTCGACAGAGGTCATCATACAGGGCGACCAAAGCAGTTTCTGTGCCAAAACCGGGCCTAAACCCTGATTGAAATGGATCCAGAAAATCGGTTTCTTCCAAAAGTGCCTGGATCTGGTCTGTGACTACTCACTCCAGACCCTTGCCCAGGAAAGGGAGAGTAGCAACTAGCCAGTAGTTAGTTGGATTTTCTGAGTCCAGGGAAGGTTTCTTAAGGAGTGGTTTTAGCACTGCCTCCTTCAAACAGGCAGGGACCACCCCTCTTGTAAAGAGGCATTGATCACCTCCCTGGCCCAGCCAGCTGTTCCCTCCCTGCTGGTTTTTATCAGCCAAGAGCAGCAGGGGTCTAGACAGCAAGTGGTCGCCCTGACTGATCCAAGCACCTTGTCCATATCGTTGAGGCTTACCTACTGAAACTCATCCAACCCAACAGGACTAGACTGTGCTCTGGACACCCCATGGGATTCATCTGCTATAACAGCAGAGTCAAGGTCTTGGTGGATGTAAGCGATGTTATCCTCAAAATGCTTTGCAGACAAGTCACAGAGAGCTACCGTTGGTTCTACCATCTCCCTTGGGCCAGCCTGGAAAAGGCCCTGTACAACCTGGAAAGGCTCTACCGGACGACATAATGAGGATGCCATGGAGGCAGTAAAGGAGGCCTTTTTTGCTGTCTTCCCTGCCACTAGGGAGGCTCAATAATGAGCTCTTACCAGTGTTCGGTTGCATTCATTTGGATCTTTCCTCCACTTGCATTCAAGCCGTCTCCCAGCTTGTTTCCTCACCCTAAGCTCTGGAGTAGACCAGGGGGCCAGTCGGGCTCCACAAAGTTGGTGAGAGTGCTCAGGGGCAAACATTCAGATGTTCCAGAGGTCCTAGAGCCATTTGGAATCCCACTGGATCCATCAGCCTCCAAGGGAGGACCTTCCTAATAGGTCCCCCATCTCTGCAGAGGGGAAAAGGTGCCAACAGCCTAAATCTCAATGGGCTTTAGGAACAGAATTTAGGAACATTCTTCCTTTCACTGAATAGCAATATTTAGAGTGCCTTCAGACTCACTGTTTTGCAGGAGGGATTCAAGTGCATGTTGGAACTTTAGACTTGAGCATTTAAAGTGAGTTAAGTGTCCTGTCACCCTAGTGCAATAAATCCATGGGATGACCAGGGATGGGGAGCCACAATTTTTTTTGCAGTTTGCAAAGTGGCAGGGAAGTTCATTGAAAATGTGGGATGAACAATTATGGGAAGATGTGTAAACACCCTGGAAAACAATGAAATTTGGGTATGCAAACAGCAGCTTGAAATACAGTAAAGCCTTTGCCCCCCACCCACCTGCCCACTGCACTTTGCAGTGCTGTCCTCATCAGAGAGGGGTGTGAGGGCTTCTTCAGCTGACACATAAGACCTTTTGGGTTTCCCTTCCCCTGCAACCCACCCTTAGTCAGGAAGCTGTCATCTGCTCTGACTGTCTCAAACCTGGTTCAGGTACAAAGTGAATGCAGCTTATATTTTTTAGTTGGATTGTAGCTGGGTTGAGGAAAAATGCATCTAAAGCCAGATTTTCCTCAAGAAACTACAGGATGGATATGGATTGTGGCTAACATCATATGTATGCAGTTTCAAAAACTAGAAGAGGGAGCACACTGGATGTGGAGTAGGCAATCATGTGTGTATACCCTTAGGCTCTGTAAGGAGTGAGTGAACAAACATACATGCCTCACATTCCAGACTAAATCATGAGTGGGCATAACCCTTAACATCATATTTTGTACTTATTTCGATAACAACACATTTCTAAATGGTTTAATGGTTGCATATTTATGGTGTAGGATCCCAACTATCTTTGGCAGGCAAACTTTTAAGACTTCACTGCTCCAGAGCAGTTGCTTCCCTGACCCTGAACTTGCCCCACTGACGGATGCACAGACTCTGGAAGCCATGCCCTCCGCAGACACGGGCGGCAGATCTGCCTCCACCCATTTTGTATGTGTTGAGGATAAGGATCCCAAGAATGGGCACTGGGTTCATATTCCCATGAAATCATAAATGAAACACGATCCCTTTAAGAGAGTTGATTCCCATTAAATCTGTGCTGCTGCTGCCGCCGCCGTAGCTTCTGGCAAAGCGACCCTCTCCTGCACCTCCCTGGTTCTCAGCTGTATAAAATTGAGGTCACTAGGAGCTCAGTTTCAGAACAAGTGAGTGAGAGCTGGTGAATGCTACTTGCACACTGCTTCTCAGGAAGGCTGTGGGGGCTTAGAGGCAGCAGTGAAGCCATGAAGGAGCTGGTGACTTGGTTGCTCTCAGCTTGGATGGTATGGGAAGCAGTTGGGAGCACTGCACGCCTCCACAAAGCAAACAACCAGGATGGCAGATGCATCTATTCTTTCACAGTCCCCAGTGCAAATGAAGCCAGCTGCACTGACCCTGGGGAAGTGATGGCCATTATCAGGGATCTCCAGAGGGAAAGCAACAGCCAGCACCTGGAACTGGAGTCCTCCAAAGCAAGGCTCAGTCTCCTGGAGACCCTGGTCAGCCAGCTGCATGGAAACCAAGCAGCAAGGAGTTCCTCCTCCTCTGTGGTGAGTTTGCTTCAAAAAGAGGTAGAGAGTCTGAAGAGAGAACAAGCCCAGAGGGACACACAGGTCAGCAGGTTGGAGTACACCATCAGCAACCTGCTCCAAGACAAGTCTGACTTGCAAGAGGATAAGAAGTGGCTGGAGGAAGAGAGGAATGAGCTGGGAAGGAGGTTGGAGAACACCATGCGGGAGGTGGAGCGGCTGAGAGCGAGCCAATGTCCCCAGGCTGGAGAGGCACCCAGCAGGGACTCCCTTCAAGGTACTGTAGAAATTAAAGCCCCCCCCCCCCCGCTCAGTCACCCTTTTTTCCTAAATCAAAATGCATTTCCTCATAGGAAGGAAGGAAGCTTCAAACCCTTCGTAATTTTAATTGACCTTTCCCAACTGCAGTGGGATGCCATTTTGTGAGCTGGAGGGGAGGGGAGGTAACCAGGCCTGCCTAGCCTCAATAGCATTTCAGCTGAGGTTTTTATGGCATGTTGTTTTGTGTTCAATCTGTTTCTCAACTCTTCCTGAGCCTCTGCAGTCAGACCTCCTGGTCTAGTCCTGGATGGAGTATGTTTACTGCAATGACAAACATCTATACAAAATGTGAGTGATGGTTACTTAGAGATGAGAAATCGTGGGGCCTAGGTGCTTCTTGCCTGTCCCTGGCACAGAGCCAGGCCCTTCCCACTTGTCTCCACTTCTTTCAACAGACGAAATGCCAGGCAGCATCAATGAACATTCCCATCTCATGAATGGAATAGCAGCAGCCCCAGGCATGAAAGGCTTCCTGCAAGCAGCGTGTCACCCTGTTGGTGCTGCTAAATGCCCTGTGATTTGCAGAAAGGCCCTTCCCATTGAGACATGTTCCCCCAGTGGTGGAGTAATCCACGGGTGACCTCAAGAAGGTATCTGAATGAGGCTAAATGCTTCTCACGGGCCTCTTTCCAGGTTTGCTTAGCACAGAGCTGCTTAGCACAAGGCTGGGCTTTTGACAAGCCTTGCCTCATTGCCCCATCACAGGGTGGCAGAAATAGGGGGGGGGGTGGGGGTGGAATGAATATAGAAGCTGGGATCTGGTGTCTGTCAGGGAGTATTTTTAGAGTGGGATGCCTCTGGAGCAAAAGTAGAGCATCATTAGCATTTCAGGACATATCAGTCAGCAAGCTGGAAAATAATTATGCTACTCACGAGGAGCAGTTTCCATCAAGGTAGTGGGGGGGGGGGTCAGGCCAAAAAGCTTATGTCTCCTTAGAGGAAGGGTACCTGAGATTAGGAGACTTGCCAATGACTACAGAAAGAAAAGAGATGCTCAGCTAGCCTTTTTGTTTGGTTCTGGGGGTAGTTTCCAGAAAAGCAGGTAGCTCAGTAAGACACAATTTCAGGGTTGTGGCTTTGAGCCCACATTGCAGGGGGGTTAGACTAGTGGACCCTTGTGATCCCTTCCAATGCTACACTTCTATTTTTTTCTTTTTATTTGGGGTCAGGGGGATAACTGAAATGACAATGAAACCACTGGAACTTCAACCAATGCTGGTTTTGTTTAATTGAAGTCAAAAATGAATGAAATCTCTAATAAGGGATTTATTAATAGCAGGAAAAAATTGCAAGGGGGCACAAAGACACAAGAGGGAGGGAGGGAGGGAGGGAGAAAGAGAGAAAGAGAGAAGGAGATGAAGTACATCTGAGCGCATTTGGAGAGTGGCTGGTATCCAATGCCCTCACTATATGAGCGCAAGGATTTATGCATGAACAAAAAAATTAATGCTATGTTGGACACAAGCTTAAAATTTCATCAACACCGGGTGGCCTTTCTGAGCTTCCACATTTTGGGAAGCAGCAAGGCTTCACCTCTCCTTTTTCTTACCTTGGCAGTAAGAAATAAATTGGTTGCTTTAACCCACTGCCAGTCCCTTAAAAGCGGAGAAAGACGGCTTTAAATGAAAGTGGCCAAGGGAAGTGGTAGGACACCACCTGTTTGATTCAATGCCTCACAAATCAGAAGCAATGTTCGGTAAATAGCTGACATAATTTAATCTCCCCTGGAATAACTTCAGTGACCCCCAAGGACTTTTGACTGCTCAGAGAACTTCTCTTCCCTTCTCTCTCCTCTCCTCCCCCAGCCCTGTAGGCCTATAGTTGGAGGGGGGCTTAGGGGGGCTGCTCCCCTAAATTTTCTCTTCGTTTCCTATATTCTGTGCACGCAATGTTATCATCAGGAAAGCCTTTGTTTCAAAGCTCCTTCATGGCAGACGACTCCTTTCTGTCCCCTTGGCCTTCAGGGTGTTCATTTTTCTTCTTGCCCTCTCCTTCCCTGCTTTCCTCTGCAGAGTCCAAGGGGAACACGGACACTCTGGACTACCAAGAGCTCAAATCGGAGCTGGTGGAGGTTCCTGCATCCCGCCTCCTTCAGGGAAGCCCCTTGCCTGGCCTCCCCAGCGCAGAGGGGGGAGAATCAGGTACAGAGCTCTCTGGGGCAGGGGCTGCTTTCCCTGGCTTTGCTCAATGCTGCTCCTGCCCTTCTTTGTAGCACACAAGTGAAAGAATCTTGCCCAAAAGACCTTGTTTGGGACAGCCTCCCTTTCAGCCAGCTTTCCACCAGTCCAAAGTGAAACTCTCCCTTGTCAGTTTGCCCCTTCAGAAGTGCCAGCTAGTCCTGAAAAATCACCTCTGACTGCCAGACTCCCATATATTACCTGTTTCCTTCCTTTATAAACAAACCTGGCCTGTTTTTTCTCCCTTCCACTCCCCACCACCCATATCACGAAATGGTTTATTCCAAAGCAACTGTATAAAGCACGTGTGGAACACTACATGGAAACCCAAAATCAGAGTGAGCATCTACTTTGAGTCTCCTTAGAAAGTTGGAGAACACATAGCCAGAAAATAATTGTGGCTATTCTTCATCAGAACGAAATGTTGAAATGTTACACCCATTTAAGAACAAGAAAGCTGATATACAAAGTCCCAAACCATTTTTTTGTGGGGGAAGTGGAAGCAAAATTAAAGGATATTCACTAAATTAGAGGCAGCCACTTCCAACTGACACCACTACAAATTTATTCAGAACTTTTAAAATGAAAAGGTTTTTGATTTTGAGACACAGCTTTCTCATGCAGTTTCAAAACCTAGGGGAACTTATCTCTTATTCTTCATTCTCTATCCCATTGCTAAGTAGAATAATCAGTGGCAAGAGGCAGAAATTCCCAGATTCAGCCTTTCCCATCACTCTAATTATTATTTTTTGTATTTTTGGGAATTTATATCCAGGCTTTTGCATACATTTTTAAGTAGCAGGAATGAGAAAGAGGCCTTGGAAAGCTGCTGGCCGTGAAAGTAGATTTTTAAAAAACAAACAAACCAGTATTTGTTTTAATGATGTTTAAGCATGGAGATTATTGAAATATTAAGCCATTTAATAGATAACCCACCCAGGTTGGTCTAAGGCAGGGGTCTGCAACCTGCGGCTCCAGAGCCGCATGTGGCTCTTTTACACCTTTGCCGCGGCTCCGGGGCGATTACTAGCGAGGGGAGGAGGTGCATTGTGCGCCCCGACACTCCCCACTGTGGCAGGCACTGTACTGGTTGTGATGTCGCATGCGGGTGGTGCGTGCGTTAGTCACGCATCGTCCCGACGTCACCTTCCCGGTTTTGCGGCTCCCAGTTTTTTTTCCCTTCGGAAATGGGTCCAAGTGGCTCTTTTTGTCTTAAAGGTTGCAGACCCCTGGTCTAAGGCAACTATAGACATCCATTCATGCTCTCCACTGGTAAAAAGATGACTGCCTTCCAAGTTAGAGTGATCACCTGTGGATGCCGTCTGGTACAGAGGCACAGCCAGAGGTTGGCAAAATGCTCTCTCTGTGGGTCTGGCCCTCACATTTGACCCGGAAGCTTCAGTTGGGGCAGAATTATTCAGCCCAATTACCAAGAGGAGTGAGGCCTTGTCAGCATAACACCAACTGGCTCAGAGCTCTGCACTGGTTGCCGATTTGCTGCTGGGCCAAGTTCAAGGTATTATTAGCATATAAAGCCCTTGAATGCTAAGGGAGCAGTTTACCCACGAGATTAACTTCCCCCACATGCTCCCACTTGACGGCTTCGATCAGTGGAATTGACACGTAGCACCTCTTCCCCATTGGTAAGAATGTGATTGTTGAGTGTGGCAGCGCCTCCACTTTGGAACCCCCTTCCTACAACATTCCTGTTAGCGAAGCCTGCTCAGATGTTTAGAAAGTTGAGGTAATTTTAATCTGTTTTAGTGTTTTAACTTTTGTATGATTTAAAGTAGGGTTGTAAGCTTCCTTGATTTTTTATTTACAATCAAGTGGTGTATAGATTTTATGAAGCAAGCAAACAAATGTATAAAATGCCTTTGGATTGGGGCACACTGTAAAATAGCATATTTGAAGAGTAGTCCCCCCCCCCATCTCAAGTTCAAATTCTGCCGTGGGGTGAAGTAACTGGCTTACTTATTTCCTGGAACAGGCTGTGGAGTGCTCATATCGGTTGATGAACCAGTGACCTTCCGCAGGGCAGAGACCATTGCTGGCAAGTATGGCGTGTGGATGAGGGACCCAGAACCCATCTCTCCCTACAGCCGAGAGACAACTTGGAGAGTTGATACCGTTGGTTCGGATGTCCGCCAAGTCTTTGAGTACAACAATGTGGATCAGTTCACCAAAGGCCACCCTTCCAAAGTACATGTGCTGCCCCGATCCATGGAGAGCACTGGAGCTGTTGTTTATCGGGGTTCCCTCTACTTTCAGATGCGCAAGTCTAGAATAATGGCAAAATATGACCTGAAGACAGAAGTTATTACGGTCCAAAAGGAGCTACCCAATGCTGGCTACCACGGACAGTTTCCCTACTCATGGGGTGGATATACAGACATTGACTTTGCAGTTGATGAGATGGGGCTGTGGGTAATTTACAGCACTGAAAACGTAAAGGGGGCCATTGTGTTTTCTAAACTGGACCCAGAGACCATAGAGATTGAACAAACATGGGAAACCAACATCCGCAAGCAGTCAGTGGCAAACGCCTTCATGATTTGTGGCTCCTTGTACACCATCAGCAGCTACTCATCCCCTGAGGCCACTGTGAATTTCATCTACTCCACTAAGACAGGAACGAGTGCACCACTGAACATCCGCTTTGAGAACCGCTACAGATACAGCAGCATGGTAGATTACAACCCCACAGAAAGAAAACTCTTGGCTTGGGACAACTTCAATATGGTTGCCTATGATATCAAGCTTTCCAAGATGTGATCTACTTGGGGAGAGTGGGAAGATGCCACCTGCCAGCGAGGCTTATTTCCAAGGGAAGCTTGGAGCAGGAAGTCCACATAGCCACCATTACTTGGACTAGTTGCAATATGGGGCACACAAATCATGCCAAAGTTCTCCTGACCAAGCTCTACTGAGGGAACAGGAGCTGTGTGTAAGCTCACCCCTGTGCTTAGTGGCTGTGCTCTTGTGCAGCTGCTCTGCATTTCAGTGGAGTTTAGGAAGGAGAACTTCCCATGGATTGTACCCCAGTTCACTGCCCTTAATGGGCAGCCACTGCCATTTGCTCCAAATGTCTCTGCACAGTGTAGTCTTTCCTAATTAGACCTGGAACACAAATGCATGCAGCCTTCAAAATGACAGACTCTTCTCTTTGTTATAAGTCATTGCTTCTGGAGCTCTTTTCTTAGTCTGGCCATAGGATTCAGCACTGTTGGTTGACAAGTAGGACTGAAGTAATCTCTCTCTCTCTTTTTAAAGATATTTATTAAGATTTTTAAAGTATTACAAAATGAAAAAAGAAAAAAGAAAAATACAAAATAAAAATCTGAAGTAATCTCTTTTGCTCTCTTCTGTGGACCTGACAATGGTGCATTCATTACATAAGTGTAAAGTTGCCGTTCTTATATTTGGCTTCATTGTAAAGCCCAGCTTGCCCATAACAGCCTGGTGGCTGCCTCTTCATTGCAGAGAACGTAGCACCACTTTGTGGTGGGGAAGGGGCTGCTTAACCCTTTCTCGCCCACTTCTTTTTGCCTGAAGCTTGTCTTAAACTGCTTCCTCCTGGCAGGTCAAAGTTCCAGGTTGAAGTTTTCTGTGTGTGTTAGAAACAAACAGGGGTCCAGTGTACTGGTGTAGTAAAAGCAATTGAGAGACATTTCAGAGGAGTAGAATTTGTCAGAATTATAAATCTAAGAAGTGCAGTAAGTGAATAAAAATTCAGAACAGTCCCTGCCTGCAGGCTTGCCGTCTAAATTCCATTTAGGCTTTGCAAGGTCTGTTGAGGCTGGAGAACCTGTGACCCTCTAGATGCTTTTGGACATGCAGCTCCTATCATCCCTGATGGTCAGGGCTTGGGACAGGAAGAGGTCAGCAACAAAACAATAAATCATCCGAGGCCAGTGAAGGAAACAAAGCACAGCTCTTGCCCAGTGGTCTCGGCAACTCTTTCTAGGAGGTCAGTTGCGAGGACTGAAGGTCCCTGCCTTCCCAGTGCCCACCAGGACTTCTCATCTCCAGGGTCTTTCCCACACAATGTCAGGCTGCATCTGCGCACCACGGCACCTCTCCTCTGCCTCTTTCATTTCTCTGTGTGTTCTCAGATACCAGGGGTGAAGGGAGCTGGTTGCAGCAGCAGCAGGAGGAGGAGACTCCTGTATGGAAGTCAATAAACAATTAACCCTCCAACCAGTCTTATCGGTGCAGTCATTTCTTTTCTGCAATGTTTCTTGAGGCACTCTATTTTGCTATACAGCCCTTTCCCCAAAAAACTAACGGGGTGTGCCTGGCACTGCCTGGGACTTTTTAGAAACAACAAAAAAGGTTCTTTTTAAATGGATAGTACAATTTGTGGTTTGAGACCCATAACAACAAAAATTGGGTGAAGTCACACCAAACTCACATTTCAGCCTGCAATATTAATTCAGAATGGCTCTTGGCATCCAGACATCAACATAGACACCTCCACCCCAACCTCAGGAACCCTCATGCTGAGTTTGGCAATGATAACTAGAGTGCCAGTTGAACCTATGTCAAAAAATGTGCCAAGTCATGCCAAAGTGATGTTTTGGTTTGCCATCTTCATTCAAAGTCATGCCTAGCATCCAAATAATGACATAGTTTGACATCCCACCTTGGGAACTATTGCGTCAAATTTGGTGATGATATCCTAAGAGGTGTCTGAACGTATAGGGACCAAGCAAAAGGACAGACAAATCACTGAACTCTGTGGTGTATGTATGCTGTGAGTTGTACTTGCTTTGCATTTGAAGCCTGCCGGGGATCTGGTGGAAGCCTGTACTTGATGTATATAGTGAAACTGCCTTAATGCTTTGGACCTGTCAGTAAAGGACGGAACTGAGTGAAAAGTTGGAGTCTGACTGTATTTCTTCCAGCACAAGATGCACTGCCATGAACCTACACGCTTGGAGGACTGCACACGTTTGGCACATGCCATATGTCAACAGTGTGCACTCTAAAGCCTGCTCTTGCCACTCTCTTGATACTCTGGCAGTTACTGTGCTGCTGTCCTGCATTTGACTTAACTAAGTGTCCCTATGAAGACAGGAATGTTGTCTTCTTTGTGCCACATCACAGGTTTTGAAAGAAGCAGCTCCTTTCTACTAGGGGTGATGAGAGTTTTTGCCATTTGTCCTTCTACTCATCTGCCCACACCATGTATTTACCACTCACCTCCAACCCCTGATCTGCCTGGCAGCACCTATTTGCTCCTAGGCTCTTCTAAATCTCAGCATTCTCACTGCCCTAGGATATCTGACGCTCCTTTAATACCTATAGCAAGAGAGCATCAATATGCTTTTGTTCTGATGGAATTAACCTGGCAACGCCTTCATAAAAACTAAGAGGGCTTATTACACAAGCGTGACATCATCAAGGACTCCTACTTATCCAATCAGATTGAAACACTGATGACAAATCCACACATAATGGATCAGGATGGACACCAGGCCTGCTCTGAAGCATCTCTGCTGAGGTTAATAGAATTTAACATCTGAACTACAGTGACGTGACGTGATGGTGGATTTAAAGGGCACCCAACAACAGTCCACCTGTGACAGAATTTTGACACTGCAGTGAGTTGGGGGTCAATTTGCATTTGTTTTAGGGGTGCCATATTTCAAAAAGTGAAAATCCGAACACTAAAGTTGTTGGCCTTTTTTGGGGTGTGTGTGTTGCAAAGCTGTTGAGCTTTGACTACAGTAAAGTGGTTCAGTCACGCAGCCTTCTGTTTAGTTTCTCTCTCTTTGTGTGTGCAATGTGTTTGACCAAAGGCCCCATGGAAACAAGTTTTGAAGAGGGATTTGAAGGAAGAGAACAAGGGGACTTCTAGGCACAAGGGACAAAAGATCCTTGCAGATGTCTCCGGATGGAGCTGGATAAATTGTTTTGGATGAGAGGATATGGAGAAAGGGGCAAGGGGCAATTCCAGGGAGGGTTCTGAATACAAGGATGTGTCTGTACTGTGCCTGGTTTGAGAGATACCCTCAGCAGAAAGGCAACTGGACGTGAGAACTGTATCCTACTCTGATTTGCTGTCTTTGGAGCAGGTGTTTTCTACTTACAGCAGTTAAGCATGTCTTTATTTACAGTAATCATAATCATCCATTTTAGGTTCTAAACTTCATTTAACAGGCAGATATGCCTATACTGTGAGAGAAGGCTGCAGATTTGGGATGCCCTGAAATGGTCGAAATCACCCTGAGAGTCAGAGCCATGGCCATGGCCTGCCAGAAGGAATCCTGTGCAGGTCTCCAGAAGCAGGGGCCACGCAGTGCAGGTTTACTTAGGTAGACTTAGGAGAGGCAGTCTGGCACAGCAGAGGACAGGCTCTGCACTGATGAAACAGGGGTTCAAATTCTGGGCTAGCTTGGCCAAATTTTAGTTAGTACCCAATCTGTAAAGTGAATTGACTAGAGTATTTGTGAGTGCAAATTCCAATAAGATAATTACTATATACACACAAAATCTATAGAAATTGCTATAAAAACTAGCATGTGACTGTTCAGTACGCCAAACTGGGCAGGGTGCCTTGGCACTGGCCTAACTCAAGTAACACTTGTGTTTTGGCAAAGCAGCTAAGCTCAAGTTCCAGCCGCTTGAATGACTCGTTTCCCACTCCACAGGTCAGGCATCAATGGACTATCACCCAGCAGCACAGAGGGATGGATGTGAGATGTTTTTGCATGGCTCCATTAAGTCCCTGCTTTTCAGATGCCTCTCCTGCTTCCCCCAGAAATGTCCACAACTCATCCCCTCCTGAGCCAGGGGGACAACCCTGCAGATGCCAATGCCACTCTGCAACATTTCGCCAAGGTCTTCCATGCTGTCTCAGACAGGGCTGCATGCAGCAGCTCTCAGACAACTGGGTATTTTCCACCAATGACCAGAGCCTCATTAACCCAAGCTCCCCAGCCTGTGCACGAAGAAGTCGAAACATCACCTGTCCCGAAAGATGTATCTGTTCTCCCCCATTGTGGCTTACATGCCAGATAGATGGGAGTGGCACACCACCTCTTGTAGGCAGCTGGGCTGCGCACTCCAAAGACCCTGTGTGCAAAGCAACTGATCTAGCAGAGCATCAGCCGACACATGGAAGCTGCGCTGTCTACTCCCTTGATACAAGAAGTACCACATGCCAACATGGATGCTGTGCTCCTTCTCTTCCAATGCATTATGTCATTTACTCATCACCTGTTTCCTCGAGCCATTTGCAAAATGAAGGTGGCCACCGATTCTCTAATAATGTGCCACCAGTTCTTGTTGCTGTGTATCCAAGGGAACAAGGTTCCCCACCTCATGTGGAACAGCTAGCCCAAATTGACCGGACTCCCACACCTGCTATTCCAGACAGCTACCTTGCCTTTTCTGGGCAATAGGAATGTGTGCCAAGTTTGAACAGGGCTGGCGTTTCCAGGGCATCATAAATTAATGGTCATTGCATTAGACCTCTTTCTTGGTCTTTTCATATTTCCTTCCTCTCTCTTCATGTGACCTTGGCTTTTGTCATGCCTCTCTTTTGCTTTGTATGTCTGAGCAACATCGCTGCAGAGATGGATTCTGGAGCTGCAGAATGCACCTCCTCTTACAATATAGGTGGGTGAGCTGACTTGCAATAGTGATTTCTTACAGCATTTATCATGGATAAATTTGCTGATCTAGCTATTCTGCAGTACTCTCGAGTAACTGCAAATTAGTGCAAGTTGTTGTGAGTTAAGAACCACTATTTTTAATCAATATGTTGAGGACTGGTATTCTGGCTTTTTTATGGACCACATTTCATAACTTTACATCAAACAGGAAAGAACCTGAAAGGCTTCTAAATTAAAACTGAAATGCTATTTGTTCCTGGTGGCCAAAAGCCAAACGAACGTTGTACAGCCTGAGGTTTCTTTGTGCAGCAACCACAAGCTGCTTTTCCAACTTAAAAGAGCCCAAGAACACATCTAACAACTCTAGCTGAAGAGTTCGATCTTGAAAGAGATGAGTAACTTCCATCTTCAGCAGTTTCCCCTTATTGTTTTTATCTCAGTCTGAAATTGTACTAAACTGCTCGGTTTGTATCTAACTAGCACATTATAACTCTGATACATTAAAGAAGGTGCCAGGTGCTGCTTTCAACCCAAACTCCTATTCTAGGTAGCCAAGCAACACTTCCAACTTTAGCACCTGAAATGCAGATTTAACACTCAGAAGCAACCAGAGAATGCCAGCTGCCCTGGGTCCTAGTTAGTTTCCAAGCCTCAATTCAGGGTGCCGGTTTTAATCTTTAAAGCGTTTTTGGCTTGGGGTTAGGGGACCCGAAGGGGTACTTGTCTCCATATGAACCTGATGGTGTTCTAAGTTCTTCAATAGAGGCCATTCTTTAAGTGTCAACATTAAAGGTGAGGTGGGTGGCAAAGCATGACATTCCCAGACACTTTATGTAGAGAATATTTTTTATTAGTTTCTGTAATCAAACCCATGTAAATAAGACCTTACATATTTAATACAGTGTTACCCCTGTACAAATGAAAAAAAAGTTTAAACATTTCTAGACCAATATGGCTGTTAATTTCTGTACAATGCCAACTCACAGTACAAGTGGATATCTTTCCCCCAAAGCTGACATCACAGCTAAGTTTCCAAAAATTCAAATTATAATATTTATATAAAAAGATAACCAATAGCATTTCACTAGGCATCAATAGCAGCAACAGACTTTTCCAGCTTCTGCTGTCATCTGAACAAAATTATACACATTAGACTTTTAGCTCACTCTTCGTTCCAAAAAAATGTTGGGAAGGGGAAGAAGAAATTCTCAGAGAAAACAGTCAATTCTGCAATTGCTATGGTACGTGGTGCTCTCTTATTAACTTCCAATCATTGCCTGAAAAAGTCTTCAGTAACGTCATTAAAACAGCTCTACTATAGCACAGTCACAACTACATATAAGCAGGTATGGAGTATTTTACATTCACAGAAGTTATCATACAGTACTCTCCTACAGCTATACTACTAGAAGGATACAATTAAGAAGGCATTATTTGACTTGATTCTATTTCCCAGCACACAGTGAGCAGGAAGGAGTAGCTTTGATATAAGAATGCATTGTTTCAGAGGATGCTGTCTTGCAGCAGGTTACGTGCTTGTTGCTCTATACAGACATAAGCTGAAAACAGTTTGAAGGCCAAAGGATTGCTTCCCCCAAGTACTACTGAGCCAGAGCTCAATGTGACTGGCAATACAACTCCTAAATGGGAGTATTCTAAACTCTGCACTTTTGGTATGAACATGGGAGTCAATTCGCATCTTCCCCAGTTAATTCAGCACCATATCAAACCATAGCAGCAGCTATAGCCTGCCTTTTAGGGATATCTGATGTAGAGCATCACAGAATGAAGTGTGTGTTGGTGGGGAAAGTGAGGAAGGCTGAGGGTAAGTTGCTCTGTGTGACTTCTCAATTGCCTTAAATTCTCTTGTTTCATTATTAAATAACAGCATCCTCTTAGGACCCTGAGCAACATAAAACCGATTTCATTTCTGTCCAGCATAGCCTTCTTCAATCTGCCTTTCTTTTCAAAATGAAACAGCAAACAGAAGAGCATTTACCACTGGTTAATAACATGCTTCAGCAGCATTATTTTTCATTTTGCATCCTCAGAAAAACAGGTGCCCCTATACAGACAGATTACGCTCAATTCATGTGGTGGCCTGGAAGCTACAAGCCCCAAGATCTCCAGACCTTTAAAGCATGTTACCATTCATGTCTGCCAAGGCTAATTAGCAACTGTGTCTATTTATGCCATTCACAGCCTTGAAGGGACATGCTTTGCCCTTTGAATAAAGGTTTTGCCAGTGGCATTTCACTCCCCAATTGAAAGAAATGGGCACAACACTTAGGATTTTGTTTCCTCTGTCTTGATAGCCTGAGGTTTGATTGGTCCAGTTCTAACAGGCTTGGGGGCTGTTGTGGGTGCAGGGCTTGGTTTCTCCGCCACTTTGTCCTGACATACTCCTGGGGAGGAGTCTGCCATTGCCTCAGCCGCTTTACTCCCACCGTCACTCACTTTCTGCATTTTGCTTCCAGGTGGCTTGGCCTGCTGCTGTTCAGAGAAGAATCTCTGTGTTGACTGAAGGACTTCTGCTCTCTGCTTTGCCTTAATAAGAAAGAAAGTGGGTTAAATAAGAGCACAGGCCTGAAAGAAACTACTTATTCTGTGTGTTCAGGATCTGAGGGATTCAAAGTTCTCCTGGTAGTGCCTACAATAGTAACTCACACACCTTGAAATTTCTTCCACAACGTAGTTTGAATGCCAAGACAAAATCACTTCTTTTCATGCTTGGCATTTTGAATTTCTCTGGAGATCCAGTGAACCTGCAGTTCTCCAGATGTTGCTAGTTGTTGTCACTCAGCTCCCTAACCTGGAGCCTACTAGTAGTACTACAGGAATTAAACAGAGCCGGAGTGACATTTAGGTCAGTCCCCTTGCGCAAGCCATGACCATGCTTCTTCCTCTCAAACACATTCCAGTTTGTGGTAAGCAGAAAGGCTACAAACACCACCAAGGTCAAGGCCAAAAACGCAATAAAGCATACACTGTATTCCCACCTTTTTATGAAGTCAACCTAAAGGCTACAGTGCCAAAAACATGTCATCAAAATTTATACAAGCATGTGGTAAGAATGGAATGTGACCTGTACAAAGATTAAAAGCAAGGAGACAGAAGTATAAAAGTATAGCTTTGCATACAAGTCAAAAACTTCAGATGCTGACTTCATAAACTATAAATAATAGTAGCATGTCAGCATGTGTAAAAACTCAGTGCAATCAAGAAAATAATCAATATTCTTCAGTGAAGTTCTATAGACCCTTCAAATGCCAAACATGTTTTGGCTTGGTCAGATTTCCTCAGTGGCAGATGTTCTTGTACAGAAGTTCTACCGTATTTCTGAGTCTAACGTGCTATTGAATTGAATGCGCACCTCAATTTTCAAAACCTTGAAACCAAAAAAAGGTATTTGCTCACGAATTTAATGTGCATCAGCAAAACGTGCACTCTTTACAACAATTTGGACTCTTTATAACAAGAAGACAAAGCTGAAAATGAATGAACAAACAGCAGCTAAAATCTTATGTTCATTTTTCATATGGTCTCGTCCACATCAGAAGACCGAAAAAGCAAAGCCATGCTTCCCCTGCCTGCCCTCCTCATACTCTTCTTCTTCTTCTTCTTCTTCTTCTTCTTCTTCTTCTTCTTCTTCTTCTTCTTCTTCTTCTTCTTCTTTTCTTCTTCTTCTTTTCTTCTTCTTCTTCTTCTCTCTCTCTCTCTCTCTCTCTCTCTCTCTCTCACACACACACACACACACACACACACTCTCTCTCTCACACTTCTTTTTTTGGTTTGAGGCTAGGAGTGCAAGGAGGGAAGTCTGCGTGTGAGAGAAGGCTACTGTTGGCCACAGCCGCTTGCAGCTCATGACGCTCTGAGCAAGCAGGAGGCTGCCGAAAGAGGAAGCAGGAAATCTGGTGGCGGGCCAGTTTCGTCTGACAAGAGGGAGGGAGGGAGAAGGTGGCCGCGGTGGCAGCAGCAGGGGGTGAGAGGGTCTTGGGGCACCTTGGCAGCAACCACAATGTCTGAGGATCAGGCGCCTACCATTGGCATCCCACTGCTGCCTCTTCCGTGCGAGCAGCCCTCTACTGCTAGGGCTCAAGAGTCACTGGCTCGCAAGAAAAACACAGGAGAAAGTGGCTTGGTGCCAGTGGACTTTGGGTAGCAGGGGGGAACACAAGCCTCCTGGAGGAAGTCAAGCTGCAGAAGGCTGATGGCCTGCAAAACTACCCTATTTACTTGGATGTAATGCGCCACAGAAACTAATGCACACCCTAATTTTTGCAACGCAATTTGGCCAAAAAAGGTGGGTATTAGATTTGAGTAAATACGGTATATGCATGAGCTCAATGTATCACACTTGTTGCTATCTTCCATCTGCAAAAATTTGCAACATCTTTTTCACAGGAGTAACATTTGATTATTGGGCTGCACATTGTAATATTTGTGATTTTGCAAGGGTCAAAATCCATTTTTCTCACATGCTTGTATAAATATTGCAAACACTTTCTTGGAACTGTAGCCACTAGGCTGACTTTACTAAAAGGTAGAAAATTTAAATATACCGTTTGAGTTTAAAGAGAAGTCAGAATTACAAGCAAACCGCCTGAGAAGAATTATTATAATACCATCAGGGCTTGCCAAGAGGAAAGTCTCTTCTCATACCCTTCCACCCAAAGGTTGTGTGATTAAGCTGCAGTTAGTCACAAGCACCATAAAAAATTCTGCACATAATTTTACTCAAGAGAAAAGGATTCTGCTTCCATGAAACAGGCATCCAGTTCATTGTATAGACCCGGAAATTAAGGAGAAGAAGGGGTGGTATGGGGGACAACAACTGAAAGTGCCATTTCCTCTTCACAATTCAACTGTGTATTTCCACAATTTTTCAAAATGGGATACGGGATTCCTGAGCACTATCATCGGAAATGGTAACTGGAATTGAAAAAGCATGCATGCCTGTAACAATTCAAAGTATCTTTTTGTAGCACAAACTTTCCACATGGTATAAAAATGTCTTCTTCTTTTAAACAAAATGATAGATGGTAACATGGCAACGGGCAAGGCTTTATTCTAGGTATCATTACACCTGGTTATTGTTGGCCCTGCATAGGCAAACTCAGCCCTCCAGATGTTTGGGGACTACAATTCCCACCATCTCTGACCATGGTCTTGTTAGCTAGGGATGATGGGAGTTGTAGTCCCAAAACATCTGGAGGGCCGAGTTTGCCTATGCCTGTTGTTAGCCTTCCTCAAGTCAAATATATATTTTTTAAACACTCTCTCCAAATGTAATAATGAAAACTTTGGCTGAGAAAGCTGCTACTTGCCTTGGGACAGAAAAAGGACAGCAATGAGAGCAAAATAATTCAGGTGGATGTTCACTACCATCTGCAGTATATTTGCCCTACATGATCTGGGACACAGGTTATCTAAAGAACCACCTTCTCTCACTTGAGTCTTTCTCAGAGGTCCTCCTCCAAGATAGGCGACTTTTTGACTGTGTTGTCAAAAATGTGGGAATCCAAATCCAATGTCAGGCAAATATATTTTTATTTGCCCAAGCCTTCCAATATGTGATTGAAGATGTTTTTAACTGGAAATTTATACTGATTCTAGTTTAATTAGTCTGTTATGTTTTTACTGGTCCTACTGATTTAGTAATTTAGTTCTATTAGGATTTGATACTGTTTTTTCTTGTAAGTTGCCTGGTACGTTTTAATTTTAATATTAAAACTTAACAACATATTCACTCCTCCCATCCACCCTCAAGCCAGCCAGCCATAATTTGGACAAATAGCAGAACTCATTTATCAGAGGCATTGCCTATTATACTGACCAAACCATTTGAAAATCACAAAAAACCTGTAGATTGTCTCAGGGAACCACTCTTTTGTCCTTGTACACAACTGAAAATAATAAGGAAATTCTGTCCTTTTTAACAATTGATTGGGTGCATTGATTTCTGAGTTCATTTAATCTTATGGTATCCCCACACAGCTCACATCGAAAGGAAAGTGTCTTGTTTCATTCAGAAGGGTCTCCAAGTGCTCTTCAAATAATGTCATGCAGTGAAATGCAGCTATTGATGGGAGATTCTAGCTATTTAATAATGGTTTTGTACATTTAAAATAAGAGAAAGGGAATGGGTGCAATCCACCCGGCAGCGGACTGCAATAAAAGCAGGCAAGCCCTTAAGCGTTGAAATCATATTCCCTGGGATTGTGCTTTTACTAACATGTGCTACCTGAAATCAATATTTGGGTTTATATTCTCTGTGGCCACTGCAGAAAGGGGTATCTGAAGGATCGAGAGGCATTTTAATAGTAGTATTTTGCCTTGCAAGCTGTTAAGACTGAACTGTGGTTAACACAGCATGGCCATCCAAAAATACTAACCTTCATGTCTTGTTCAGCCTTCATCGCAGTCTGGGCCTGATTGCCTCTGACTCCAGAGAGTGATCCACAAGGACCCCTGGCCATATGTGGCAAACGAGGGTGGCTCATAAGGCCTGTGGTCATCTGAGGTGGCATCTGACTAGCCAGTGCCACTGGCGGCCTCTGAACAGGCGCTGGGAAGGTGTTAGTATGTGGGGCTCTTACCAATGGAGGGACCAGGTTAGGCTGAGAGAGGATCTAAGTGGGGGAAAAACAACAACAAAAAGAGAGACATTTAGCTGTTAGCATAATGCCAACCTGATCACATGGTGGCTTCTCTGCAGAGAGCACGCCTCCGCCACCAATCAGTGCCTTGTAGTGGGTGCATTTTTTCTATTAAGATTGGCCATGTTTGGAGAATTCTAAGGGGGGGACGGGACTTAAGGTAGGAAGTGTGCTTAAAAATTGTCTTAGCACATTTGAAAACCAAAAGGGGGAAGGGGTTCCTCAAAATATGTCAAGATGCAGGGATTGGCAACAGATAGGTTTATGTTTTCAAACAGAATCTGGCAATCTCAAATTTGAAGTGCAACATACAAGATATTTTTAGAATCAAAAGTACACACCACATGTCTCCATATCATATACTTTATAGCAACAGCACTCTGAAAGTACTCCCCCTTTTAAAGGATGCTCAATTTTTTATTTGTAGCTGACTGTTTGGAAGACTGCCTTACAGCTGCATTTCAGGTAAGTGGCGAACAGCACACAATTCACCAGGAATTTCTGCACAAGCACCAATAATATGAGTAGAGGTGGAGGCATATGCAATTCTCAGCAGAGCCAGCACAGGAGACATTCCTGTTGTATTGTGCACTTGATGATGTCTGCTTTAAGCCGCACACTGGGACCCTTCTCTCAGACACTATTTTCCCCTCCCTTTAAATGTTTAACACTCAAATGTAGAAAGAGCTGTGCGGAGAAGCCTGTGGTCACCTGCCTGCATTAGAGCTGTCCAGTCTCTCAACTTTAGGAGCACAGATGTTACTGAAAGCAAGATACAGAATGTTTATATATATTTGATTTATAAATTATTTAAGGAAATATTTGATAGATATTCCTGCATATAGGGGTTCTTCCATTTGAAATAAGCTGAAGATAGAAAATCTCAGACCACTGGCAGTATAGCAGCTGCTGCCCACCTGGGGTGCAAACTGAGGAGGAAATGGTTGCGTCATTCTCACAGCTGCCGACTGAAACTGCTTCTGGTAGACGATGGTATTCATTTTATTGGCCTGACTGTTCGGACTTGTGGAAGCAACCCTTAGAGAGAAAACATTTTAAGTAAGTTAATATATTGGGTATCGTAGGCACCAGAGAAACCTTTTGTTACACTTTTCATGTGCTACCTTGAATCCAGAAGAAAACTGGCCATTATTTAGTAAATGCTGTTTGTAGCGAACACAAGGAAACAGGAGTTTATTGTACAGCAATATGAAATAGAGAGATGCTAAAATTAAAGCTTAATTTACTACCACCACCCCACACAAAGGGAGAAATTAAGATTAACTATAAATTGTGGTGTTCTGAATTCAATAGGCAGTGCACAATGTCTCTAGAAACCCTGTAATACAGCAGGAGGATTTAACACTGTTCTGTTCTTTCAAACAGAACCATGAGACCTTTGCTTTCTTCTGGCACCCAGCAAACATTCCTATGTGATACTGGTAGTTTAATCTCCTGAGCTGCTGCCACACCTGACCGGGGGTAATCACTATGGTTAAATGCTTCTATTAAAAACATGTCTTCAAAATTTGGGAAACTCCCAAATAACTCTCAGCTTTCCAAACCATCTTGTTTAGACTTCCACTGATTTTGTGCTCAGTACCGCTTTCAAAATCAATCTCCAGCTCTGATCAGGATCCAATGTACTATGAAGCGAGTTGTGTTAGCCCTCAAAACTGAGAGGGGAAAACCTGAATGGGAACCTGCTTTTAAAGCTGAGGAGAATTTCAGTGGTTTGGTATGGTGGTCAGCATTTCAAAGGGGGAAAAACATTCTAACGGATGAGTGCAAGCTTATTGTGTAAACCGAAGCATATATTTGGTCCCCAGCCTTCTATGTTTTGATCTCTCCTCTCAATTTGTGTTCTTCAAGTAAGCATTCAAAATAATACTAAAAAGAGTCTTACAAGTCACCATACTTTTCAATTTGAGTAATATGAGTGACTTTTGAGTAATTTGAAACCCTAAGTGCTGGCTGTAGCTCAAATCTGCCAGTTCTTCCCTCTCCAACTGAAGACCAAATACTACATGGCACAAATAAGAAGTATTTCTTCTTGTTCTGTTATTGCTGAATCCCTAATATTGCATAGATAATACTGGGGCTATGTAGAAAAATGTACAAGGAAATGAAAATAAATTCTAAGGAGCACTCTTCATAAAATTCAGAACATTTAATCAAACAGCAGTATTCACTGACATGAGTACAGTATCCAAATCATAGTCATATTGATTGTTGTCATATATATATGAAACACAATCCTATGGAAACACACCTGTGCAAGCTCTGCTGAAATAAATGGGAATTGGGCAAGTATGCAGTCATTCTGTCTTCATATTTCCTGCAAAATAAATTGCCCTGTTTCCAAATATGTTTCCTTTTTCATCTCAGTCCTGAGCAGCTCAGTTACTTGAGCCCTCCAGCCACACAATTACTGACACTGTCTCCTTACTACAAAGTAGAGGAAATACCAAAAAGCAATCTGAAATGACTGACTGCAAAAAGAGGCCAGAATGCCTGTTAATGGCTTAATTAAAACATAAATATTCCACGCCAGCCAACCCATTCCCACATAACCCCATTTATTACATTCACTTAAAAAAAACACACAAAAAAACAAAACAATATTATAGCAGTTTTAAGATGGGAGGCGTGGTCCATATTCTGTGTTGTTAGAAGCATGTCCATATAAAATATCATGGCCCAAGTCAATGTTCTGCACAAATCTTTCTCCAAACTGCATTAGCCCTTATTTATTTATTAAACATTTCTATGCCACTTCACAGCTGGCTACCAGAGTGGCACCCTTACACTAATGCTTAATAAGTACTATTTCTTTAAGTGGGCTTCATCACAAATCTATGCTGCTAACTTGTTTGTAAAGACTTGCTTACCGGAAGGGACTAGACGTTGGAGTGGTGCTTCGTCCGGTGACTGGAGGTGTGCCTGGTTTAACATCAATGCCACTTCCAAAAGCTTTCAGGTCCATTTCTGACATCTGAAGCAAAGAAACCCAACCAACTTACAAAGGACACAAAATTACACACTAATACTTGCATGGGACACGGGTGGCACTGTGGGTTAAACCACAGAGCCTAGGACTTGCTGATCAGAAGGTCGGCGGTTCGAATCCCCGTGACGGGGTGAGCTCCCGTTGCTCGGTCCCTGCTCCTGCCAACCTAGCAGTTCGAAAGCACGTCAAAAGTGCAAGTAGATCAACAGGTACCGCTCCGGCGGTAAGGTAAACGGCGTTTCTGTGCACTGCTCTGGTTCACCAGAAGCGTCTTAGTCATATTGGCCACATGACCTGGAAGCTGTACGCCGGCTCCCTTGGCCAATAAAGCGAGATGAGCGCCGCAACCCCAGAGTCGGCCACGACTGGACCTAATGGTCAGGGGTCCCTTTACCTTTACTTTCATGAAGGGCCCTGCCATACTCATTTACTCATCTTTACAATGGCAATAGGAGCTAGGAAACAAGTTCCACACCTATTCCAAAATCTCTTTGGGTGGTGGGGAGCTGTTGACATATTACGGTTCATACTCTCATATTCCACGTGACATAAATAATTAAATTCCTCAGCTAGGCAAACTGAAAGCTCTTAAGCACTCTCTACCAATACTCAGTGAATCTCACCAAAAGACTTATGCGTAACAGATAAAGGAGTCACTGAGCATTTGCTTGGTCTCTATGGGACTCAGAAGTACTTACTGGATAGTGTCAAATGGTCTAAGTAAATGTATTGCTATGGTGTTCCAGTATTTGGTTGAGTCCTCCAGAAAGCTATGTGCACAACACGAGCCCCTGAGCACAAACTCTGTCTGCTCAGCCTACCTCAGTCAGCTGTGCAGAGCGTGGGTGGCAAACCCGAGATTTGCATATTGCACACCAAGGTTTTTGGTGGTCTACAGGGAGCCCCAACAATTCAGTGGAAAATCAGTGGCTTTTTAAAAATAAAAAATAGTGACCCCACCAAACACTTTCCTCCACTATTTTCCAAAGTGGGCTTCCTCTCACACTCCCAGGTAATTTTCAGTAGTATAAAAAGAACTGGAGTTTCTAACACGCCATCCCCACCCCTTTGGAAACACGACCTTTCTTCCCTTTTTTGCTTATGGGTCCACTATTTTTAGTGCTACTCAGTGATGCCATTGGCTCACAGCTGGAGAAACAACAGAGTATGGTTCAGAGTATAAGGATGCTTGGGGGAGGTACACTCACCAAGTAGCCAAAAGTCAAGCATTTGACTGTGAATGTGAACCACCACAGGATACAAAACCTCCAGCCTGTGGGCCAACCTACTCACTGTCCACCAGCTGACAACACTGGGTGATGTCAGCTGATGGGGAGAGAGAGAGTTCAATGCTTCTGGCTGCTGTTTTGCCAGGGTGTTTCCCTGCAGGGTATGTGCTAGGGAACTTTGGTTGAATTAGTTTAATTCTAAACCAATTCCATCCATGTTCTATCTCTTCCATTTGCTATTTCCTCATAAACTGGTTATGATGCTATAAGGACTAAGACGTTATCCCTTTTGAATGATTGCTATACAATAACCATGGCATGCCTGGATATGATGTGCATTTGTTCACGCTTTCCTGCTGCCATTCAGCAAGATTTAAGACACAGTCACATTTACCTTCCCAGTTATAATGCTGTGTTGAGCTCCAGCGGGAATTAGTCCTCTGAAAGGCTGGCCTACTTGTGCTGGCCGACTCAGATTCTGAGTCTGAGGCTGTGGTGGCGTGTGCTGTAAAGGAGGCTGGAGGGACTGTGGAAGAGCAATTAATGGCTGGCCTGCTGATCCAAAGTTGGGCAAAGAAAGTTGTGATCCTGGTATAGGTACTGTCACCTGGAGGAAAACGCAAGAATGACTTAGACACACAGATGCTTCAATAGCTAAAGTGCATCATGGTTAAATTGCCACTTCTGAATACTGTCGAGAAATATACACGTGTTGCTCTCTATGTACAGCTAATATAATTTGTACCTTTAGTGCATCTGAACAGAAAGAATATACACATTTTTATCCTTTGGAGTTATAAACCTGAAAACATATGGGCAGCACCTGATGATTCAGAAAGCAAGCCAGAGTAGGACATGGTTCTTAGTAAACAGAATTCCCTCCCTGTCCTTCTCCTATAACTTATGTTTTCCATATCTCCCTCATTATTCCCTGTAAAACTGAGGTTTCAGAAGCAGGAATTGGGTTTCGTGGTGCAGAAAGCGGTAACTGAAAGCATTTATTTCTTGGCCCTGATGGAGAAGACATGCACCATACAGGCTCAAAAGGACAACACTGTGAGGACACAATAGTGGAAGAGATGTAGTTTCTTCATAGCCATCTTACTTGTGTGGGGTAGATTTGGTAAAATTCCACACACACCCCACCTGGTATTTTAATCATGGCCCAGCCATTTCTCTGCCCCTAATCCTCAAGTACGGTAAGCCACGGAGGTATATGGACTCTACCTAGGGAGAGTACACTTAGGGAGTGTGTCAAACAGGTTCCACCAAGTGGCCAGAGCACCAATAGGAACACCAGTCATATCGACTGGAAATGTTCCAAGAACTCTCAAGAATACATATGAATCCATCAGCTTCTGTGGTGGGAGACCATCTTAATGTGTCCCCTACTCTGTGCAGAGAAACAGGAACGCGAGATATGTAAATCTCACCAGGAAATGAGTTTAAGACAAGTGTGCTATTTAAAAAAATCTCCTCATCCAAAGCACCAAACCTATACCCTGTTCAGATTCAGAGTGTTACCTGCCTCAGGGTGGGATCATAACATATTGTGACAGCTCTATTGTTGTCATAGTAGCCGTGAAGTCCTGAGACACCAAAGATAAGCTCACTATGGATGCTGAAAATCCACTATTAAATTGGCATGGCATCTAGGGTCCACGCATTCAAAGGGAAGGATTGAGAAGAGGCTTAGCAGTGCATTTCTAACCCCTCATCTGTTCTGTCCAGCCCCCATTGCAACCTCTCTGGTGTGTCTGTAATGACTTCAGTGATGGTGTCCTCACTGGGTAACTAGACAATTAGATGCAAAATACCAAAATTTAAAGTGCTATGTGCATAAAATATTAAACGAGATGCAATATAGTAAGAAGACAAGCTACACCCTACAGCAAACAATATACCAAAATATCACATAACATGAAGGGGAAATTGCTCCTGGCTACAACAGGGCACAAGTGTAGTTCTTAATTTATCCACTCCAGTTGCAGACCTTATCTAAATACCTTATTCTGATATTACCTTTCTTACTCAGAAGCAACCATTCTCTGCTCTCATGTAGAGACTTCTGTCTTTAGAGCAGGGAAATTCTGGTAAACATACATACTATGCCCAATTCCCCTTGCAACTCTGCAATAAAATAGAGCCTCCATTCTTGATCCAAGAGGGATGATCTCTTTTTTATTATTGTCCCACCAGCCTAATTTAAAGATTTACATCTTGCCTAGCAACAGTGCTGGCCTCCAATGCCACCACTGACTGCTGAGCCATGGTTTCGGGTAATACTGCAGTATGATCTAATGTAATATACCAAGTAGCCATTATTCAAAAGAGGCAAGCTTATGAAATACTTTTAGGATGTTCGCCTCTATAGAAGAACAGCACATCACTGAACAAACTGAACTGAATGGGAATTGTATGCAGACATTCATCTAGTGCTCCTTTCCATTTCTATGTACTCTATGTAGAAGAAATGCCTATGTAGTTTACAGATCTGCACCATCTTGCTAATGTTTAGATGCCATGAACAACATGCACAGGATTTTTCTAACAAATCCCCAGCAGAAGCACTATGGTCTTGAGTATTTATCACCTGATCTTGAGGAAAACTATTCTCTGAAACCACATTATGGTTTTGCATAATGGAAGATCAACTTCCTAGCTGTTGACTCTAGGATCATAAGAAGTTTAACTGGAGAAGGGTAAGGACCACAGTAAACATCACAGTGATCTCTAGACAAAAGGTGGCTTGATTTTTTTAGAGCAACATCTCTGAAGAAAAAAAGAAAGAAAAAGAACACTGTATATATATATATATATATATATATATATATTATTCTGTGTTAGAACTGTTTTGGACTGCTATATTCAAAGAGACAGCAACTTCTCTATAAAAGAACACAAACTATGTTCTCAAAAGAGCATTCTCCTGTCAGGAGACAATGGTACTACATGCACCACAAGCACACAAACAAACAAACACATATTAAATATAATTGAAAGCAATTTACCGTGCCATAGTTTACCTGCTGGAGAGCACTGGGAGACGGCGCAGTGTTATAGAAGCTAGTCTGACCTGGTTGCTGAACCTGTCCAGAATACAAATTTGAGGCCTGGGTAAGAGTAGCTCTGGCCTGAGAAGAGAGAGGTTAACATTTTCTAGGTGACTAGCTAAGCAAGGTTAATTTAATTTGAAGAACAGAACAGTTGTATGACCATTTTATTTTAGATTTACTCTTCTCTGTACGCTGCAGCAGGAATGTTGCTGAACTTTAATTCCCATCAGCCCCAGCCAGCATGCCCAATGGTGGGAGCTGAAGTCCAAGGACACCTGGAGGGCCACAGGTTCTCCACTCCACATTTGGAAAAGCAGCAAGCGTGGATAAAATATGTCCCAGATTTAATTGGACACATAACTGCTGCTATGTATAATCTATATTCAAAACAGCTGAAATACATCACTGCCAAATATGGGAACAAGGTTCTATAAAAAGTGTAAGTTTTAATGGGTGAATCAGGACTGCATCAGGGTGTGCAGGACTCTTCCATACATCGGTCTGAAATTACCTGAAACATGCTATCTCTCTGTTCCAGTTTTCCTTCCTCCCTGCTACAGTTTGGAAAGAAGGGGGTGGGGAGAAGAGGTGCATTTGGGGAATCATATCCAGGGTTTGATGGGGTCCCTCCAAGTGTGGGTAACATTGTGATCTGTCCCAGGTGTCTATGAGTCACCTACCATTAATTACTCACAACGTCCTGGAGTGTCACTGTGTGTAAATGAAACCAAGGCTGCAGACCCAGCTGCCTGGTGTGGAGGGCCACAGCAGCTGCATGGGAATGCTGGCTGTTGACACCAGTCCAGTACAGTAAGTGTTCAACAGTATGGTGCCTCAAACAACTGAAGCACTACGCATAATAATACACATGAGTTGGGCTGCAGCTCAACCATTCCATTTTGTTGTATTAAAGCTCTTGTTGTATTAAAGAGGTGATTCCAACTCCTCAGTTACTTTTCTGGGGAGGTCTGACTCTGACCTGGAGAAGATGCGTATCAATAAGCTGGGAGCCTCCTAGTCCTGAAGCTTGACTCAGTTGATGCTCATACAAGATAGGAATAGGTTGAGTATTAGATGTCTGCTGAAATGCAAGGCTTGACTGTGCCTTGGCAAGTTCCTGATGCTGCACTGCTGGGAAGTTGTGTAAGGCTGTGCCAGAAAGAACCACTGGTGACGGCTGAGACAGGCCACTTTGCATAAATGCCTGCTGGGATCTATAAAACAATAGTGCCCTGAATTAGTTAAGTTAATAAAACTACAAAAACTGGTTTCATGATTAAAGTTTTAATGTGCACTAGGCATAAAACAAGGAGAAACACACAAACATATCATACACCCCCTTATTACAAGAAAAAGATTACTAAGGGGGGAATCCATGCAAATACTCAAAATTGACATTAATTTTAGACTTTTTTTGGTCTTGTTTACAGAACTGTAAGAATGGTTCTTTCTAGAAACTGTAACACATGACTTGAAGCCACTTCGCCAGCAGTTGAATAAAAGCGTCATAGCCAGGGAAACAGATTATTTCAAAATCTAGCACAAAAATGCACCACACAAGTTGTAAGAGCATCAAATTTACAATATTTCAAGCGATTCTGCTCAGAATTGCAGAGGAAACCTAAACTGAACAAACACAAAGGACTGGCAAGATTCTGAAGAGGCAGAGAAATGATACTTCACATACCACATCTATCCTACTCCCACCTCAGAAATTCTAAGCCTCCTTTTAGTCTAACATTTTCAACACTTATCCCTAAAGCACACAAAAATCTAAAATGAATGAACTTACTTTGCATGAATATTTAAATTTTAATGTGGACTGTTTAATTTCAGAACTTGCATTTTCTGGTCATAAAACAGTACAGTTTTCACAATTCTTACACCAATGAATACAAATGAAATAAATGTTTGAGATAGTTAAGAGACTAGAACTAGAAACAAAATGTTAACCAAGAGGAGTTGCTTTCTACTTACCTATAAGGCTGCAATGATGAGTTAAACAATTCCTGGGCTTGGGAAACAGCAGGTGCTGCTCCTAAACCCAACTGAGCTTGATGCTGCCCTTGCAGAGGTGCATATATAGGGATTGGTATCTGCTGAACTGATGTAGGCTGTAAGGAATATAATTAATTAGACACCCAAGCAAGCAAACAAACATCAGAAACTGCCTTGTGCTCAGTCCGTCTAGCAATTCTATTCTCTTGAGGTGGCTCTCAAAGTTCTCAGTTAAAAGGATGTCTTTTCAACCTGCTTCTTGAAATCCTTTAACTATAGATGCTGTGGGTTGAAACTGGGAGTTTTACTCACAAAGAGAGTTCTCTGACCCTGACCTATGATACCTGAACTAATAATGCTGTGTGCATCTCACTAGTTGCTAAAAATATCAAAGGAGTGGGAAGTACCTGCAGATTCTGCGCAAGACATTTGGCTTGCAGGAACTGCAGACTACAGAAGGTACCCCAGTTCTTGCAGCTGATGAGCATAATCTTTCACAGTAGGATGCCTCTCCTCTTTGAATACACAGTTAAAAATGTTCCAGTATGAGCCACCAGCTGTGACCACAACTCAATGGTTTAGCTGGACAAGGACATTCAAAATGGAGAGTGGCTGAACTCTGATTTGGAATACAAGAGTCAACATTTGTATTGTTATTAAAAAGCAAATATGCCACCGTCAATCCCCATAGTACCTGTGAGAGCCCTGGCTGAAATCCCTGCTGCTGGGCCAGTGATGGAGGAGCCAGTCGTGCATGCTGGGTACCAAAGAGATGGCTTGTATCCATGTAGAAAGCTGGAATTTGAGCTACATAGTCATAAGAGAAAAAAATCAGTAGCACGGCGCATGAGTTAACTAAAAAGTAAAGGTAATTGATATGCCTAGCTGCTAAACAAATACTTTGGGGGGGGCACATTTCAAAGGCAAGAAAAAAAGACTGATGTAAACTTTCAAAAAGAGCATTTGTGTTTTGTTTACAAATACTACAACATTCAATAAAATTTGTTGGGAGAAATGAATAGACTACAAAGTTGCAATCATGAAAGTAACCAGAAGATTTAAGAAACACTGAGCTTAAATTTAGTCACCCCTACCTTTAAATAGAAAGAGGAACCATTTACACCCAGATACAATGCAAAGAGACTACCTCGTATATTACCTGCTGCCGACTGAGACACATAGACCTGTGGACTCTGCTGCTGCTGAGCAATTAGTGATGGCATACAGCTTAGTTGGGAAAAGTGACCAGCAGATGCCAAATTACTTGTCTGTAACTGCTGTGGCTTCACTTTACAAATGTTGGGTGGATCAGAGGTTGTGGTTGTTTTTGTACTCAGTGAAGAGGTAGTGTATGTTCCAGCTCCTAAAATTACAACCAGCAAAGCACTGCTTTAATAGTTACTAAAATCTAACATGCTTCAGTAAGCTAGTCATAAATTTGGTGTACCCTAAGTAAAAATGCAAGTTACTAACTACTGCAGTACTTTATTCAAACATTCTACTTCTGTATTAAATATTTATTTATTTATTTAATTTCTGTCACAACCTTCTTTCCAAAGAAGACCAGGAAAGCTAACAACAAAGCAGCAAAATATCATCAAAAATTTTAAATGAATACTTAAAAACATTAAGAACACCTAGAAACATTCAAACACAGTTAACGTATTCTTACAGGTAATACTTTCAAGGTTGCCACGAACAGTATATTTCAGTCATCAAATGCTTGGGAGGTCTTGTCATGGATCATGGCCAACCAGGCAACACCCAGACATAACAACACTAACTGGACCTTCCATGCCAATTGAAGGGTGCCTACAGGAGGATTTGCCTAAAGTAGCTTCACAGATTACTTCTTCCTATATGTGACGGCCCTAGTTGGCCCCCAAGTCTGTATAACAGAAGGATGTGTGGTAATAATGGTGGCCGTGCATTCTTACAGGGTCACATTTCCTGGAGACTTGTCAAAGGACTAGCATCTTTTGAAGTCTCACAAGGTTCCTTTAGGGGACGCGGGTGGCGCTGTGGGTAAAAGCCTCAGCGCCTAGGGCTTGCCGATCGAAAGGTTGGTGGTTCAAATCCCCACGGCGGGGTGCGCTCCCGTTGCTCGGTCCCAGCGCCTGCCAACCTAGCAGTTCGAAAGCACTCCTGGGTGCAAGTAGATAAATAGGGACCGCTTACTGGCGGGAAGGTAAACTGCGTTTCCGTGTGCTGCGCTGGCTCGCCAGATGCAGCTTTGTCACGCTGGCCACGTGACCCGGAAGTGTCTCCGGACAGCGCTGGCCCTTGGCCTCTTGAGTGAGATGGGCGCACAACCCTAGAGTCTGTCAAGACTGGCCCGTACGGGCAGGGGTACCTTTACCTTTACCTTTTAAGGTCCCTTTACTCAGCTGGCATTCTATGCCAGCATTAGAGTCAGTATAATATTCACACATAGTGTCCCACCCAGGAACATGAGGGTGAAAGGTTGTAAACAAATTAAAAATGATGATGATGATAAACCACCATAGGACATATACAAGAGAATGATACATATAGCCAGAGTTTCTCCTTTGCAGTTTTCAGGACTGCTTCTTCTATAAATGAGGGAGCAAATTGTTTCTCTCCCCGCTCCCTGAATGAAGAAGCAGTCTCAGCAGTTGTGGGAGTTGCACTACATGCATAATTCCCTGACATGAGTTTTAAACCACTCTTTTAGACTGCAGTTAACTTTTTTCAGTAACATCAACTGCTTTAGAGCAATGGTTCTTTAAATGTTTCCTGGGAGACACTATTGTACTATGAGAGGGGGTGAAGTATGTCATGGAAATGTAAGTCCTCTCATCTTCCACTCCATTATGCCACTTCAAGGAGGCTTTATTCTGTCAATGAACAGGCATAAACAGCATCCAGAGTGAGTAATTTGGACTCTGATGTACAGGCTACGACCATTTTGTGCGATCATTTTAGCCCTGCCCCATTCCATCCCTGTTCTGGATTAAGTAGCATGTTCACAGCTGTTTCCTTCTGAATATACCAATGTTCTTATGTGCCTAAAATTACACATCACGTGTTAAACTTTCTTAAAAATTGACCAACAATCTACTGGACAAATACTACTTCAAGTGCCAAAGAGCTACCTGAACTCCTGTGCTAGATTTGTAGACACGCTTGAACCTAAATACTGGTTTTCTTCCCCAACATTCAGTTGTATTAAAACTTGATCAGACTTTATTGTCCATAATTAATGGGCTTTCCAGTGAAATTCATGTACTGTAGTAAAACCTTATCTGAGCGTCTTAGGTGGAGGAGGAAATCTTGGAAACTTTCAGTTACAGGCAACTCTCTGTTTGCATTCCAGGCATTCACACGGGTCAGTGGAGCGCCTGTCAGCCCACCCTACTATCCCCCACCCTCTTCCAGGTTCAAAATAACATGCTCATCGGTGATTGCATGTCATGTGAACACGTGCGAAATGGTCGCCACCTGTATTATGGTTTAATTACGATATCTCTATAGTCAAGGTAAACTAACCAGAGCAGGCAAGCTAAGAACAAGCTAGCTATGTGTGTTGCTTTTAGAATAGAGTTGAATAATGCAGAGAGTTAAACAGAACTGGAACCTGAGTTTGCTTTTACCTTCTTCCCTCCCCATCTCTTTAGTGTCATGTCTTTTAGACTGTGGCCAGGGGCTGTCTTACCTTGTTTCAAGGGACTGTATGCAAGCCGCTCTGACAGGCTTTTAGACTGAAGGACTATGAAACTTTCAAGGAGATGAGTAACTATATAACCTTTAGAAGACATCTGAAAGCAGCCCTATATCGAGCTTTTTAATGTTTAATTATGCTTTTATATACAGTGGTGCCCCGCAAGACGAATGCCTCGCAAGACGAAAAAACCCGCAAGACGAAAGGGTTTTCCGTCGCGGAGGCGCTTCGCAAGACGAAGTTCCCTATGGGCTTGCTTTGCAAGATGAAAACGTCTTGCGAGTCTCGCCATTTCCCTCCTGCTTCCCCCCCCCTTTTTCAAAGCCGCTAAGCTTTGAAATAGCCTTTTAACAGCTTAGCCGCTAAGCTGTTAAAATAGCCTTTTAACAGCTTAGCCGCTAAGCCGCTAAGAGCGCTAAATCGCTAATAGCGCTAATCCGCTTAGCCACCAATGGGGTTGCTTCCCAAGACGAAAAAACCGCTAGAAGAAAAGAATCGTGGAACGGATTCTTTTCGTCTTGCGAGGCACCACTGTATGTTGGAAGCCACCTAGAGTGGCTGGTGCAACCCAGTCAGACAGTCTGCGTAACAACAACAACAACAACAAGGCTGTAGTCCAAATGTTTATACCTGACAATGAAGTTGTAGGTGTAACTGAAGCCACAGGAATGGGAGGCATTGATGCACTTGAGAAAGAGCTGTATGTACCGCTGGTTGGTCCACTGCTGCTGCTGCTGCTTCCGCTGCCACTGCTGCTACCACTACTACCACCTACTGGAGATGCTGATGATGTAGCTGGTGAATTCTTCTCCCCGACATTTGGTGAATTCTCCCATGCTTTGCGAGCAGACTCCATCTAGTCAGAAAAAGGAAATGGTTCCACTTTGAAATACGAATTTAGCCCATTTAATTTTCACAGTGTCTTATTTTCACTTTCTCTCTCTAGATAGCATCCATACTCCTCTAGTTAGCTGCCAGGGAAACTGAATTGTTTTAGAATATTAGAGGTATAAATTTTTAACGTTTTCAGAAAACATGGGGCAAGCATACAGCAAAGGTTAGAGCCAAGTGTGAATCATTACTAGCTTTGATACATTAAAAAAAATTTTTTCTCAAGAAAACCTTTTAGAATTATTCCTCAGCTATTTAATCCACATATTAAAATTACATTAATGGCACCATTAATCTAACACATTTTACACTCTAGATCTGAATCCCAGGGACCCACAAGTATGAAATATGAACTAAGCCAAATGTAGCACAATCCTGCACATTGACCATAATACAGTTTTTGAAAACCCCGGCGAAACGTTTGCTTTTTATACCACAGTTTAGAACTTGCCAGTAACCAAAACCAGGATTAAATAGGTTTAAGTAAGCTGGGCTATAGTGGAAAAAGTCAAAGAAGAGATTTGCAACTACATTTTCATTAACTGCTATCACTGGGCTTGCTTTCAAGTATAAAAATGTGCCCAAGACACGTGTCAACTCTTCATGGTTCTATATTGAATCTACCACCTCAGCATCTCTGAGCAGTCCTGAAAAATGCATAAACTTTGCATAAGCCACCATATTAATAGTACTCATACCTAATGAGGCATCATAAAATTGAACAGATTGTTACTTCTCTGGAAGTTGTATTTTTGCAGTGATTGAATACAGAAACAGGTGGTGAAGATATACAGTTGCAATCAAAATTATTCAACCCCCGGTGCAAATAAGGTTTATTATCAAAATTTACAGACTTTCAGCTGTTTGCAATGAGCAAATCAAACAAAAGCAATTGAAATAGCTCAACACAATGGATGCTTCAAGTGGTTTCTCCAAACTCACTATTATTCAACCCCTTCATGGCAAGCATCTTAGTAGATCAGCCTTTTGCTGCTATGACCTGCTGCAAATGAGATGCATAGCCAGACAGCAGCTTCTGGCAGTGTTCCTGAGGAATCTTAGCCCCTTCCTATGAGCAGTGGTCTCCACCTCAGTTGCAACCACCTTCCCACCAGAGATTTTCTATGGGGTTCAAGTCAGGTAACTGTGATGGCCACTGTAGAACCTTCCAGGACTACTTCTGCAACCAAGCCTTGGTGGAATTTGAGGTATGCTTGGGATCATTATCCTCTGGGAAGGTCCAGTGATGCCCAAGCTTCAGCTTCCTCATGGACAGCATGTTTTCTTCTAAGATTTCCTGATACTTCAATGAATCCATCCTGCCTTCCACATGCTGCAAGTGTCAGAGGATGCAAAGCAGCCCCAGAGCAGAGTGTTCTTTTCATTCTTCTTCCTCCAGACATAGTGCTGATCCATGGGGCCAAAAAGTTCCAATTCTGTTTCATCACTCCACAGAACCGTATCTCAAAACTTCTGTGGCTTGTTTATATGATTTTGAGTATACTGGAGCTGAGTTTTCTTGTGCTTTTGGTTCAGTAGTGGTCAACGTCTTGGAGTTCTGGCATGGAAACCTTCTGCACTTAGTAAGGCGCCTTACTGTGCTCACTGAAACATCAGTGCCTGCTGTCATCAAGTCTTGCTGCAGCTCTTTTGCAGTCACTTGAAGGTTTTTCCCAGCCTGCCTTCTCAGTATTGTGGTTGCTGCCTCAGATAGCTTCCATTTTCTGCCCTGTCCAAGTAGTGTAACCACTGTTCCTTTTAACCTTTAACTTGCGAATTATGCTTTCAACAGTGTTTCTGGGAACATGCAGTGCTTTTTCTATCTTCTTGAATCTTGCTCCTTGTTTGTGAAGGACGATGATATCTTCTCTTATCTTCTTGGACCATTCTCCAAGAAATTCATATTTCTAACATGCAGCCAAATTTGACACTCAGCAAACACCTAGCCAGCTCAGGTATTTCATGTTGCTTTTGATTTCAATTGCTTTTGTTTGATTTGCTTATTGCTCAAGCACACCTGTTGCAACTAATGAAGCCCTTGTTCAGCTACATAAGGTGTGCTTGAGACAACACCTGTTGTATTTGTGCTGTTGTGAGGGATTCTATTCAGGGGGGTTGAATAATAGTGAGATGGGAGAAGCCAGTATAAGTTGCAATTTGAGCTGAATTTGGAGAAACCACTTGAAGCATCCATTGTGTTGAGCTATTTCAATTGCTTTTGTTTGATTTGCTTATTGCAAACAGCTGAAAGTCTGTAAATTTTTGATAATAAACCTGATTTGCAATGGGGGTTGAAGCATTTCAATTGCAACTGTATACTGTGGTTCTTAAATTATGGAAGAAATATAGCTTAGATCTTCATTACCGTTGCCTTCTTTGAATCACTTCCAAGATGCTATGGCACTTAAAGGCAACCCATGCCCTGTATGTTCCCCTCACCCTTCTCCCATGTGATCAGTTGGTTGCTTCCTGCAGCTGCCAAAATTACCCTGCTGCCTATCAATTTCAGCTGAAAAGTTCAGCCTAAAAAACCCTGGTATTTACTTCCTTCCTTCCTGGTGTTTAATCACCTGCTTTGCGCTCCTGTGCCACACAGTGAGTACTGAATGACTGTCACCACTGCTCTTCCTTTTAGTGAGAGAGGATGGTTGGGTTTGGTGCAGAAAATGGCAGCTCACCCACAGCTGTGGCCTCTTGCCTGCCTTTGAGCTAGAGCCTGGCCTGGCCTGATAACCCTTGCCATTGCCTCAACAATCCTTCTAACACCAGGAGGAAATGCAGACAGAGAGTGCAATTTCAAAATACAGCTTGCTCTTCAAACCTGCATAGGGCAATTAGGAGAATACTGAAGACAACCCATTGTGTGTGTGACCACGCCCTGCAACCTGGCAATTGCAACAATCCAGCCAAGATTATTGTGTGTCATGAGAGGCTTGCTGCTTTTGCCCCCCACAAACTGTAGGAAACATTTTTGCCCACTAGTGTGTGGTCCTCAGGGGGAAATGTTGCTTATCCCTGCTATGGCTTTCAGAAAAGTAACAGTAAGTCAGTCTTCAGATGCCACAGGACTTGTAGTTGTCTATGCTAGACAATTTTTATGGATAACCACTTTCGATCATGAGATTATGTATTATATGTATCCGTTTAAAATCAACCCTATTTTCTAATGCAACTGTTTCAGCTACAATGCATGCTGCAAATTAGCATCTTACTGGAAATTAATCCAGACAAAACTATGTATTGGTTATTAAGAGTATTTTATGGCTTTAAAGCCTCCCCCCTCTATTGAGTTTAATATACAATTATATCCCTAGGTGTAAAATATTCCAGATACTGCACAGAAATATCAAATATTCATTGCAGAACACAAAAGGTTCAAATGTAAAACCTATTTTAACGAAGACAATAGCACGATAAGAATCCATAACAAGACATTAGATACTGTTCATAATACAACTGCTGTATTAGAAAATGGCATGTGCCTTCATCTACCTTCCTATCGTCCTGCCTGTCCACATTCACAACAACAAATTACATGTAAACTTTATACCAAATACCCAAATAGTTCCTCAGACTAAACAGAACAAAAAGGTCCATTACTTTATCACAGAAATGCTTTCAGCTGAATACATCCACAGAGGCACAATAGTGAAGCTTAAATGATACGTCAACATGAAACAGATCAGAGAGGAAAAAGGCAGCACAGCCATGTCAATCTAGCAACAACTGTAATAATTGTTGAGTGTAAGCTCTGCTGAAGTTGTGCACATTTACTTTACAAGTTGCTTTCAGCCCAGTGCTATGTCTGTTGGACAATTTTCATAAGTATTTTGAAATGTGGGCCAGGTCTTCAAAAATTCAGTCTAGTCTCAGCTGATTAAGAGAGTTACTAGTATATACATATGATGTATGTCAATAAGACAAGAACCCCACCCTCTAAAATCTGTAAGCATAGGAGGCACGTTCCTATTTGGAACCTCTCTCACAAAAGCTCTATTTAACTGAGTTATGCAAATACATGTTCTACCACTTTGCAGAACTGAGAAGAATTGGTATCAATCTGTAAATATTGCTACTGAGACTCACTTTGCAGCATGAGATGCACAATATAGTCCAAATGAACACTGTCAGCTATGAATACTACCTGGCTGCCTTCACACACCTACCTCACACAGTCACTAAAAGGTCACACCAGTTACCACTTAATAGAAAATATTAAGCTATCAGCAAATTCTAACACTGCCAGTCTCCTGCACAAAGTGTGCTGCATCAGCCAGCCAATACACATTACATATTGCTAACCTCAACAATAATTGCTCAAAACAATACAAGCTATTTCACAGAAAGGCATCTGGAACCACCTATCTATACATAGCTCATTTCCCATATACTCTCTATAGGAGGGGGAAATCACAATCACCCTAATAAGTCCTATCTAATATTCTGATGTGTATCCTAGGATTTGGGTGGCAAGAGTCAGCCAATTGCTGTTAGTTACAAAGTGGGGTCAAAGAAATGCAATGAACCCCCTTAGAAACTCCTGTTCTAGTGGTCTAAAAAGCAAAAACTGCCCTTTTGGTCTCTCCACTGAAGTTTGCCAGCAAGATCTTGATGAAGTCTTTCCCCTGCATGCAAGAAAATGACCCTTAGAGGGATGTGGTACATACCTTGAGGGTGAGGTCCACGGTTGCGGGAGAAACTGGAGTTAGGCTGGAGCTCTGTTGCAGAGCCTCCCTCCTAGGGAGGGGAAGGGTGTGGGGCAGGGGCACCTGAAAGGCAGGCAACACACATCACATTCCAGCTAGGTCTGTAACGGAAGCCCCAACAAAAGCAAGAGCTCAAGCAACGCCGCTCAACTAAGTTGTCTTTCAGGTGCAAGCATTTAGCAGGGAAGCTTTAACATAAAAAGGACAAAAAAAGATCTGACAGGTGGGGGGAAAAGACTTTCTGGTTCATAGTCATGGCTTGTTGACCATTTCCTTTTGGATTTAATTCCAAAAATTAAATTCAGGTTATTGTAATTCCCCTACACTGATTCTCACAGGACTCATTAAAGAAGTAGAATGATGGTCCTCAAACGTTGAGAAATATCCTCCTTTCATAGTGTCACAGGTGCACAAAAACTAAACTACTGCAGGAATAGTACAATTTTACTTGAACTTAACTAAGTGCAATCAATAGATTTTCCTGAAGACTCAAATATAGACAAAACAAAGACATTGATGCTCTCTTACTCTTGGCCATTATCAGTGCTCTTACAATCATTCTTACAAGATACTGCCACAGAATGGAATTAAGCTAGTTTAAAGAATGAAGGTAGATGAAATTTTCAAACCACACATCTAGGAGTAAATCGAACTCCAAAAATACTGTACACAAAAGTCATCAGCACCCAAGAATTACACGGTACTCCATCATGGACATAATAATCAACCTCAAACATTTCAAAACTTTATGAACAAAAGGGATGACAAAGAAAGCCACAAACACCGCCATAAAGTATACTTAATAGGAAACAAGTCACTAACTGGAAACTCTCTTGGAGAGTTGTTCAAATCCTGCTCTCCTTCAAACACAAGCAACATGGTTACGCCAGAGATGGAGTCGCAAAGCAACAAAATAATAAGCACCAGGATTCCATAAGGGGACACTTTCTGTTGCCAGACAGCATTTGCCAAGGTTTACCATCAATCAAAGAACGCAAAACCAAAGCCTTTGCAGACTTAACAAATAAAAATAAAGGTACATTGGATAAAAGCATTTAAATTCAATAACCACTGCCATTATTCTGCTCTTAAAGTTCTAGGTTGCTCTGATCTTATTTGGCATCCACAATTGGTTTCCAGAGTTATTCACAGAATATTTAGGTGTCCACATATTGCAGTAGGAAATAAGATAGTAGTCAGAAGAACCATTTGTAGAGGACCTGTACCACTTTGCCGAGAAACACGAGACTAACACACAAACAGAATGGTTACAATTCACATTGTATGCCACGTTATTTAGAGGTCATCACCCACACACTTCTCAATTTTGTGTGTGTTGCTTTTTCTTTTTCAAGCCCTTATAAGATGAACAGAAACTTTCCTTCTCTCTTGTAGCTGTCGCTAAAGAGAGATATCTAACAGAGCTGTGATTTGGCAGTGAGAAGCAACTTCATGGTCTCATGCTTTCACCCCTCAAACTTGTGCATGCCTTCTCCATCCTTTTCAGAGTTTGAGAGAAAAATATTTTCCCACAATGTTTAAATTGGGCAGGCCATCAATCCAAACCAGGGACTTAGACCCACTTCAAAGCATGGCTCCAATCTCCACTTTGCAGACAAACTATGGTTACTGCTAATCTGAATTATCCAATTTAGCTGTCAGCTGTTACAGTAATCTCAAACAGAGAAAGAGAAGGTGAAGGAGCAGACTAATCATGGGGGTGGGGGAGTAGAGAAGAGGAAGAAGAAGTGTGTGATCATAAATGGATGCTCCAACTGGCTCCATGGCATATGAATTTACTCTGCAAGTGATATTCTTGCACAAAAAGTCTGTTTTGTCACTTACATGCTTGTCCAGAGTAATGCCTACTAGCATAACACAAAAAGCCAATGTCAAGGCTACGGTGGGAAGGGTGTGTGTGAAAGACAACAAAGTAATTACTTGAGTAAACCCTATTACTATATTACGATTGCAAATATGACCTTCAGGATTGCTCAATATAGATGTAGTTACCTTAACAAAATTCTTCCTGCATGTGTGATGAGTCATTTTTTTCAACATGTTCACTTCATGTTATATAGCAGACTGGCAATTTTGATATAGAAATAAATTCTAGTAAAACTGAAGTATGTGCAGGTGCTGCTATTGGAATGCTCATTATACAAAATCTCAGTTATCTGAACACAAAGAATTATGCCCAAACCTTGGTACATGGATGGCTAATTCAGATACCCAAACAGTCAAAGTTTGCCCATTTCCTTACTTGGTTGTGTTTTGCTGGTCAGCAGCAGCCATTTCAGGCACAAAGCATGGAGAGAGATCAGACAAATCAGGGAGCAGGAGAGATCAAAGAAATAATTTTTCCTTTGTTTGACTTTTGCTGATTGGCTGCAGCAGTTTCTGGCAGAAACCATTAAGTGATGGAGGGAGGGAGATCAGACAAATCAGGGAGCAGGAGAGATCAAAGAAATAATTTTCCTTTGTTTGGCTTTTACTGACCGGCTGCAACAGTTTCAGGCAGAAAGCATGGAGGAAGAATGGATAAATCACGGATTATAAATGTTCCCATAGGAAATAATGGAAATCATCAGCTCATTATGCGAACGCTCACATCACAGTTTCCAGGGAATGCATTGTGTTTGGAGAACGGAACCTGCATGTAGATGATGCAGTGGAAAGGACTATGTAAGTAAATCCCTTCTGGTGTATTGGAGATGTCATGACTGAATGCTCTCCCATCTACAGCTGGGAAGGTAGCACTTTGGAAAGAAGAGCTAGGCCAGATTTCTTCTCAACACACAGCTTTCTACAGGAAGGGAGGTGTGTGTTTATTTTTAGTGTGGAGGGTGATTTTATGCAAACCTCACCTGTATTGTATATTCTGAAATCAGACAAGCCCAAGAGAGATGACACCAAGTAATCCTTCTGAATGTGTAAAAGGTAAAGGTAAAGGTACCCCTGCCCGTACCGGGCCAGTCTTGACAGACTCTGGGGTTGTGCGCTCATCTCACTCTATAGGCCGGGAGCCAGCGCTGTCCGCAGACACTTCCGGGTCACGTGGCCAGCGTGACAAAGCTGCTCTGGCGAGCCAGAGCCGCACACGGAAACGCCGTTTACCTTCCTGCTAGTAAGCGGTCCCTATTTATCTACTTGCACCCGGGGGGGTGCTTTCGAACTGCTAGGTTGGCAGGCGCTGGGACCGAGCAACGGGAGCGCACCCCGCCGCGGGGATTCGAACCGCCGACCATGCGATCAGCAAGTCCTAGGCGCTGAGGTTTAACCCACAGCGCCACCCGCGTCCCATTCTGAATGTGTAGTGAGAGCCTTAATGAACCTAGAATTAACTATTTTGTGAAAATCTCAATTGCCATAACAATATGCATTTCCTTACCACATGGTACCGCACATACAATATGCTAATACAGTGGTACCTTGGGTTAAGTACTTAATTCGTTCCAGAGGTCCGTTCTTAACCTGAAACTGTTCTTAACCTGAAGCACCACTTTAGCTAATGGGGCCTCCTGCTGATGCCGTGCCGCCGGAGCACAATTACTGTTCTCATTCTGAAGCAAAGTTCTTAACCCGAGGTACTATTTCTGGGTTGGTGGAGTCTGCAACCTGAAGCGTATGTAACCTGAAGCGTATGTAACCTGGGGTACCACTGTAACCCTATAGCCTAGCTAGCACTGATTGCTCAAACCACTATTTTTTCCACAATTCTTGAAAGCTTCTCAAAATTCCATTAAGATGAAACACCCATGTTCCACTAGCCTTTATCTACAAGGTCTCCAACATTATTTTTGCATTGTTACTGCACAATAAAAATTACAGAAGATCTGTATAGCAATTTTAGTTTTAAATGCCATGAAAAATAAAATTTATGTTTAAAGCTATGCTTAAAGTAACTAATAAGCTTACATTTGTCACTAAAGCCTCTTCCATCTTTGCACTGCTTGCAGCCACTGTACTGGAGTGAGAAGAAGGTGCTGTATAGTCTGTTACAGACTCCTGTAAAGAAAAGAGTTGAAGAAGCTGACCTATACAATAACAATACCCTGTAAAAAAGAGAGCTTTAAAGAGATGAAAAAGCTAAAATAATCTCTCCATTCACAACTTCATTAACTAAGCTGTCATATCACAATAAAGCATCATAAATAACTTTACATAACTTCATAATCCACAAAAAAGGTACATGAATACACTTATTTTTACTTAAGATAAGTTATAGGCCACCTTAAACAACAAACTCTCTCAAGGTAATTTCCACAACAATAGAACAATGCAATACTTTCAGAATACCAAACATTAATGAAACCAGCAGTAATAAGCACGTATCCAGCCCCCCTAATACAGTGGTGCCTCGCAAGACGAAATTAATTCGTTCCGCAAGTCTCTTCGTCTTGCGGTTTTTTCGTCTTGCGATGCACGGTTTCCCATAGGAATGCATTGAAAATCAATTAATGCGTTCCTAGGGAAACCGCCTTCAGACCAGGTCCGGGGACAGTCTGTCCCCGGACCTCTTCTGAAGGCTGGGGGGGGGGACAAGGGCTTTTCTTCCCACCCCCAGCATTTTAAAAAACCCTGGGACAGCGGAGGACTTCTCCGCTGTCCGGGGCGATCTTAAAATGCTGGCGGGCGGCATTTTAAAATCGCCCCGGACAGCGGAGGACTTCTCCGCTGTCCGGGGCAATTTAAAAGCCCCTGGGAAGGCAGGCAGGGGGGACAAAGACTTTCGCCCCCTGCCCGCCTTCAGAAGGTGTTCCCGCCCCCCGCCCCGCTTCGGAACAGCTTTCCGAAGTGGGGCGGCTGGGGCAGGTGTCCCCGCCCCCCTCCCCACTTCGGAACAGCTTTCCGAAGTGGGGCGGCTGGGGCAGGTGTCCCCGCCCCCCCTCCCCACTTCGGAACAGCTTTCCGAAGTGGGGCGGCTGGGGCAGGTGTCCCCACCCCCCCTTCGGAACAGCGTTTTAAAATGCTGGGGGTCGGGAGCGAAGCGCTGCCGACCCCCAGCATTTTAAAACCTTCCCGGGACACGGGGAGATTTTAAAATGCTGGGGGTCGGCAGCGCTTCGCTCCCGACCCCCAGCATTTTAAAACCTCCCCGGGACACGGGGAGATTTTAAAATGCTGGGGGTCGGCAGCGCTTCGCTCCCGACCCCCAGCATTTTAAAATCTCCCCGGGACAGAGACTTCTCTGCTGTCCCTTGGAGATTTTAAAATGCTGGGGGTCGGCAGCGAACGCTTCGCTCCCGCCCGCCAGCATTTTAAGATCGCCCCGGGCAGGCGGGGGGAAGGCAGGCGGGGGGGAGCAAAGACTTTTGCCCCCCGCCGGCCTTCAGAAGAGGTCCTCTTCTGAAGGCCGGCTGTGGGCGAAAGTCTTTGCTCCCGACCGCCAGCATTTCCCTATGGGCTTTCGTCTTGCGATGCAAGCCCATAGGGAAATTCGTCTTGCGAAGCGCCTCCAAAACAGAAAACCCTTTCGTCTTGCGGGTTTTCCGTCTTGCGAGGCATTCGTCTTGCGGGGTACCACTGTATAGCTATAACTTAAAGCATCAGCAGCAAGACAGCACAGCAAACGGATTAAAACAACATTCAAGTGAAGGCCATCAAAACCAGGCAAGCTCTTGATGCCTTTCTAAGGACCTAAGGAGATCTGGCTGGACAAATCTCTACTGGTACTGAAATCCAGAACCATGAAGGTACTACAGAAAATGCCTGCCAATTTAACTGTTCTTGAAGGTTGGCAGTTAAGAGGCCTCCATTGCCAACACTGGAAGTATGGGCAGACTGGTATGGGGGCAGGCCTTTAAAAAACACACCAAAAACCTCAAATCCAACCATTGGCCCTCCAGCTGTTGCTGAACTATAACTCTCATCAGCCCCTGCATGGATGGCAAATGGTCAGCAATGATGCAAATTGTGGACCAGCAACATCTGGAGGGCCAATGGTTCTTTTAAATGTCACCACCAGCACTTTAAATTAGGCTCAGAAACACACTAGCCACCAAGTGCAGTTTCAAAGCTTCACATGGTCTGACCACCTAGCTCCCATCAAGACACTGACAGTTGCATGCTAAACCAGTTGAAATTTTAAAACTGTCTTTAAAGTAAAGGCAACCCCACGAGGAGTCCAGCCTGGATGTGACTAGAGCATTAATAACTGTGGCCACATTTGACCTCTCTAATAGGTACACCAGCTGAAGCTGATAAAATGAGCTCCTGGCCACCATCACCTGTGCGTTGCCTGTTAGTGTATAGTACACAAGAACTCAGAAAGTGTGTACTTGGTTCTTTAGTGGGAGGGCAACTCCATCTAAGATCAGTTGTAAGGAGCATGTGATCTCCCTACCTACAGATTTCAATCTTATCTGAATTTAATTTCAGCTTGTTTACCCCCATCAGTCCAAAGACAGCGTCTAGATACCAGTTTAGGAACTCTACAGCCCCCCTGAAATCAGAGGACAAAAAGGAGGGGTAGATTTGAGTGTCATCTGCAAGCTAGTCATTGCTGCCAAAACATCCAGCTGATGTCCCCCAGCAGTTTTATGCAGATGGTAAAAAGCATGGGGGACAAGACAGACCCTTGAGGCACCCCACAAGGCACCATGGGGAGAACTGGAAGTCCTCCTCAACCACCTTCTGAAAATGCTCCTCAAGGAGGAACTGGAAATGTTTAATTATGAATTACGAATTACTGAGGGCCCCCTATTTTTCAAAAGCCAAGTCACGAACCCCCTACTTTTGAAAATTTTGATAACTCTATGGTAGTTACCTCTGCAAAGCAATGTTCTGAACAAAATGTGGGGTAGTCCCTAATAAGCAAAGGATTTTAGGGATACTAAAAGACAGACTAGGGCTGAGTGATACCTGGTTTTTAATATCATGATATATCAGCAGCTATACATCACGATATTCTGATATATCACAATGTCTGAAATTGGAGATCAGGCATGGGGATGAGGGAAGGAGTAGCCATGGAGATCGCGCAGGTAGGGTGAGATCATCATGTGATATTGGCGGTCCCTTGAAAGTGGCTGCCCTGTTCTCCCTCATGTGAGGAGCAATACATTGCTGTGTATTGCCAGGTCAAAATTGTAATTGTGGTGCGATTTCAAAAGAGATTTTGGCCAAAATATTGAAAAACGCTGAGCACTAAAACAGACCATAAAATCTGAGAGATCCAGAACATTGTTTGGCATAAGCTATTCACTAGGCCAATCAAGGTTGTTTCTGTCCCAAATCCAGGCTGAAGCTAAACTGGGATCTTCACATGAATAGTGGTATACAAATTTAATAAACAAATAGTAACTGGGATGGATCCAAATAATCAGCATCTTCCTAAGCTACATCCCACTCCAACACCATGACCCAAAATAGCCAATGTGAACGTGGACAATAATTGTCTGAAGCCATAGGATCTAAAATGGCCTCCTTTAATACTTTTGTTTAAACATACAAATGTGTATTGACTTTCCAAGGGTGGATAGAGGTGACTGTTAAAAGCCAATTTTTCTTCTTCTTCTGAAGTCTGAATAAGACTATTTGGGAAAATACTAAAATATTTAAAACAACATGACATGGAACATGCTTTGAAGTTCCAGGCTGTTTGCCTTGATCAGTTGAATAGGTTTAGGAAACGTTAACTACATGACTAACTGATGCTCAAATACTTGATTATTGTAAGGCAAAACATTGCCTGAAAGAATATTTCCACATGCATCAACTGAGAAGAAAGTAAGAGGACTTCTCCCATATGGAGCAGAGGTGGCGAAACTTTGGCCCTGTCATTAGGTTTGGATGCAATGCTAGGTGAAAGAATGGCTTAGCTTTGTGGAGCATGGCAGCAACATGACTATGGGAGGAGCAAAGCAGCCACATTTTTTTCTCCAAGTACCCACATGTTCAATCATTTATGCTTAGCCATGGTTTGGCTTCATTTTTGTGTGTACCAGAATCCATGAGCCTATGAAACCATACATTTTGGACAGTTCTTGAAAAGTCTTCAAATAAAAAACAAAGGAAACTGAGCGAAAGCAATGCAGAAAACACAACTCTGTTCTTTGTCTTATGCTGATGTTTCCACCCTATTACTTCATTCTGGAACTAGGAGAAGTATGAGGAAACAAAGCTTTAAGCTGTTTCAGCTTATGTCAGAGACTTGTAGCTATTGTTACTTTTCTACTAAAGCAAATGTCCATAAAAGCTGCATGGAGCAATATCTGAGCAAGAACCTAATGCTTGGATGCCTTCACTTACTCATAGCCATTTTAAAAAAATGGGTACTGCAAACTTCTAGGACGAAGGCCATAGAAAGAGCTCTACTGAAGCCAGCTTCTCCATATTTATGAATATTCACTATATATGAATATTTATCGTATTTATAAATATTCCACTCAGGTATATCTAAATTCCACCCATTCAGCACTGATTAGTTAACTTAAGTAGCCATTCCATTTGATTCTTACCTTTTGGGTTGCTCCAAACTCTGAAGCAGTCACGGATATCATTGTTCCTATTTCAGTACCAAGTTCAGCAGCTGCTTTGCCTTCTTTAGAAGGAACAGGGTCTGGACTTCTGACGGCAGCAGGGCTTGGTTTCTCTTGCCCCTCAGAGTCCCCTTGCTGAGCCTCCTTTACTTTCTTGTTCTTTAATGACCGTTCTTTCCCAATGGGACCAGGCTTGTACTCTTTGTTTTCTACTGGACTCAAATCTGAAAGCTATGCAATGTATTAAAAGATTATTGCCTCTTCGTTTATTATGTTATTATATAACCTATATTCCATCCTTCCTCCCTAGGCTTTTTTTCAGCCAGAGCTTGCCAGAACACAGTTCTAGCACATCTCAGGTGGGCACCATTACCATTAAGAGAGAACAAGGGAAGTGTTCATGGTGAGCTCCGGCACCTCTTTTTCTAGAAAAACAGCATTGCTTCCTCCCAATGGTTAATGAAACAATACCAGTCTGGACCAGTCAATTTACTATGCTATAAAGCTCTGCTGGGCATTCAGTGATGATATGCTCTCTTTGCCACCGCCACTGCCACATGGTAGGTGGAGCTATGTATCTATACCTCTGTTAGGTCAGATTTGCACTGGGATCTACAGGAATCCACATATCCTACGTTTTTTGCTAGTTCTGGAATTGTTATAATTCATTTTTCCCAGGAGTGAAGTACTGGATTGCAATTCATTATTCCAATAAACAATGTAAGAAAGTATGTTTTAATTTTTATTATCCTGGATATGCAGCAATTTCTGGTGCCTTATAAATTTTTAATTATTGTCTATTTTTCTTCTTCTATTATTTCCTTATTTAGGTATTCTTGATGCTCCAGTGTCTTAAGTTGTATTTTTTATTTTCCTAGATAAATGTATAGACTTTGGAGTGAGTTAATTTGTTTCAGTTATATCAACAAGCAATCACAGCAGTTTTTAACATGTGGCAGTTGATTTTGTGAGCACCCCACATAAATATTCAACCCCCCCCCAAATAATCAGAAATATGTTAACCAGGATACATAAGCATAGAAGTTTGATTAGACTTCCTCTTGCTGGAACACATGGGCAGAAAAAGGCAGCTTCTAAAATGCTTCTGTGGTTCATGAAAGTGGGAGAGTTTCACTTACCTTCTGTGCTTTTATGGGTCCTGCCCGGGGCTGCTTCTGCCTTTGCTCCTTGGGTTCAAGAAGCTTCTCTGAGGTCTTCTCTGAAAGTGGGCCAACTTCACTGTCACTCCCACTAGATGCTGGAGCACCAAACTGAATAGTTTCTATTCCCAAATCAATTCCACTTTCTTGCCCAACTGTTGTTCCCTAGTAAGGACCCCAGAAAGTTTAGTTTAACACAGGCACACTTTTGTTCCATACTGCAACATCCAATTAAGTAATTCACCATAGCTCTAATGTTATCAGCAAATTTATATTATAACCATTAAAGATTATATTTCATATCAATCAGGTTTTATTTAAGCTATCAGATATTGGTTTGAAGATGTAACACCTGTAAGCTAGCTACCTACTAACGAGTAATGGCTGTTTTACCTGTGAAAACTAGTTACCCATTTGGCAAAATGGATAATGTATTTTGCCTTTTCACTTCTAGCCACTGACAAATTAGAACACAGCTAACAATAGATGAGAACATGTCTGTTCATTACCTCTGGAGATGGAGCTGATCCAAATGATGTCAAAGGCTTGTTCCAGGCACTGACTGAAGGAGGCTGGGGAGGACTAATGGGTCCCACTAAAAGTCCAGAGAACAAGGTGGAATTAGATCAAAATTTGATAGTATAAGTGCTAATTGCAAACTAACTATGATTCCCCCCCTTACATAAAATTAGTGCAAGGCAGCATGCTGCTTGCTAAGAATTCAAAATATTTTAACAAGTTGCATGAAATGGTAAGAGAACATTCAGGACAAAGTATCCCAGTTATCTGCTCACAAAGAACACATTAATAAAGTGTATGCTAGGAGTTCAGCAATTCTATTGCTTCTAGATTGATTTCTATATTTTCTACATCCTCCTCTCAAGTAGCAGAGGCCAATGAAAATAAATCAGGTGGATGGCATTTGTGGGAAGATCAAATAAGTTTTTCATTTTTGGTTAAAGCTGAAATGCCTAAAAATACCTACTGGCATCAGCCTAGGTAAAAAAAAAAAGCTCAAAGAACTGTAGAGTTGCAAAGGACTCTGAGGGTAATCTAGTCCAACCCCCTGCAATGCAAATGAACAAAGATATGTCAAAGCAGTAAATAATTCTCAACTATTCCCTTTTAAAAAGTGTCCACATAAAAGGCAAATGGCAGGCAGTAAATGTTTTCGCAAACATTGGGTAGTCCTACCCATACATAAGAACAGTGAGGTCAGAGAAAGGAGGACTGAGAATGGGTATATGTGGACAAGCCTTGGAGCTCTCCATCATTATAAATCACTTCACAGGACAGCTTATCTACGTGGAGGATCCAAAGCAGCAACCCAAGAGTAACTGAGGTGCCCAGGAAAGGTTGTCTGTTACCCAAGATTTCAAGCACACATTTTTTCTTGCATGTCTTACCAGGAGGGGGAAAATGTCTTACTTACATTTTTTTGAGATGTCATTGAGGACTGTTGTAGGTGGCACTTTATTATCCCATAATTCGGTTCCTACAGCATTATGAGATGGTGTGTTCTGAAGAGTTTTGCTTGTTGCTGTATACTCGGTGCTGCTGTTTGCTGCACAGGTTGCCTGTGGTTGCAGCTGAGCTGAAGTCTGTGGACTTGGAATCTGAGACACACACTGCAGTGGGAGTTGCGGTTGAGCCTGAACCTGAACCTGTTGAGTGGCAGCTGCGGCTGCTGCTGTCGCCTGCTGTTGCTTTTTGGCAAACCTGGGTGGTAGTTTGGAATTTGGACACCTTCCTTTTTCATTTGAACTCTTTTTGGTCCAGACCTAAAAATATTTAAGATTGTTAAGAGAGCCCGCAGTTTACCTTCCCAGAACAACTGAAATGGAAACTCTGCTCCAAAGAACTGTTAGATATTTTGTTTTCCCATATACATCAGTTGGGATTTTTTAAGCTACAATAGGGAAAATGAAGGTTTTATGAAAGGTTTATTAAATCACAAGACATATGGAGAAAATAAGTAGGAACACTGATTTACACTCAATATAAAATGGCCATCCACTAAAATTGACAAGAAGCACATTCAAGGTGAAGTACTTTTTGCAAACAATATACAATTTAACCTATGGAACTTATTGCCACTGATATGGTATCTACTAGGGACGCGGGTGGCACTGTGGGTAAAACCTCAGAGCCTAGGACTTGCCGATCGCATGGTCGGCGGTTCGAATCCCCAAGGCGGGGTGCGCTCCCGTCGTTCGGTCCCAGCGCCTGCCAACCTAGCAGTTCGAAAGTAACCCCAGGTGCAAGTAGATAAATAGGGACTGCTAACCAGCGGGAAGGTAAACGGCGTTCCGTGTGCTGTGCTGGCTCGCCAGATGCAGCTTGTCACGCTGGCCAAGTGACTCGGAAGTGTCTGTGGACAGCGCTGGCTCCCGGCCTATAGAGTGAGATGAGCGCACAACCCTAGAGTCTGTCAAGACTGGTCGGTATGGGCAGGGGTACCTTTACCTTTACCTATGGTATCTACTAGCATTAGGTAAAGGTAAAGGTACCCCTGCCCGTACGGGCCAGTCTTGACAGACTCTAGGGTTGTGCGCCCATCTCACTCAAGAGGCCGGGGGCCAGCGCTGTCTGCAGACACTTCCGGGTCACGTGGCCAGCGTGACAAGCTGCATCTGGCGAGCCAGCGCAGCACACGGAAACGCCGTTTACCTTCCCGCCAGTAAGCGGTCCCTATTTATCTACTTGCACCTGGGGGTGCTTTCGAACTGCTAAGTTGGCAGGAGCTGGGACCGAGCAACGGGAGCGCACCCCGCCGCGGGGATTCGAACCGTCGACCTTTCGATCGGCAAGCCCTAGGCGCTGAGGCTTTTACCCACAGCGCCACCCGCGTCCCGTTCTACTAGCATTAAGGCACTCTAAATTAAAGATTGGATGAACTCATGGATGACATTACATCAATTAGCTACTACTAGTTGCAAAACTGATTCCCTATTTTCAGTGCCAATATAACAATGGGCTCAATTCTCATAATATCCTGATTGTGAACTCCTGAGGCACTCTGGTGGTCAGTCAGGGTTCGTCCACACTTCCACTCGTCCCTTGCTTAGAAAGCACAGGTCTGAGTGGTTTTCCCCTTGTCCTGTTCCTTTCCTTTATATATATATTATTTCTGATTTTCAGACATTTCAATAATTTTACAGCCATTTTAACATATCAAAACTTGACTTCCTTCTTCCTCTTTCTGCAGTTCTTTAAATTTATTTTTTATATTTTCTGCATATCTAAATTAACTTAATTTGTTCATTTATTCATCTACCTTAAATATATACTCTTATAAAACTGCAGGTTATTACAATAATTCTGCCAATGTTCTTATCTGTTTACAGTTTGTTTGTAAATATTCAACAAACTATTTCCATTTTCATGTTTTTCTGGTAAGTTTTTGTATCCGTTCTTCTTTTGCTGGGACTTCTTTCCATTTTTGGGCAAGTAACATTCTTGCCACTGTAGTCGCATACATGAATAAATTTCAATATAGTTTGGGTAGTTCTGTCCCTATAATTCCCAAAAAGAAAGCTTCTGGTTTTTTTTTTTACAAACATTATTTAAAACAGGGGTCGGCAAGGCTTACCGGCGCAGTGCGATGCCGGAAATTCCTTCTGTGCATGCCCAGATGCCAAAAATCACGCCTCCGCAGAAGCGATTTCCAGCGCTGTGGACATGCGCAGACGTGATTTCCAGTGTCTGGGCATGCGCAGAAGTGAATTCCGGAGCCACAGAAGAGAGTCCCCATGCTGTGCTGTGCCAGTTTAGCGCAATGCGTGGGGACTCGCTGAGCGGGCGGCGCGGCTCAGTTCAGTTTGGGGGCAGCTCATGGGCCAGTTAAACGGCCTCCGTGGGCTGCTTCCGGCCCATGGGCCTTAGGTTGCCGACCCCTGATTTAAAACATCTTTTCCAATTCATTATATATCATTTCCCAGTAAGCTTTAACCTTACTACAAAACCACCACATATGATAAAAATAACCTTTTTTCGCTTTACATTTTCAGCACTTATTTGATTGAGATTTATACATTTTTGCCAGTTTACTCGGTATTAGGTACCATCAATATGATTTTCATACAATTTTCTCTTAGACATAAGGTAAAGGTACCCCTGCCCGTACGGGCCAGTCTTCACAGACTCTAGGGTTGTGCGCTCATCTCACTTAAGAGGCCGGGGGCCAGCGCTGTCCGCAGTCACTTCCGGGTCACGTGGCCAGCGTGACAAGCTGCATCTGGCGAGCCAGCACAGCACACGGAACGCCGTTTACCTTCCCGCTAGTAAGCGGTCCCTATTTATCTACTTGCACCCGGGGGTGCTTTCGAACTGCTAGGTTGGCAGGCGCTGGGACCGAGCAACGGGAGTGCACCCCGCCGCGGGGATTCAAACCGCCGACCATGCGATCGGCAAGTCCTAGGCACTGAGGTTTTACCCACAGCGCCACCCGCGTCCCTCTCTTTGACATGCTGTAAATTTTATATCCATATTCCACAATTGTTCCCTTGCTCCATATCTATATTGTGACCAATATCTATTGCCCAATTTATCATTAAGGATTTTACTTGCTCATCCTTTGTCTCCCATTCCAATAATATCTTATACATTTTAGACAGCACTTTTACATTCCATTCCATCAGGTCACTCTCCAGTTGTAATATTTGTTCCCCAAACCCTCGTATCCTATCTTTCTTAAAACATCATTCAAATGATGATATTGTATCCATGCTATTAATTTTCCTGATAATTTCTTAAATTATTTTAATTGATACTCTCCTCCCTCATTTTAATAAATTTCTATAAGTTGTCCACCCTTCTATCATATTTTTTCTTTACCGCTATAGCTTCCAACGGTGAGAGCCAAAGTGGTGTTTTAACCTCTAATAGATTTTTGCATTTATCCCATACTCTACATATTTTTCCTAATTATATGATTTGTAAATCCTTTACGTACTTTCACTTTTCATATCATAAATAAGCGTGCCAACCAAAAATACTATCATGACCTTCTAAGTCTAGAATACATGAATTCTCTAATGTCATCCATTCCTTAAACCAACAAAGGTAAGATGCTTCACAGTATACTCTCATATCTGGCAGGGAACAACCTCCTCTCTCTTTTGCATCTATCAATATTTTATATTCGGTTTTTCCCCTTGCCAAATATATTTAGAAATATCTTTTTGCCCTGTTCCTTTCCCAGGGAAAACCCAGTTTTTAGTGCTAAATTGGAGAAAGCCCAAATTGTCGTTTGCTCCAATTTAGTGCCAAAGGACTGTTTGAGGTTTTCTGCATGGGAAAGCAGCAGGATAAGAGGAAGTGTGGAGAAGCCCTCAGTCCAGAGAACACTCAGCTGCTCAAGCAAAGGATTTGATCTTAGAGCTGTATTGAGAAATCTGCCATGAACTGCAAGCAGCACATGTTGCTCCGAGCTGGAATGCCAGACTTTCAATGACTATCAGGAAGCACTGTTAGAGCTAACTGGAATTTAAGCGACTTCCCAAGTAAGACCAATGAATACGGGTAAGCAAGAATAAAGACTGAAATGTGTTGCCATGAAGGGTTAGGTTTACAAATTCCACTATAGGTTTTGACATTTTTGAAGAAAGTTTATTTATTTATTCTGTTTCAGTCTCCACCAAAGGGCCAGCAAACAAACAAACAAACAAACAAACAAACAAACAAACAAACAAACAAGGGTTCCTGTCAAATAAATAAGAAATTCACTACATTTTTTAAAAAATAAACACCGTAACTGCATCATACAAAACTGAGCAACTCAGCATCCTTCTGTGAGAACTGGAGCTTGTGGGTAGCCTGACAGGCTGACACGATGGAATAAGACTATTTCAGAAAGTAACCAGCTCAAGTGAACAATGCTTTTAGAGAAATCTTGCTTGCTACTTCATGCAAGTGTGAGCTCACAATGGAGGGCAGGAATGCACTGCATATGCACATATCAAATAACGTGTACAAAAAAGATGCCTGGGACAGAGAGAGATGATACATATGATACTAAACCTGCACTGTTTGCTCTTCCTTCTTCCTGCGTTCCTCGTCTTGCAGGCGTTTTTGTTGCTTTTTTGATACCACTTCAGTAAAACCATCATTGTTCAAATTGGACTGGGAATCTTCAACTACTGTCACTTCAGGGTGGTCATCAATAATCACAACACCTGTAATGAAGGTCCGAAATTTAGTTATAATTAACCCCTATTCAAATAAATGAAGCCATCATCTGTGGGGTTGGTTCAAATGGCAGAAAAAACCAAAATAACATAACCCCCACGTAAATGTGTGTGTGCCTGTAATACATTTAAGATTCTGAAGAGGAGCTTCCAGTACATACTTGCATAGTTGTTAAGGTCAAATTGAGAAATTGCATCCACTTTCTCTTTCGGTTTCTTTGGACCAGCTTTGGGCTCTTCTCGCTTCTTGATGTTGGGATCTTTGGAACCTTTCAGCGCAGCAGCACTGTTCCCACTTTCCTCTGGATGTAAACTGCTCCCAACTGTTTCAGCACTAATCACAACTGCAGCTTGCTCTTCAAATGGTCTGTATCATAAACACAAAATGAGATAGCATTGTACAGCAAAAGGTGGAGGAGAAGGGAGAGACAGAGCTACATAGAACTTTAATAAGACTTTAGTTGAAGCTAACACGCTCCATTCTGTGCATCACAATGAATTCAGAAAAGATACTGAGAAATGACAAAGGAAATAGAAAGATGGCAAAGAGCCTATAACCAAGTTGTAGAAGAAAAACTAATGGGAGTTGCATTTGGTCTAGTTCAAAACTTAAGTGGGTGAAATTGTTCAACAATAATTTAGAGGTAGAACTTAACTACAGGAGTGCTATTGATATTTCCCTGAAAATACCAAAAGTGGGGATTTTACCGGACGAGGGGGGGCACAAACCTGCTGGTAGAATACATGACTTGCATGCCCTGACATGTCCTAGTAGATACAGCTGTGAAAGAGTCCTGCCTAAAAGCCTTGGAGCAGCTGTCTGTCTGTTTAGGTTAGATGGACCAACGGTCTGACTCTACGTAAGACAGGTATCTTTGTCCCTGCAGACTTATACATTTGTTTTGAGTATAGCCTATTTTAATGGCAAGAAAGGGATCTCTAGATGTTTTGATTCAGATACAGAATAGGAAAATGTATCTGATGAAACACTTCTCCCAACAACTTCTAAAGGCAAATTTGTAGATGCTAGAAACACCTACTGGAGGAGTTGCTGTTTCAGAGTTGTAGGCAATGCTAGTCCTACTCTGAATAATTTGACTATGAATAGTTTAGAACTATTAATTTAAGTGGGTCTAATATGAGTATAGGGACGCGGGTGGCGCTGTGGGTAAAAGCCTTAGCGCCTAGGGCTTGCCGATCGAAAGGTCGGCGGTTCGAATCCCCGTGGCGGGGTGCGCTCCCGTTGTTCGGTCCCAGCGCCTGCCAACCTAGCAGTTCGAAAGCACCCCCGGGTGCAAGTAAATAGGGACCGCTTACTGGCGGGAAGGTAAACGGTGTTTCCGTGTGCAGCTCTGGCTCGCCAGAGCAGCGATGTCACGCTGGCCACGTGACCCGGAAGTGTCTGCGGACAGCGCTGGCCCCCGGCCTCTTGAGTGAGATGGGTGCACAACCCCAGAGTCTGTCAAGACTGGCCCGTACGGGCAGGGGTACCTTTACCTTTTTTTAATCCGAGTATAATTTAATTGGATATGACCCTCAAATTGGTTTTTCCTCTGCCTACACTGAGCTACAAGGACTGATCAAGGTGCTCAGGCTCAGAAGCCTATTTGGTTAGCTAAAGAGATTCTGTTTTAGTAAGGTGTTTGCGAAAACTCCTGGAACTGGTGCAGAAAATTATACTTCCTCACCAGGCTTTAACACAAAAGAGTGACTCAATTCCACAACTTGTATATGAGGAAATAAACTTTAAAAAGGTAGAAAGCAGTTGGGGTTACAGGTGCCGGAGACAAGAATAATTTGGGGCAAGCATCATTGCTGGATGGTGGTTTGTTCTTCACAGCTGTCTGTCTCTATCCATAATTATCACCTCAATTTTCCATTTATTTTGCAATCATTAGATACCACTTATCAAAGCTACAGATCATCAGCTTCTTATAGCAAAATTCAAGCTTAAACTGAAGAAAGTAGGAAAAACCACGGGGCCGGTAAGATACAATCTAAGTCAAATCCCTTATGAATACACAGTGGAAGTGAGGAACAGGTTTAAGGATTTAGATTTGGTGGACAGAGTGCCTGAAGAACTATGGATGGAGGCTCGTAACATTGTACAGGAGGCAGCAATGAAAACCATCCCAATGAAAAGGAAATGCAAGAAAGCAAAGTGGCTGTCCAACAAGGCCTTATAAATAGCGGGGGAGAGAAGGCAAGCAAAATGCGAGGGAGATAGTGAAAGATACAGGAAATTGAATGCAGATTTCCAAAAAATAGCAAGGAGAGACAAGAAGGCCTTCTTAAATGAGCAATGCAAAGAAATAGAGGAAAACAATAGAATGGGAAAAACCAGAGATCTGTTCAAGAAAATTGGAGATATGAAAGGAACATTTCGTACAAAGATTTCCATAATAAAAGACAAAAGTGGAAAGGACCTAACAGAAGCAGAAGACATCAAGAAGAGGTGGCAAGAATACACAGAGGAACTATTCCAGAAAGAAATGGATGTCTCGTATACCCCAGGTAGTGTGGTTGCTGACCTTGAGCCAGACATCCTGGAGAGTGAAGTCAAATGGGCCTTAGAAAGCATTGCTAATAACAAGGCCAGTGGAAGTGATGATATTCCAGCTGAACTATTTAAAATTTTAAAGGATGATGCTGTTAAGGTGCTACACTCAATATGCCAGCAAATTTGGAAAACTCAGCAGTGGCCAGAGGATTGGAGAAGATCAGTCTACATCCCAATCCCAAAGAAGGGAAGTGCCAAAGAATGCTCCAAATACCGCACAATTGCACTCATTTCACACGCTAGCAAGGTTATGCTTAAAATTCTACAAGGCAGGCTTAAGCAGTATGTGGACCGAGAACTCCCAGAAGTGCAAGCTGGATTTAGAAGAGGCAGAGGAACCAGAGACCAAATTGCAAACATGCGCTGGATTACGGAGAAAGCTAGAGAGTTCCAGAAAGACATATACTTCTGCTTCATTGACTATGCAAAAGCCTTTGACTGTGTCGACCACAGCAAACTATGGCAAGTTCTTAAAGAAATGGGAGTGCCTGATCACCTCATCTGTCTCCTGAGAAATCTCTATGTGGGACAAGAAGCTACAGTTAGAACTGGATATGGAACAACTGATTGGTTCAAAATTGGGAAAGGAGTACGGCAAGGCTGTATATTGTCCCCCTGCTTATTTAACTTATATGCAGAAGTCACCATGCGAAAGGCTGGGCTGGATGAATCGCCAGAAGAAATATCAACAACCTCAGAAATGCAGATTGACACAACCTTGATGGCAGAAAGTGAGGAGGAATTAAAGAACCTTTTAATGAGGGTGAAAGAGGAGAGCGCAAAATATGGTCTGAAGCTCAACATCAAAAAAACGAAGATCATGGCCACTGGGCCCATCACCTCCTGGCAAATAGAAGGGGAAGAAATGGAGGCAATGAAAGATTTTACTTTCTTGGGCTCCATGATCACTGCAGATGGTGACAGCAGTCACGAAATTAAAAGACGCCTGCTCCTTGGGAGAAAGGCGATGGCAAACCTAGAGAGCATCTTAAAAAGCAGAGACATCACTTTACCAACAAAGGTCCGTATAGTTAAAGCCATGGTTTTCCCAGTAGTGATGTATGGAAGTGAGAGCTGGACCATAAAGAAGGCTGATCGCCGAAGAATTGATGCTTTTGAACTATGGTGCTGGAGGAGACTCTTGAGAGTCCCATGGACTGCAAGAAGATCAAACCTATCCATTCTGAAGGAAATCAGCCCTGAGTGCTCACTGGAAGGACAGATCCTGAAGCTGAGGCTCCAAAACTTTGGCCACCTCATGAGAAGAGAAGACTCCCTGGAAAAGACCCTGATGCTGGGAAAGATGGAGGGCACAAGGAGAAGGGGACGACAGAGGACAAGATGGTTGGACAGTGTTCTTGAAGCTACAAACGTGAGTCTGACCGGGCTGCGGGAGGCAGTGGAGGACAGGAGTGCCTGGCGTGGTCTGGTCCATGGGGTCACAAAGAGTCGGACACGACTAAACGACAACAACAATCAAAGCTACTTAACTCAAACCACTACCCATTGAATGGTCATAGCTCTTTAAAACAATTTGGTGAAGTGAATCTATTTTTAAGTTTCCAGTGAACTCAGTAACTGAATGAAATTTCTGTATCAATCTTCCAGTGGCAAACATACTTACCCCCTTTTCCCAGTTCTTGTTGGAGGGCCACTTCTCCTTTCATTTCTTGGCCCTGAGAAGTTCCGTCCAGATTTGGGTGGTCCACAATTTCCACGACGATTTTGCCGATCAATCCCAGGCCGCTGACTGGAAAAACTTCTCTTGGCTATTTCCCTTTTTGGGGCTAGTGTGCTTTCCCCAGGCTTAACAGCTACCTGTGCTGTAACATCTGCTATTTTTTTTTCATCCCTCTCACGCCTCTCATTGAAATCACTACTTTCTGAAGCAGTTTCCCACTCTTCATTTGCTTGGTCTGAGGAGTTCTGATTGGACAAGTCTGGTGTCTTACTTCCTGACACCTCCAAAGTAGTGCTTGGCTGTTCATTAACTGCGCTACTCATTGCAGCACTTGATGATGAGCTGGTTGTGGCTTCACTTATTTTTGATGCTGCCTCTCTCTCTTTTAGACGCCTAAAGCGTGGTGGCTTATCTTGCCTGGGAGGTCGTGCAGGTCTTTGCCTACGAGGCCTTTCCCGAGTAGGATCAAATTTTCTCTCAAACTTTGCAGGTGGCCTTTTATCCAGTGATATAGAACCATAATGGTCATGCCTTTGTGGGGGCTCCCCATCTTCAAGTTTGGGGGGTTCCATCTGCCTCGGGTTCCACTGATTCTCTCTGTATCCTGGTTTCCTAAGAGTAGACGGCCGAGGTGGACGGCCAACTGGATCTCTATCCCCACGTCTGAACATGCCCCCCCTGCCACGTCTAGAAGGTTCTCCTTTAGGAAGAAATCCTGGTTTGGGTTTATTCTCATCTTCCCTCCCGTAAGTTTTGTCTAAAACCCTATTGTCCCCTCGGATATTATGTTCAGGTTTATAAGACAATACAGCTTTTGCAGGCTTTTTGACATCTGTCTTTTCTTCTCTCTTTGGGTGTCTGCCTTTGCTTAAGCTGTCCTTGTCTGAAAGAAGGGTGTCACTTGCACTTTCATGCACTTCACTGTCAGAGTCAGTTTCTGAGCCTCTCTGTCTTCGCCGTTTTGGAACTACTTCAAAATCGGAGCTCTCACTACGGGTTTCACTCTCTTCTCTCTGCCTAAGAGGACCAGAAGGCACATGCTCCACTCGAGGCTTAGTGTCTCTGTAATGTGGATAGTCTCTATTGTGGCCTCTCCCACCTCGACCCCTGCCTCCATAAGAACCTCTGTAGCTTCGTCCTCTAGAATAATATTCTCCACGTCCTCTGCCTCTGTATCCTTGGTCTGGAAACCAGTCCCTATCCCTAGCTTCTTTCCAGTATGTTCTGGGAGGCAAACCAGGTTCTCTTTTCACAGGTCTAGTTTCCATACGAGGTCTCTCTACAGTTCGTTCTTTGTTGATTACTTTCTCTGGCTGCTTTTCTTCCTTTGTTGTGTTGACAGGCTGCTGAACTGGTAGCTGCTGGATAGTAACGGATGGAAGCTCAACAGTAATTTGTGGACTAGGCAGCTGTGGACCTATGGGTGGAGATGTCTGTACTGCAGGTGGCTGCTGAGACACTGGTGGTACAATTGCAGGCTGCTGGACAATGAGAGGCTGCTGCACAGCAGGTGTAACTGTGGGCTGCACAGGAGCATCTGCGCAGTCTGAAGCTTGTGGTGTGCTTTGCAATGCCTTTTTACCACCAGTGGTGGTCTTCTCTGGTTCTAGCCTGGGAGGTGGAACCTGAGACTGTTCCTTTTTCTCAATCTTGCTAGCTCTCTCATTTGTCAGTTTTTCTCCCTCTCTTTCCTTCTTTTGTTCACGCTCTTCTCTTTGTTCACGCTCTTCTTTCATATCTCGAAGGATAGGCTTTTTAATAGGACCAGACCTTCTCACTGGCCTATCACTACCTTCCTCTCTTCTCCCATAACCTGGTCTTGGACCCCACCTAGTTTCAGATTTAGGCTTAAAGGGTTTTTCAGGCTTTGGTCCTTCAGACAGCCTATTAGTTACAAACACATCTTTTTTCAGTTTACTATCTATTCTTTCAAGAATTGGTTCTTTTGGCTCAATGTGTCTGCTGCTGACTTTGGAAACATTTGATTGTGTATCATTTGCTTGGTCTTCAGATTTCAGAGAATGGCTTGACCCATGAGAAATGCTCTTCAGGGAAGTATTGCTCTCTTCTACAAGCATTTCTTCTTCCTTGGAGATTTGGGAGACATTTTCTGCATTTACATCAAAACTCAACGCAGGAGCAGGTGTGTCAGATTGGTGAGGCTGAGCATCTTCTAAAGACCTGGCTGAGGTCTTCTGTACACTCATTTCACTGGGTTCTTTGAAGAAGTCCACCTTTGTCTGAGAGTCCAAATGAATCTGTTCTGCTGCGTAAACCTCTTGAACAGCTATGTGTTCTTGATCCAGAAGTGCCTCAGGCCTAAAAGAAGGAAGCCACAATTTAAGTTGAAGTCCTATCAAAGTCTCTATATATTAGACATGATAAAAGAATGCAGGACAACTGCTGTAGGATTAGCCCATACAATGTTCACAAGAGACAGAAAATCATTTCTGAAGAGCATTTTAGCTAATGAACTTGTGGTGGGGGACAAGGATAAAAGAGGGGTGGCTAGCCTTTGGCCTCCAGATGTTGCTGGATTACAACCCGCATCACCCCTGCCCTGACAACTGGCCATGCCAATAGTGTCCGTGCCCACCCCCCACCCCCAAATTGCACTAACAAACCCCCGAAGCAGCCAATTAGGAAGAATCATTCTGCCGGCCACTTCAGATTCAATAAAATATATGAGGTACACTGAACGTTCTAGCTGTATTACTGAAGGTCTACCATGCAAAAAACTCAGCTCGCTGTATACCTTCATATTTGAAAGTGTACAAAGCCAGAGCAGTTACCAAGATCATGGTCAGAGTCCAACCTTGCATACTGTGGATTAATGAATTCCTAGAGAGAAAACACAAACTACCCATTTGAGAAATATCTTTTGTGCCCCCAAATGTGTCCCTAATATAGTCTTACAACTTGAAGCAAGGCATTTGTTATTTGCAAACAACAGCGTTGCCCCTTGCAATTGGTTATTGGATTTTATGCTCAACACGCTTGGACTATCAGAAGCTTTGTCTGCAGGCCAGATCCCAACCTCCCCCAAAGGCCACTTTGACAGCTGACATTGGGTAACAACTTCAAAAGGCCCCACTGAAAGTGAGTCCCTTTGCACTGTGAACACCAAATAGCTGAAAGCACACATTCAAAGGTCTTGCTTTCAGCTTCAGACCCCTCAGGTGCACCCATCAAGAACTCCCTAGTGCAACACATCCCAGTGAGATTCCTTAACAGTGAGCTATCCTTGTAAAAGAACAAGTGGGAGCCCATTTTAAGCTCATAATTGTTCCTTTGCAGCTGCATCCTTACCTATATATCAACTGGCATCACATATGTCTGGTATTAGGCAACAGGAAGTGGCTTGGGGAAACAATTTTGTGGGCCAAATTAGAACCCTAGATGGATCTAATTTGGCCCATGAGCCAGATATTCCCTAGGCCTGTTTTATGGTATGTGAAATGCACAAGATGCAATAGGATAATGCAGAAAAGATAAACAGAATACAGTAAGAGAACCCCAAAGCTTACCTTAGATCTTCAGTGTCTTCTAGGATTTTGGGGGGATTGCTAGTCTGCTGAGGCTCTGCATGAGGATATGGTTCTGACCCCCACACCATGCGCGGTTCTGACAGAGGAATAGCATGCTCCCTTGCTGATCGAGTAACATGATCCAAAGAGTCCGCAGCAGTTCCTGCCCCCTCCATTTGGTCCCTTCTTAGAAGTGGCTTAGGAGGCATTATTCCTATAATGGAGATATTGAAATTAAGAAGTCAAACCATACAGCTCAAAAAAGTAACTGAAAGGTCAGCGGTTCAAATCTATGTGACGAGGTGAGCTCCCTTTGCTCTGTCCCAGCTTCTGCCAACCTAGCAGTTTGAAAGCATACCGCTGCTATGAGAAGGTAAATGGCGTTTCCGTGCACTCTGGCACTCGTCACAGTGTTCCGTTGTGTCAGAACCCTACACATCAAGATGACCTTACAAATGGAATTTTTAAATTTAGAAGCTGTTAATAAAAAAATTCCTCTCACAAAGAAATTTTGTTGTGGAGTGACTTTTCTAAGGCTTCTAAAGTTTTCTTCATGAAGTACTGTGACAGACTCACTAGCATACAACATCACAGTACTTAGAATCTGTGCCTAGCACAAAACTCTACAAAGGCTAGAACCTTCCTGTTGCCCATTAAAAAATATAGCAGCACATTTTGAAAGCATCTTAAGATCCCTCCCCTCTTCACCATGGCAAATCCTGACTTTTGAATATGTTCTGTGGAAAGAAAAGGCCTAAAGGTAACAGAGTACAACTGGCAGCATTTAATGTAATGTTTAGTAATGTTACTAATTACTGAATACCAGGCATCAGTAATTTGTTTTCTTTTAAGCTCTGTTACAAATAGGAAATTGCTGATTTCCTATTTGTAACAGAGCTTAAAAGAAAACAAAAACAAAAAAAGCACTTGAAGCTTTCTGCTGTCTGTCAAAGAGATATCTTAGCCAGACTCCTCTGAAATGAGCAAAAACTATGCCATCACAAGTAAAACTTACCGTATTTTTCGCCCCATAGGACGCACCGGCCCATAGGACGCACCTAGTTTTTTGGGGGGGAAATAAAGGGGAATTTTTTTTATTTCCCCCCCAGGTGCGCTGTGCTAAACCCGAAGCTTGGGGCTTGCGGAGCTCAGCGCCCCCAAGCTTCTGGGTGCTGGCAAGGTCTCCGCTAGCCGTGGGAGAGCCCCGCGGCTCTCCCAGGGCTAGCGGAGCACTGCGCTAAACCCGAAGCTTGGGGCATGCGGAGCTCAGCGTGCCCCAAGCTTCTGGGTGCAGGCAAGGTCTCCGGTAGCCCTGGGAGAGCTGAGTCTCCCACGGCTAGTGGATAGCTTCCTGAAGGCTGGAGAGCGAGAGGGTTAGGTGCGCACCGACCCCCCTCGCTCTCCAGGCTTCAGCGAAAGCCTGCATTCGCCCCATAGGACGCACACACATTTCCCCTTCATTTTTGGAGGGGGAAAAGTGCATCCTACAGGGCGAAAAATACGGTACATAGCAATTTTCTTGATAGAGTGTGCCCAAGGACAATGCAATTTCTGGAGAGCTTTCCTAAGCTGGACAGAACCCCAATAAAGTGCCTTAAGCCCACAGAGAGGGGTTGGGAACAGGAAGAAGCCTCTGGAATTACAGTGGTACCTTGTTTCTTGAATTTAATCTGTTCCAGAAGTCCATTCGACTCCCGGAACAGTTCAAAAACCAAGGTGCGGCTTCCAGTTGGCTGCAGGAGCTTCCCACGCTCAAAATCGGAAGCCGCATCAGATGTTCGACTTCCAAAAAACATTTGCAAACCAGAACACTCACTTCTGGGTTTGCAACGTTTGGGAGCCGATTTTTCCCCAACAACTAAGGTGTTTGACTCCCAAGGTACCACTGTATCTTAATCATCCCAAGAACAGGTCAGGTGGTAGGATTCCACTGTGCATCACCGAAAAAACATTTCAAAGGAATGTAAAACGGGACTTTGCCCATACAGTGGTGCCTCGCAAGACGAAATTAATTCGTTCCGCAAGTTTTTTCTTCTTGCGAGTTTTTCGTCTTGCGATGCACGGTTTCCCATAGGAATGCATTGAAAATCAATTAATGCGTTCCAAGGGAAACCGCCTTCAGACCAGGTCCGGGGACAGTCTCTCCCCCGACCTCTTCTGAAGGCTGGGGGGGGGGAACAAGGGCTTCTGAAGGCTGGGGGGGGCTGGGGGGAACAAGGGCTTCGCTGCCGACCCCCAGCATTTTAAAATCTCACCGGGACACGGGGAGATTTTAAAATGCTGGGGGTCGGCAGCGAACGCTTCGCTGATCCCGGGACCGGCAGGCAGATCTGCACCGCCATCCAGAGCGGGGCGGGACTTAGCGCCCCGCTCGGGATGGCGGCACAGATCTCCCTGCAGTCCCGGGACGGCAGACAGCTCTGCGCTGGCATCCAGAGCGGGGCGGGACTTAGCGCCCCGCTCGGGATGGCGGCACAGATCTGCCTGCAGTCCCGGGACGGCAGACAGCTCTGCGCTGGCATCCAGAGCGGGGCGGGACTTAGCGCCCCGCTCGGGATGGCGGCACAGATCTGCCTGCAGTCCCGGGACGGCAGACAGCTCTGCGCTGGCATCCCGAGCGGGGCAGGACTTAGCGCCCCGCTCGGGATGGCGGCGCAGATCTGCCTGCAGTCCCGGGACGGCAGGCAGCTTTGCGCGGCCATCTGGAGCGGGGCGGGCTTCGCCCCCGGCTCCCGATGGCCGCGCAGAGCTGCGCTGATCCCGGGACGGCAGACAGCTCTGCGCTGGCCATCCAGAGCGGGGCGGGACTTAGCACCCCGCTCGGGATGGTGGCGCAGATCTGCCTGCAATCCCGCGACTGCAGGCAGCTTTGTGCGGCCATCTGGAGCGGGGCGGGCTTCGCCCCCGGCTCCCGATGGCCGCGCAGAGCTGCGCTGATCCCGGGACGGCAGACAGCTCTGCGCCGCCATCCCGAGGGGGCAGGGACTTAGCACCCCGCTCGGGATGGTGGCGCAGATCTGCCTGCAATCCCGCGACTGCAGGCAGCTTTGCGCGGCCATCTGGAGCGGGGCGGGCTTCTCCCCCGGCTCCCGATGGCCGCGCAGAGCTGCGCTGATCCCGGGACGGCAGACAGCTCTGCGCCGCCATCCCGAGCGGGGCGGGACTTAGCACCCCGCTCGGGATGGTGGCGCAGATCTGCCTGCAATCCCGCGACTGCAGGCAGCTTTGCGCGGCCATCTGGAGCGGGGCGGGCTTCGCCCCCGGCTCCCGATGGCCGCGCAGAGCTGCGCTGATCCCGGGACGGCAGACAGCTCTGCGCCGCCATCCCGAGCGGGGCAGGACTTAGCACCCCGCTCGGGATGGTGGCGCAGATCTGCCTGCAATCCCGCGACTGCAGGCAGCTTTGCGCGGCCATCTGGAGCGGGACGGGCTTCTCCCCCGGCTCCCGATGGCCGCGCAGAGCTGCGCTGATCCCGGGACGGCAGACAGCTCTGCGCCGCCATCCCGAGCGGGGCGGGACTTAGCACCCCGCTCGGGATGGTGGCGCAGATCTGCCTGCAATCCCGCGACTGCAGGCAGCTTTGCGCGGCCATCTGGAGCGGGGCGGGCTTCGCCCCAAGCTCCCTATGGCCGCGCAGAGCTGCGTTGATCCCGGGACGGCAGACAGCTCTGCGCCGCCATCCCGAGCGGGGCGGGACTTAGCACCCCGCTCGGGATGGTGGCGCAGATCTGCCTGCAATCCCGCGACTGCAGGCAGCTTTGCGCGGCCATCTGGAGCGGGGCGGGCTTCGCCCCCGGCTCCCGATGGCCGCGCAGAGCTGCGCTGATCCCGGGACGGCAGACAGCTCTGCGCCGCCATCCCGAGCGGGGCGGGACTTAGCGCCCCGCTCGGGATGGTGGCGCAGATCTGCCTGCAGTCCCGCGACTGCAGGCAGCTTTGCGCGGCCATCTGGAGCGGGGCGGGACTTCTCTGCTGTCCCGGGGAGATTTTAAAATGCTGGGGGTCGGCAGCGAACGCTTCGCTCCCGCCCGCCAGCATTTTAAGATCGCCCGGGGCAGCGGAGAAGTCTCCGCTGTCCCGGGAAGGCAGGCGGGGGGGAGCAAAGACTTTTGCCCCCCGCCGGCCTTCAGAAGAGGTCCAGGACCTCTTCTGAAGGCCGGCTGTGGGCGAAAGTCTTTGCTCCCGACCGCCAGCAATTTAAAACAGGTCCCCGGAGATTTCCCTATGGGCTTTCGTCTTGCGAAGCAAGCCCATAGGGAAATTCGTCTTGCGAAGCGCCTCCGAAACAGAAAACCCTTTCGTCTTGCGGGTTTTCCGTCTTGCGAGGCATTCGTCTTGCGGGGTACCACTGTACTTAATCCTATATGCCCCTGGGTTCAGCTGACTTGGAGGAGAAATAAACATGCAGAAACCCCAAGAGGGGGAAAAGATCAGATGAAAAAAGGTAGCAGGGACTGGGACCCACACCCTGCATTGAAGAGCTCAATGAGCCTGAACAAAGGTTGTAAAGGCAAGCCTAAATGCACCTAATCACCCCTCCTGCCTCTGTTGAATTATTTGCAAAGGGGAAGGGGAATGAAACGCAGCTGTGAGGCTTGCTCACAGTCCTAAGAACTGTGGGCCAGGAATAAGCTCAGCCTGGAAAGAACAGTGTTCACTACGGCTGTCTTCTTTCTCTCCCTTGCCTACAAAAGAGGAACCTTGCACAAATCAGATAAAAATCAGCAGAACAGTGCAGACTTGGAACTCATTCACTATAAAGGCAGGAGAAAAGACTTTAGGGAGGTAGGAGGTATCCCTAGAGATCAGCCATCATGTAATCATAGAAGAAAAATATGTTTGGACCACTGGGATAACAGCAAACAGACATAAACCACCCCTTTTGAAAACAACAGCAATACAGCAACTCTCTAATTTAGCAGTCAGTAAACATCTATGAAATAAACTGGGCAGCCAGATGTAGTGAAACATACCACATACAACAATAAATTAAATCGCCAAAATTAGAGTACCATAATTCCACACAAGAACAGGTTTTGCTAGGATATAACAAAGGTGTAAGATGCACCTCTTTTAAGGAGTTCCACTAGCAGGATGCAAATACAGAAGCAACTTTTTCAGTAGCCATCACTCTAAAATGAGCCAACCAAAGGAGGATCTCAATTGCCATAACGATTCACATTAGAGTAGGCAAACCATTAGGGACCTTTGTCCCAAACCATTTAGGGCTTTAGAACTCTAAAGAAGCACTCTGAATTGTGTCGAGCAACAAATTGAGAGCCAACTAAACACCTTTAGTATAGGTGAGATTTGTACCTGGATGAATAGGTGGCATATCCATAGCAGGCCTTCCTGACATCATTCGTGGATCCACGTAAGATTGCATCATGAGCCACCGTGGATCAAAGCCCATAGAAGCCAAATGTGGGGGATGTGGCTGCATGGGCTGATAGAGTGGTCTATGCGGTGGTGGGGGAACAGGGCCAGCAGAAGGCTGAGAAGGTGTAGACTGTGGTAGGACCCCTTGCTGCTGCTGCTGCTGCCACTGTTGCTGTTTCATCTGCTCCTATAAAGCAAGAGAAAATATGAAATTTTTGATAAGCTATAGCAAATTGCTTTTAAATAAGTTTTTCCCCTAGAAATGTTTTAGGCACCTGATTTCAGAGCTTTTTTGGCTATGCTCCAATTCCAATTGAACCCAATAATTCATTGGTACACACATAATGCTCTTAAGCTTCAAGCTCTGATTATGATGTTAATGTTTGTTAGATATGGCCAAGACAATAGACATAAACCTTAGCCATGGTTAATAATAAGGACAGGAGGAATTAGAATTTGGAAGTGTTATGACTGTACTAGGTCACTGAGGACAAAAAGAAGGAAACAAGGAGGACCATTAGTGGAAAAACTTGGATGGGGAAGACAAGCCTATCTTAGCACTGAGGAACATAGTGGACAGACAAATGAATCATCTGACACAGTAATTTGAATGCTTAGTTCCAGCATAGTAACATTTGCAAATCTTAAATATGATAGATGGCAAGCTATGGCTGACAGATCATTGAATAACAGCAAAGGTTACAAAACACTTATGAATACGGGAAGTTATTACTTGCCAACTACTGCATGTTACCCACAACTTACAGTAAAGTTTAGTTACTTGTCTGGTGTCTCCCCTTAACCACAAATCACGATTCCCCCCCCCAAAAAAGTTTTATGATTATTCACCCTGAGAATGCAAATTTATACTATTAATTAATTTTTTATACCATCCTTCATTTGAAGATTTCACAGCAGTTCACAGTGCAGAAATGCAAAATAAATAAATACATAATAAAAGCAAGGGGAAAACACCAAACCAACCCATAAGTTCATCTCCCACAATTTAATACCTATATGTATTAATCTCAAAGTGCTATCCTTTTACCTGTTGTCTCTGAAACCTTGGTGGCAATGATTTCTGAAACTGCTTTGAATAGCCAGAAGAAATAGCAGGACGAGGCTGAGCACCAGAATCAGTCTCGATTTCGTGAGAACTTTCTCTTTCACTATGATTGCTTTCTTGAGTGGTGGAAACAGCTTGACACACTGTCCAGGGGTGGGGAATGCAAGAGAAAAATAACATTGGCACCATGGATGATAAATATGGATGATTACAAGTTCAAACTCAAAAACCACTCCAATTATCTTAAATATTAATGTAGGTGGGTTTTTTAAAAGACTTATTGGACATCATGACAAAGCAATGCTGAAACTGGGGAATAGGAGAGGCAGAAACTACACAAATGTGGCACAGGTAAGAAAATGTTATCTTGAAAGCACACCCCATGGAAATAGGTATGCAAGCTCTCCATAGAAAGTGCACAGACCACAGTTCAGGACACCTTGTAATAAACAGAGGCGTTACCTATTATGCTCCTGATCTACAAACGGCTTAGAAATCTCACCTTAAACAAGAATTCCATCTCCACAAATCTGGAATAGATGTACAGATTAAAACCATGTGTTTTTAGAGGCTTTTTGGAAGCTGTCACTGAAGCAGCTCACATTGCAAATTAAGCACTCTGTTAATAAACATAAGTGACAGCTTGCTTTTTTAGCCATGTGTACATTGGTCGCAATATTGGTGACAGTCATGCAACTAAAACCCCATTAACTTTAATGCATGCAGGATTGAAACAATGCTTTTAATATACATATTTATCTGGACTGTGGCACATACTATTCAAAAGTGATTAGACAAAACTTGCAAATGCATCCTGCTCCTGACCTTTCGAGCATTTATCAGGATGGTTTGTTTTAAACCCACCTTATAAACTTTCTGTCAGAAGACGTATTATTTTAGATATTACAAATGCTACTTTATAATCTAGGCCAGAGGTTTTCAACCTTTTTGAGTTCACGGCTTCCTTGACCAACTACATTATTTCTGCGGCACCCTGTGGGGTTCAGGAGCCCAGTTATGTCACCCCCCGTCTGCAGAGCTGGCAGCCTCTCACCCTTTTTCGAACACCCTCTCTCGTGGGGTGTTCCCGCAGCCTCCTTTCTTCTCTCCTCTCCTTGAGAGTCATCTAGGCTGCTGCTGGTCCTGGTCTCCGAGCTGCACCACCCTGCCCCAAAGAGAGGTGCCTCCTCACACTGCCCCACAGGGGCCTGGGAAAAGGATGCCCCCAGCCTTAGTGGCCCAAGGGGAAGCAGCAGTGGGTGCTGCAGGGCCTGCATGGTGGAAAGGCTCCCTATAAGCACTAGGCACTCAGCTTCCAGGAAGGCCTTGCACACAGCAAGCACCAGAAAGGCGAGCGCAGTGCCTGCCTGCCCAGACTCCCGCTGGTTTGTCCATTCTCAACAGCAAGGGCTGGGGTGGACTGGCTGGCTGGGTTCCCTTGCCCACTTGCTTGCTTATTCCAAGGCTGCCTCAGCTCCTGGCAACCAGCACCCCCTGGCCAGCACCAGTGGCACCATTCACCTGGAGAGCTTGTAGTCAGCGCTGCTGCAACAAACAGCTGTGAAAGCCTTTAGGAGGCAGAGACTTGAGAGGGCATCAGAGAAGGGAGGGAGGGAGGGAGGGACAGAGGCCAGTGTTGCCTGCAGCACTCCTGACCCATAATTCAAGGCACCACAATGTGCCATGACACACTGGTTGAAAACCACTGATCTAGGCACATGTAATCACAACCAAGTAAGCTTTGTCTTCTAGCCTTAGTTTACAAAATGCTGAATACAGTTGCTATTTATCTCATTAATGAATTGCTTCCCATGAGGCATTCTGAAACAATTTACGATATTTCCTTCAATATATCCAAAACTAAAAGTAGTACAGTGGTACCTCTGGTTATGAACTTAATTTGTTCCGGAGGGCCGTTCTTAACCCGAGGTACTACTTCCAGGTTAGCTGAGTCTGTAACCCAAAGTGTTTGTAACCCGAGATGTTTGCAACCCAAGGTACCATTGTACAGTTCTTAGGCAGTGCTATAGTTAGGATTCTAGTTAAAGACAGCAGGTTGCTTACTTTAAACAAACAAAATAATTGGTACAAACCTCTCTCCTCTTTACTGCTGCTTTCACTTTCTTGTGGCTTCTCAACTGTAACAGATGGAGTGATTGGCTCTTGAGGTTCAAGCACTTCAGCTTTTGGTTTCTCTTCTGCTTCTTCCCTCTCCACTTTTTCCCTTTCCTTCTCGGCTTCCTTTTCCCTCTCTTGGTTTTCTTTTTCTTCCCTTTCCTTTTCTATCACTGTGTCTTTTTCCTTTTCACTTACTTTTTCCCTCTCCTTATCAGTGTCCTTCTCCTTCTCCTTCTCCTTCTCCTTTTCCTTCTCCTTTTCTTTTTCTTTCAGTGGGTCTTCTCGGGGTGGTTTTGTTACACAGCCAAATTTCTCATTTAACCGTTTTAGCTTTTCAGCACATGCTGCTTTTCTTTGCTCTTCCATTCTTCGCTCCTCTTCCTCGCGCCTTTTACGGGCTCGTTCTACAGCTGCAGATACTTCTGCTTGCTGTCTTCGCCTCTGTTTCCAAATCTCATCCTCATCTGGTGTTGGCCTAGGAGGAAAAGGACCTTGCTTTCCTGGCCCTGCCAAGCGATCTGGAAGTGGATGCTATGTTTTTTGAAATAAAAAAGTGCAAAAGTCTCAAACAAAGGCAGTTTTAGACCCACTACAGAAGTGTATATACAAAGTGAATCTATGAACTGTCAGAAGGTCTCACACTAAAGTTAGGCCTAACAAGTGAAGTGCTGATCGCAAGCAATGCAAACTAGAAATGTGAAATTTTATTTATTTCCCCCTAGTTGGGCAGCTGTGCAGAAGAATGGGCCTCAATTAAAAGTTGTAAGGAGGAAGAAAACTTTATCTTAACAGAGAATAATGCTAGGGCTAAGGGCACTGCAAACACCTACTACTCTAAAAGCATCTTTTCAATTTGTTGTAAACTGACAAGCAAAGAATAAAGAAAGAGCTGCAATAAATATTTGCCAGCAGTGGTTTCCAAACTCCTCCCACCCATGGACCACTTGGAAAATTGCAAAGGGTCTTGGCAGAACACTTAATTATTTTTCTGCCTGTTGTAGCAATTGCAATGCACTGTGCAGGGTGCTGCAGGATTTTTAAACATATTATTGCTTCTTTTATTTCGTATATGCAGTGTTAGAAATTTCCAATTGCAACCATGTGGAGATCTCTGTATGCCAGGTTGGCAAATGACATCCCCATCTGGTTGGGTCCTTAAGAAGCTAAGCAGAAGAACTTATTTATTGCGTTTATATTCCAGCTTTTTCTCCAAGGAGTACATGGATCACCCTCCTCCTCAGTTAATCCCTACAATGACCCTGTGACATAGGTTAAGAGGCTGTGACTGGCCCAAGGTCACCCAGTGAGCTTCATGACTGAGTAGGGATTTGACCCTGTCCTCCAAGGTCCAAGTCCAATACTCTAACCACTATACCACACTACTGGCTCCCTACAGGACTTCTGCTATGGGGCAAGCTATATAAATTAAGTGGGTAAATAAATAAGGGGGAAGCAAAATGTCAATTGGAGAAGAATCTGAAATATTTTCCTTGAAGCTTGAATTTGTTTTATTCTGTATTTAATTTGATGTTTTAATGCTGTAAAAGCTTTGAGATTTTTTCATTAAAATATAAAGCAGTATAGAAATGAAATGACTACTACCACTACTAAATTTCATTGGGAAAAAGGGCTCCTAGACATTCCGTTGTGGCATCCATAACCTAGGTTTAAGTTGCGATCTGGCAATTAGTTTATATATTTGAGTTTCTAACACTGCTTACAGGTATTTTATTGCACATATTACTTTCAACTTGTGCACATTTAACTTTTGTGCATTCAGCTTTAAGCACCTGGCAAAATTTCTTTTAAGATTTTAAAAGGGATGGAAAGGTGGTGAGCGTTTGGGGGGAAAGACTTTGGCAATTGCACCCGCCCACTGAACCTAATGTGTTTCGACCATACGTCATTTTGGTTTTAGGTGTTATCCCCGAAATGTAACTCAAGTGTAAGCTGAGTCACCTGTACCACAATTTGAATTCCACAGAATTAAAATTGTTACATGTTCTTCGAAGACATGCTGTGGGCCACCTGAATGAAGTTTGCAGACCACAGTTCAATTTCCTGTGCTGTATTTTATGGAATTACTACATTTTAAAAATGTGGATTGTAAGGAGTGGAGAAGATAGCCTGTTTTAATCTCTCAACTGAAAGTAATTTACTGCAAAGTATTGCAGCCGGGATCCAGAAGATTGTGCATAGGTATTAAACACAGGCACCAGGGATTTATTGCCTCCCATACAGAGCATATACTTCCTCTGCCTTACTATGGCACTGCTAAGGATCAGGCCCTTGGAGCAGCATTTGATGTGATGTGTGGGACTGTAGCTTGAAGGGGGAAATCACTCCCTGGACACGCATTGCTACACATCCAAAGGCCTCTTTGAATTCTACAAAGTCATTTAAAGGAAAAAACAACGGAATGAAAAACTCAGCAGGTCTTCCATGTATTACAATGTGCACTGCATGACTACTATGCAAAGCATAATCTTACATTTTACTAAAAAATTAAACAGAGAAAGTTAAGGACTGACAGTTGGGCCCAGAGGTGAATTTTGCTCATACCTGAACAGATTTTGGCTGAAGCCCAGAACTGCCCCTCTCAAGCACTAAAGACTGGGCTGGTGTCAGACTGCGTTCCTATTGGATTAAAAAGCACAACTGGAAATATTCTTGTGAAACAAACCGAATGCTGTTGATTTAATCCTTTACTAGTTCCCTTTCAGTTGGATGTACTCAGTATAATGTACACAACATGTAATTACTCACTTAGGAATCATTCTTAACACACACATCTTTGTGCGCCTGAAGGGAAAAAGGCAGAGGTGTCCTTTTCTCCAGTGCTGCTCGCTATTGATGGCAATGTGGTCACTGAAGGTGTGGCACTGTTTGGGAGTTAACACCAGCCATGTTCCCACTGGCAGTGGCTGGCATAACACCCCCAAAAGGGTTGTTTTGTGTGGGTGGAATAGTGTCAGCCAGGGAGCTGCTGGATCCTAAACTGGCCCAGTGACAGGCCAGGGGCTTGATCCAGGCCTTTCTGTTGCAGCAACATGGTGCAACATAACAATACGCAAACCAGAACAAAAAATGTGACCTTCCTGTCCTGGCCAACAGAAGCTGGCAAGGATTTGGCTCCAGCACTGGCTTCATTCACTTCCATCATCCCCAAGGCCAGGGTCCTGGTTAGGATTCATCGTTCTATGCCAACACTAAAATCCCCAAAATATCCAGCGACAGAATCAAACATTCTTAAATCAGCCAAACCACAAATCTGTTCAGTGTCTCTGATAATTGGAGTTCAAATGTGCTAAAGGCTTCAGACTACAATGGTCTCAAAACCTCTCAGTGCCAACGTAAGGGGCATGCAGTCTGCAGTCAGTTTCCATGTCAGCACAGAGACTAGGTACCTGTCTTTTGCAGGAGCACTTAGCTGCACAGAAAGTTAAATAATGCCAATTCTCTATTTAGAAAGAATCTTTCAATCTGTATGAGCATTCAATTACATGAACACATAAACACAGGCTTGCTATCTCAGAAAGAAAGTCTTTTTTCAGTTCATCCAAAACCCTAACCCTTTGTTTTGTCAACAATCACATATATGGCAGATCAGATATATGCAGAATGTTCCAAATGGAAATGGACAGACTAGGTCTTTTGACTACAGTGTTACCTCGGGTTAAGAACTTAATTCGTTCTGGAGGTCCGTTCTTAACCTGAAGCTGTTCTTAACCTGAGGTAGCACTTTAGCCAGTGGGGCCTCCCGCTGCTGCTGCGCCACCGCCACGCAATTTCTGTTCCCATCCTGAAGCAAAGTTCTTAACCCAAGGTACTATTTCTGGGTTAGTGAAGTCTGTAACATGAAGCGTCTGTAACCCAAGGTACCACTGTACTGTTGGATTCCATCACCTTTAACCCCAATTAATCAATGATAGGTTTAAAAGGTACTAACCAATTCAATACACCAAGTGATTACCTCAAAAAGAGAGGCTATAACTTGTTGGGATGCAAAATGCAGCTCAGTCAGAAGGGAAGCTATGGTAAGAGTAATTGGGGGGGGGACCCTAAAAAACCCAACACAACACCCTTATTTTATGTAAAGTCCCCTCCAAAGCATGTTTCATTACTTCATTTACACTTTCATTAACACTGGCTGGAGAGGCATACCAGCACTTAACTAGCTCTATCACAATAGTATCTGGATAATGCACACCTAAATTGTAACTTATACATCAGGAGAGAAAAGTGATTAGATAAAAATACCTGCTCAAAGTAGTTGCTTTTATTATATGGCACTTTGGAACCAACTGACTGCAAAGGAGCAGATGATTTATGTTCTTCTGAATCTTTCTTCTCCACATCTTTTGCAGGTTCATTACTGCATGAAGGGGATCATAAAAGGTCATATTTTGCATACCACTTTTTTTACATGAAACATGTTTTTTATGTTAATTATGAAGATTATGTTAATCTTCTCAAGTTGCAATTTATATGCAATTTATAGCTGTGTTTCCCACACCCAAAACTCTAGCTACTACGTAACTCAGTCTCTTGAGGGTATTTTACAAATGTAGTACAAATACGAGCTGATTATTTCAAATTTCTAAACATGAATATTTTGTGTGTGTGTGTGTGTGTGTTTTATAAATCACCTGCTATGCTGTTCTTTCTGGTTACTTCCTTGGTCATCATCATCACTGAAGTTCAACTGTTCAGTATAATCTACCTCACTCTGGGCTCCTAGAATAATAAAGAATGGTAGGTCAGCACTGCAAAACACTTTTCTACATGCAACCAGTTAAATGTTCACTGATATTAATGTTCTTACCAGCCCAGCCTTCATCAGCTTCAGCATCCAAATTATCAAACTTGTCAAGTTCTTTGAGCTCATTAGCACTTAGGATGGCTGGGCGTTCTACAGTTTCTGAGCTCCATGAAGAGGGCCCTCTACCCCGTGGTCCTCTAGAAAAAGAAAGCAATCTATCATGTAGGGTTTATATATCAGTATTTCATAGTTAAGTTACTGAAGAGACTTAAGATTAGTTTAAGCTCAATACTGAAAAAAGTAGATACTTGTTCACAAACAGCAAGTTTAATTAACAAAGGGAACTATTTTCAATTACTAGATGTCAGAATGAAATGTTAAAGAATCAGAAAGGAAAAAAGTTCTAAGTGCAGACATATTAAGTGCTTGGGTGTCTGAGGTTTCCCCAGTGCTGCTGAAAGAATACAGAGACAATTTAATATATACCAAAGACACACAACAATATATATCATCAACGGACAACAATTTTAAAAGCTATACAAAAATATCAACGGTACAGGGTCCAATGTTATGAATAAGGGAAAACTGTGCAAAAACATGCACCTGTAGGTTGACTACTGATGTTTTGCTAACATTGGACTATGCACCACTGCTGCTTTAGTAATTTTATGCTTTGTATTGTTGCATCCTCTTTAAGTTAAAAGAATCATGGTCTTAAAATTATGTTAAATAAGACTATATATGCATTATGCAAATATAGTTGTGATATCAAAAAGTTTTAAGAGCAGTAATCAAATCATGCATGTAATTGGTATTTTTACCTGGTAGCCTCAGATGGAGCAGGGAACCTGCTGGGACCTGGCATTTGAGGATATGCCAATTTAGGGTACTGGTTAAACATCTAAGGAAAAAACAAAAAACCAGCTATGTAAACATTGTATTTTAATTAAATACCAAAATCATAAATTGGAAAGTGAGCATTTATATAATATACCAGAAATAAAAACTGAAGTCTACCTAAAATTAACAAACTCTTAAATTGACTTTATACAGTTAAGTTATTTAGGTGTGTGCCTTTTTGCATGTCCCTTGGTGCTCTATGATTTCTCAATCACATCACTTGCTAGAAGAAAATGACTCTCAGTTAGCAATTAACAGCAACAGGAATATAAACAGCATAGCTGCAAAGAGCTTAGCAATTCCACTTCAAAGGAAAGTTTCCCTCCCTTCAGATCCCTCAAGAGAAAGAAGTCTACAAGATATTGATGGACATGACTTACATAGGGTGGTATCATTGCTCTGTACTGAGATATGATCCCAGGCTGTTGCTGACCATTAAGCTTGGGAGCAGGTGGCAGTGCTATCCTTATATCCCTCTTCTCTGGTACCTTGGGGCCATCACTCTGTTCTACTGGTCCAGGCACATTACCGTCTTCTTGAGCGACAGGTTTTGCTTCTTGATCAGTTGGAGAATTTGGAGAGTTCAGATTCCTGCCTCCACCTTCTCGCCAGCTAGCAACATCTGAAATGGGATAGGGGAGGTTATATTTCAAACAGATTTCTGAACACCATTTATTTTGTGTTGTGCAAAAAGTGCTTGGTATATTTCTCACCAGCTTCATCCACCCCCCACCCCCCAAAAAGGACATTCAGTGACAAAACTGTCATCTCAGCCTACTTGAGCTGTGACACCACCAAGAATTAGTCCACTTTAGCCACAGAAATGGTTTAACTTGATCAATTCAAGCTCTCTATAACCGAGAACATTCAGCAGTTGCTGTTTTAAATAGGGCTATCACTGGCTCAATTAAGGCACTATACTAACAGTGGTTAAAGAAGCTGAATTATAGTTTAATGTAGTGTTTGAATTGGTTAACCACAATATGCAACAGTCTGGCAAAACCCAATCAGAAGCCACATTTTGAAGTGGGTTTGCAAACTGTAGTTTGTGCTAATTATGGTTGGCATTATGTATTATCTGACATTCCAGTTACACCACTTGTTCCATTTCTAAAGGCCAATGAACCTACAGCCTGGATAACAGATCAGGTGGAAAATGACTGTAGACAAGCAGCAGTCATGATTTGATTGTAGGTTTGAATGAGGAACTAGAGGCCTTGCAGGTGCTGTTGGACTCAAACTCAAGGATGCCCAAGGATGGAAGTTGTTGTCTAACAACATCCAGAGAGCCACAAGTTTCCCGTCCCTGTTCTCAACTACCATGAATGCAAACCATGTCAGAATTTTTGTAAGTTATTTTTAGAAAAAGGGCAAACTACTGGGATTAATGCTTTTTTCCAATTACATCTGATGCAGAGGAGGAAGCTAGGGCATCTGAGTCTGTGCTTGTTGTCAGCTTCATTGACTAATATTTAATTTAGGTCAAGAGATCAAGCAAATGTCTACGTGAACAAGTGTTTCTTCAAGAGCTGGTAGAATTCATTTGCATATTACTTGAAGAATGGGCTAAAAACTAATTAAAACTGTATTCAAAACTATTATTACATTTTATGTACACTTACTTTGTGGTCGTAAACTGGGCCCAGGACCATAAGGCTCTTCAGCTGCATCCTTCTCTTTAGTCTTCTCTTGATCACCAGCTGCCTGCAGACTAGGAAACTCTTGCTGGAAATAGCTATTTATTTGAACTCCAGGACCTGAGATAGTTGTAAAAAATGCAAGTCAGTAATTAACAGTTCAGAAAATCCAAAACTGCAATGTGGAATGAAATAAGCTTTTATTTTAGTCTCCAATTTCAAATAAGAAATACTTCTTCCATAAGAGATTCTGGTACTTCAAGTACCACTACTGGATCAATTGCCTTCCTTATGGTAAGAAGCTATACCAAGGAGCAAAGAGTAGCCTGCTCTGTTTAAATATATAGTATATGAATATCTTACTTACAGAAAGGTTTTCCAGAACTATAATGGCAGCGACTTGTGATCACTAGCTTTAACATAACCAGAGGCTCATTTGAACATAGCCTAGAAACCTGCTTTAAGAACACACTACATAAAGGAGGCCAGAAGATAGTTTTTGGTTCTTCTGTGATAATAGTAATAATTGTACAATAGAGCAATCTAAACCCTCAACCTGCCGTGCTGGAGAGGCTTTGAATGAAGCAGAAGTGCCCTGCCCAGTCCAGCTCTGCTGGTGAGGAACAACCCAAAGTGCCTGCCTAGATGGTGAGTGGGCAGAAGATACCACTGGTGCTAGTGAAGGGACCACTTGCATGGAGCATTAAGGGATTGGGTGGCCACAGGATCCACTAGATCTTGTGCTGGCCCTGCTGCTGTTCTCCATGCCCCCAATTTCTGTCCTGGTCAGCACAGGCAACAGTCTGTGGATGTGGTGGCGGCGGTCACACTACTCCATCAAGCTCCACTGCTGATGGCCAGGGATTTAGACTGTGCTCTTAGTGATACTAAATGAAAAATCTCTGCTTTCCATAGATATGAAGCAACTAGTCGTCTGCCAAATGCAAAGAAATAATTTGCCTTCTTTCTTCTAAGGTATTTTCAGTACTGGAACCATAGAAGCTATATTACACAGCTAGACCGCCAATACATTTAGCGTAGTATCATTTTCCCGGCTGGAAGTAGTTCCTCAAGAGTTTCTCCAGCTCTACCGAAAGATGACAGGAATTGAACCATGGATCTTTTGCACTTCCTCAGGAGTTTTTTTTTCCCACTGGAACCTGTCAGAACTCAGTTCTGGCACCTCTCAGGTGGTCACAATTGCTACTCTAATGAGAATGAAGGAGGTGTTCATGGTGAATTCCGGCAACTCTTTTTCTAGAAAAATAGCACTAGGCAAAACTAACAAGGTTCCTTTACTAACAAATAAATGTTACTTTATTTGTTAGAGTAACATTTCAAGATAAAGAAACTGCAAAAGCCTCTTTGCTTTATTAAAATGTCCAATACAAAATAGCAACACAGACTTTCAATCTAAATTAGAGCATTACTTGTTTTTAACTACTTTTGCAAATTTAGGGAAACTGTCTTAAAATAATATACAGGGTACCTTGGTTGTCGAACTTAATCCGTTCCAGGAGTCTGTTCAACTCCCGGAACCGTTTGAAAACCAAGGTGCTTCCTGCAGTCAAGCGGAAGCCACGTCGGAAGTTCGGCTTTCAAAAAAAGTCCACAAACTGGAATACTTACTTCCGAGTTTGCAGAGTTCAGGAGCCAAGCCATTCAAGAACCAAGCTACCACTGTATTCATAGAATTATGATACTTACTTTATCAAAATATCAATGTAAAAAGTTCTAGAAATGTGAGGAAGCAGGATTGTGTGCATTCCAAGAGCACACTCTAAAAAAATTAAGAGTAGACAATCCACTTGTCATTCTGTAGATTATACTGAATGTCCATTAAAAATCTCCAACTTTACATATAAATACAAAGCGAAATTAGTCCTTAATGTTTTCCCTGTGTACCACTTTTTAACTAGCCTACTTACAAGCATACTTTAGCAATCTTTAACCATGCTGGAAGCTAGAAAGATTGAATGCTGTCTTATACCAAGTCCACACCACTGATCCATCTAGCTCAGTACTGTCAGCTATCCAGGGTTCCAGACAGGGGTCTTTCCCAGCCCTACCTGGAGACACCAGGGGTTGAGCTATGATTGTCAATGAGAAACATGCCCAACTGAGTTCAATGGGGCTCAATTCCAGGTAAGGGGGTAGAGACTGCATTCTTACCTAGCAGTAAATCCCATCAAAAACAACAGGACCTATATTTCTGAGTACATATGAACAGTACTGGAGCCTTAGTAAGCTCCTTGGAGTGGGGGTGGCCTGGTACTCCTTATGCTTTTCTACACAGCAATATGACCATGTACTCCAACTCCTTTCAGCTCAAAGCAGCATGGCCAGCGGTCAGGGATAATGGGAGCTGTAGTCCAGAAGCATCAGGAGGGTCAGGTGTTAGGGAGAGAAATATTCTAGATCAATTTTCTTATACATGCACTTTTGGATACCCTTTTGATCATAAACTTTTCACACAATTAAAACTGCTGTCTAGCATGTGTACATTAAAAGCCAGGATGGGTTTCATAATGTAATTTGGAAGCATCCAAAACACATAATACATAAAATCCCCTTATGTTAAACTGCTTTCTTTTTATGATTTTTGGATTTGTATCCAAAATGATATCTAAGAGAATGTTATGTAAAAAGGGCAAAATAAATAAGGGGTGGGTTAAGATGCCTTGCCAGAGAAATGCCATCAGGAGTGTTGAAAGGATGTACAAAATAAGCCATGCAAAAATATCTACTTCATTTTTCATTTTGTGTTGCAGGCACACTTTAAACAGGAAACCCCAAGCATAAGCAGCTGGGTAATCCAAGCAACAGATCAAGGATGGGCTGAGTATAGAAACACTGCACGCAAGCAGGTCACCAGCTAATGTTCATGTAGGACCATGTAGTGTCTGTCTGCTGATTACTGATGGGCCTTGTTCTTATTCCGCAAGATCCTTCTTATGTTCCTAAACAAAAGGGCAAACTGAAGATCACATAAGCTACATTTGCTATACCTTAACTCAGGGTGGTCCAACTTTTCACATTAAGTGGGCCACAAGAGTACTTCACCATGGAACGTATGGGCCACACACTGCCTTGTCACACAAGGATGGGGAGCAAAGCCAAAATTTGGTGCCCTCGTTCCAGCCCTGTCTTCCCAAAGCCAGGTAAGCAAGGGGCCAGGCTTTGAGAAAGAGGCGGCAGGCTCAGGCAGGATCCTAGGGCCCTTCCTACACCTTCCCAAAGCTGGAAAAATGCTAACTAAGCTTTGAGAAGGAGGTGGAAGAACTATAGGACCCTGTCAGAGCCCGTATGGCTTCCCAAAGCCTAGCACCTTGCTTACCCAACTTTGGGAAGGCAGTGCAAAGACGGGGTGGGGAGTCAAATGTTGCTGAGGGCTGCCAAAAAAGGCTATGAGGGGCACGCATGGTGCTTGGGCCACGCGTTGGACCACCTTGCCTTAACTGCAAAAAAAGAAAAAGAAAAAAAGAAATAGAGTTTGCGGGTGAAGCATTGATGTTCTGGTAAAATAACAGACCATGCAAGGCTTAAGTCAGCTCACTACTGCAACAGAAGCTTTCCCAAACAACATGTTTAAATAACTGTGTGTTCCACTATGCCAGTGCCCACTTAGTCCAAGTTTATTATATGCATCTATGGACCAACTCTCAGTAGACCAAGCGGTAAACAAATTCAATTAATTATAATAAACTTGTCAGAAGAAAACATTTTTTAGTTCTAACACTGGGACTGAAATTCTTCTCTTTAAGAATTGAGGGGAAAATCAGAGTAACAACAAAATCAACCATTGCCACCCCAACACTATTTGTCCCACGAAAGCATCAAGACCTAGCTTCTATGAAGCTTGTCTTGCACCCCTACCACCACCAGCAGAAGAGTAGTAGCCAGATCAAGTGCAAAGCAGGTAAAACTTATGCTATCATCTTCCTGCTTTGCCTGCTACAACTCCCCCGAAAGGAGGAGTGATGCCAGACCATCCCTGGAGGACAATGGACCCACACACCATGGACTTGTGACAGCTGACTCGAAAGCAGACTTTTGGGTAGGGTGGTTAAAAAAGAGAGTGGGAGAATAGTTATCTAATTAGTGGTGGGAATCTTCTTTGTTTATTATTAGTGTATAGTTATAGTTAATGCCTTTCATGTATTGTTTTTTGTTTTTACATGTTATGTTAGGTGATATATTGATGAATTTGTATGACAGCCCCCCCCCCATCTTTCCTTATGGTATTAAGCATGTGTGCATAAATGTATTGCTGTAAGTTGCTTGGAGACCTCTGGATGACAAACAACTATTAAGTTTAATTAATATGAACCAGATGACATTATGATATAAGTTATTAAATCCAAATTCTATTCAGAGTTACTGAAATTAATTGGAGATGTCTAAGAAAAACACTGCAACAAAGAACGCTGAAATCAACTGATCTGCAGTGACATTTTAGAACCTCTCAGCCCTGTAATACTGTAATTCACAAAGTGTGTGTTGCGAGGCAGGTTGAAATAAATCTCAAAATATGCTGCTGCTAAGTGGTATGCATATGGCCAGAGCAAGATGCCCTGTGCAACGCCGATTCTCTCCCCACTCCAAGTATTAAGAACAGCACTATCATTTGAAGTTGCACCATGAGCAGCTCAAAGTACAGCTCAAAGTTATGAGGGAATACTGCTGTAACTTGAGTTTGGGCACTGACCAGTATGGAATTTATGTAAGAGGCCCAACAAAATGTCTAGCCAATCTGACCAGAAATAGTTAGCAGATGTGTAGTTAAAAGTAACTGTACAGTTAGTCCCTTACATGTATGATAGCTGTGACACATAATGGATAAGAAATCTCCCACATATAAAACACCCACTACTGACCCAACCTTGTGTAAAGCTATCATTTTCAACTGCATTTACTCGGGTGTTGGTGTCTCTTGTGGTGGGGGAAGGAACCCTGGGTAACAGGGATGGAGCAGGCCAGGCGGGTTGTGCCGCGGTGACTGCTACTACTGTGGGCCACAGTGGCGGTGTTGTTAGTGGCTCTGGGCCTTGTTGCTGCTGATGAAGAAGGAATTCAAGAGGAGCCTTTTGAATCAAAGACAGCCTTGCCTTCTGAGGAACAGGTGAAAGAGCATTCAACTGGAACCCATGTGGTAGCAGGTCAGATCTTCATTGTCTCTGATGAACCAGTCTCACATTGAAGGTGGAGAGTGTTTCAGAAGCCAAGAGAAAAAGGAAAGAACTTTGGAGGAGTTAAATTCTCTAGAACTGTCATCCCTATCAAGTAAGGATTTGGAGGAGGTAAAAGCACAAAAAGCAGTTTTCACAGCCATTGGAGGAACTGCAGATGGTGAGCGATGCTATTTCCCCTTTATTTTTCTGGAGAAGGAATACTCAGAATGTACTGCAGATGGGAGGGAAGATGGTAGACTCTGATGTGCAAAAACCTACAATGACAAGGCTTATCAAAAGTGGGACTTCTGTGAAACTGAAGAAGAGTCTAATAGGAGAAGACAAATGCAAGAGTCAGAGGATGTTTACCAGACTAGAATGAAAATCCTTAATGAAAGCAGTAGAAAGGTCCCAAAGAAGCCTATCAGTATCTTATTGGAGAGCTGACATGAATCATACCACTCAACCTTCAAAGCTATTAATTTAAACTACAAACACACACACACACACACACACACACACACACAGAGAGAGAGAGAGAGAGAGAGAGAAAGAGAGAAAGAAAGAAAGAAAGAAAGAAAGAAAGAAAGAAAGAAAGAAAGAAAGAAAGAAAGAAATGGATGACAGAAGATTTAAACTTTTGGGGAAAACTAGATGTCTAGGGCTTTTGTTTTCTCTAAAATGTTTTACGATATAAAATCATTACTCACTTTTCTATCAAGTGATGTATGCTAAATTTCTCATCAGAATAAAACTGCAAAAGACATGAGGTTTCCTTGAATGAAAGTGCAGTACAGCCAAGAACAATGCTTCTACAATGCTATCAATTTTGGCTGCCTCAAAAAATTAAGACCAACTGTCCTAAGATGGCAATGCAAAGCGGAACTGCTAGCCCAACTAGGCCGGCCCACCTCCACTTACCATCACCCTGCCCACCTTGCTTGGTATTGGCCCATGATTTGGCAACTGGAGGTGCTTCTTGAGGAGCAGGAACTGCAGGCTTTGGCTGGGTCTGTGGCACTTCTGGCGGTCTGAAACCATAAGAAATGTGAAGAAGCAATCCTGTTAGCACAAATGTTTTAGTAGGGGTTGAAAGAGGATGTTACTTATAGAAGACAGAGAATTCAGACTCTTGAATCATTAAATGAAGTGTATGCCATGGATCTTCCAAAGTGCTCTTGTGGCATATACCAAAACTTTATACCACTATTCTTAATGAGAATTTACAGTATGACCTTTAACTTACTTTTCTTCCTCATGTTGCTCTTGTTTAGAAGCCCATCCTGTGCCATCCTTAGGCACAATGTTTATATTAGGATCATTGCCTTTGTTTTCTGCTTTAAGACTGGGGAGATTAGCAGGAGGGGGCATCCTTCGTGAAATGGCAACTTTTCCAAGACTCTGTAATCCATGGCGTGTTGTGACTGCATCAAGAAAAGACATTTTAAACTGCTGACTCTGTCAGAGAAATGTACAGATTTATCAAAGAAATATGATTCTAAGTAGAACTTGGAAGATCTGCGAATCCATTGCTCCTAGGTCCCAAGTTAGGATTGCTTTGGTATTTATTCTACGTATACCCTGTCCTTCTATTGAGACAAACATGACTTCCATTGTTTCCATAAAATGGGTGCCTCTCATATCTCAACCAGGATGCTGTTCCACAGGAGAGGATGCATCAATAGAAAAAACAAGGGTTCAGGCCAAAATATAAAAACACAGTATGTAGCAAACAAAGTATAATGAATGTATTCGTCACAATGTACCCATTATTACAAGGCATACAAGCGGTACTCCAACACAAGCGGTACTCCAAAAACATCAAAGTGAATACAGAGTTACAATTAATGATGTATTTTCTTATCTCCAATGCAAAGAAATTATTGAAAGTGATGGAGCAGCTGTAGTAATCAGGACTGCAGCCTGGTGATCCCAGTTTCGAAGCGAACTGGCTCTAGCCAGTATACAGCAGAAGCCTCAACTTGTACCTGGTGTGGGACTTTGTTAACTTACAGGCTGAAGGAGTTTTTCTCCACTTGTATTGGAGTACCACTTTGTATGTATCGTATGCCTTGTAATAGTGAGTGCATTGTGACAAATATATTCGTTGTACTTTGTTACATATTGTGTTTTTATATTTTGGCCTGAATCCGTTTTTTCTATTGGTGCATGCTTTCACACAGTGGGTTCCTTCATTTTGTTCCACAGGAGAGGGGCAGCCACGCTGAAGACCCTGCTCTGAATGACTGTGGAGTGGGGCTTCTGATATTTTAGATGTGATTCCTGCCTTTTAGCTGTAATTCCTGAACTTCAGGTGGTTGGACGAGATAACTCTTCGCGTTGCTCCCATCTCTACAATTCTATGGTTCTATTTAAAAAGGTTCAAGCACACTAACAGCCTAATAAAAAAATAAAATTCAAAATGCACAAAACAATCATAGATGGCAGACAACAAGTTAAGGATAAAATGCTAGGGAAGCTTGAAACAAGTACATTACTTAGTAGGCAAAATGCCTGCCAAAAGAGAAATATTTCAGCTCACAGAAGGCCTAAAGAAAGAATGCAAGATAGGCCTCCCTCAATAGTGTGTTCAACAGTAGTAGACTAAACACATCATTTAGATTTATTTATTTGTTAAATTCATATCCTGCCTTCCTCCTCAAAGGGCACCCAGGACCCTCCAGAGCAGATCTGGAGAGCATGGGAGGGACTGGAGGGGGAGAGAATCAGCAGTCCTCTTGCGCCAGTGGGTGGACATCATTGATATAACTCAAAATGGTAGCCAACTATAAACAGCTTATTAAATTTAGATGAGATACTTTAATAATGCAAACAAAGCTATCAGCAATGAGTATTTCTCAAACAGTAGCAGCTCATATTACTTTACATACCTGTAGCTTTCTGTGTTTCCAGAGTCTTTCCTCTATAAGTATTAAACAGACTAAGTGTTGCATACTTGGTTTTTCCATCCTTTGCTTTTGTGTTCTGTCCTGACTTTTCAGACATTTCAGTTCATTGAGCTAGAGCCTCCTTGCTCACCCCCTCAAAATGAAAGGAAAACTCATTAGACAGTAAATAAATAGACATGTTAACCAGTGAAAGTGACATAGCTTATTTGAGAAAAGAGGCATTCAGAAAGAAAGGTGCTGCTGCAAGTGTCCCATGATGACCTAGTTGTAGCTCTGCCTATTGTGTATTACAATGGATAATGTAACAGGATGGCCTCTCCTACCAGAGTACAGCGGTGCCTCGCAAGACGAAAAGAATCCGTTCTGTGATTCTCTTCGTCTAGCGGTTTTTTTGTCTTGCGAAGCAACCCTATTAGCGGCTAAGCGGCTTAGCGCTATTAGCGGTTTAGCGGCTATTAAAGGCTTAGCGGCTTAGCTGCTAAAAGGCTATTAACGGCTTAGCGGCTTAGAAAAAGGGGGGGGGGAGCGGAAAAAAAATCGCAAGACTACCAAGACGTTTCGTCTTGCGAAGCAAGCCCATAGGGAAAATCGTCTTGCGAAGCAACTCAAAAACGGAAAACCCTTTCGTCTAGCGGGTTTTCCGTCTTGCGAGGCATTCGTCTTGCGGGGCACCACTGTATAGGAATACTTGGCTCAAGATACTGCCACAGCACAGGCAGTGGTCAGATGAAGAAGAAGAAGAAGAAGAGTTTGGATTTGATATCCCGCTTTATCACTACCCGGAGGAGTCTCAAAGCAGCTCACAATCTCCTTTCCCTTCCTCCCCCACAACAAACACTCTGTGAGGTGAGTGGGGCTGAGAGACTTCAGAGAAGGGTGACTGGCCCAAGGTCACCCAGCAGCTGCATGTGGAGGAGCGGAGACTTGAACCCAGTTCCCCAGATTACGAGACTACTGCTCTTAACCACTATCCCACACTGGCGTTACAGATGAACTGCAACACTGCATTGAAACAATGCTGCTGAAAGAACATGCATTCATCATTAAAACAATTTCACAATCCATGATATTGATTTTCCAGAAAATTTAGAACTAACTTTTTTTGTTCTGATTTCCCCCGAAAATTAGTTAGGATGTTAACATATTTAGTAAATTAAACTAAATCCAAAAAGTATGTCAGGTTAATTTTCCATGTTGTGTTTCCCCAACAGTTAAAGGTATTTGATCTGAAGTATCTGAAAAGAAAAACAATTCAGTAAAACACTTTATGTGATTTAAATGTTATATTTAAATTGGGGTGGGAAGCTGGATCTGGCTCTCCACTGCCATGGACCAAATGTGAGAGATGAATTGGGACAGCCACCTAACACCTGACATCACAATGACATCAGTTGACCCCTTTTTGCCTGCATGTACAGGCAAATGAATGCACAGCCTGCAAAACTTTCAGCTGACTGTTGGGTCTCATGGAGCCCAAAGCAAAGTACTCCACATGACCAGAAAATCAGCTGATAAGTTAGATCCTGTGGAACCCCTTTGCACAGGGTTTTGCAGGTGCTGCCAATAAGCTTGAAAAACTCCTTACAGTTGAGCCATGTCTTTATCTGCCCCACATCTGACTTCTGGGCCAAATGGGAAGGTCTGGTAGGCATGTTAAAGAAACTGATCATCAGTGGGCAAATTAAGGGAACTGATCATTCCTCGGGTATATTATACATGCCCTGTAGTCAAACGAATATGCAAGTTCCATGGACACAACTGAAACACCAATGTGTTGCTGAGGAAATATGGCATGTTTCCTGTTGCAGTTTATCTTCCACCAAAAACTACCACTACACAAATCTAATCTAATCTGCACAAGATCATATGGCTTGCTGCTCAGATGTACTAATGCTAACAACAGAGTCATCCCAAACTGCATTCTTAGCTAAGATCATGTCATGTTACATTTTCCACTGAATCGCTCTAGTTCTATAATTTTTTGAAGAGTAATATTAAATAAAGGAAATAGCAAACCTTATGGCTAGAAAGGCAAATATAAAATCAAAGCTGTAATTGGTGATCCCTAGGAAGTCAATATATTTATGCAAACAACTCTACAGGTATGCAAAACTTATAATGAAAGAGAAATGTATTCTATGAATTATGATACCTTAAAATATTTACAGGCATTTTAAAATAATTTAACTCTTTGAGTAACATCACATACTTTGCTGATGTAGTAAAAAATTGTGTTCTGTTATTTTTGACTACTGAGAAAATCTTCTATTCTGTATAAATATTTGAAAAGTTAACACCTCGTAACAATACTTTTACAAGTTTTGTTTACTAAATATAAATTAAACATACTAAATCAGAACTCTGTTAACTTAAGGGAGTCAAAAGTTTACTAGAAAAAATCCAATTCAAAGTTTCTAAAAAAAACCCCTTAACATCACTTGCTGAAATATTGCTTCCGTATTCTTTTGTTTTCTACAACATTTTTCTCAGTAAACCATCACATACATCTATAGACTGTGCAGCCTATATGTAGTCAATCAAACAGGATTTTCACTTTTTGTAATACAATTATGCTCCAAGTACCGTATAATCACATCTTAAGTTGGGGTTTGCTGGCAGTAGTATTCGCTCACAAGCAAGCTAGCTACCACATTCTATACTAGCTGCATATGACATCTGTGATGTTGTGAAGGTCCAAAAAAAAGAAAAAGAAGAAAAAAAGCCCCCCCCTTCTGATTCCAATAATGCAAAAAAGGCCACAGCTGTATATGGTATGCAGAGTCAACTGTTACATGGTTTCAAGTGGTATGTAATCACAAACTAAAGAGGAGATGTAACAGTTCTGATTACAAATGGCATATGTCAGCATCTGCTGAATCATTCATACTCTCACCAAAGCATAGGAAAATGAAAGAAATAGGTTTCCACATCTGCCAGTATGCCTGGCTTGAGGTCAAGAAGTTTACGGGATCATTGTTACTAGGTAAAAATGTATTTTTTAAACCAGCCAGGGGAATCCAGTTACTGACAGCTCAACACATTAACATTTCCAGTTTTAAAAAATGTTCTATCAATATACAGTCGTACCTTGGTTCTTGAACACAATGCGTTCCGGGAGTCCATTAGACTCTTGGAACCATTCGAAAACCAAGGCGTGGCTTCCGATTGGCTGCAGGAGTGTCCTGCAGCCAACTGGAAGCTGCGCTGGATATTCAGCTTCCGAAAATCATTCAAAAACCAGAACACACACTTCTGGGTTTTGATTGCTCTGGACCGATTTGTTTGGGAGCCAAGATGTTTGAGATCCAAGGCATGACTGTATACCACATTGCAATGAATTACAGTTAGTTCTCTTGTCTTTCGGGCAGTTCAGAAAACAAAGTAGAAAGACAACACAGCCAGTAAACCTTGGTGCATTTGCCAGACCGACGATGGATGTGGAATTCTGTTCTCTATCCTAAAGGAAGGGAAGAGCTAGCAACCTCATGGCATTCCCTGGCTAAGGAATAGTGAGGCTAGCAGTGCCTACTTGTTCATCTCTTCCACTAGCGGAAGGTGGGGAACTGAGATTGGAAATTTCCTTTTTAGATAAACTACGGTTTGTTGGGTTCGGACAACATGACATGGTAAATAGAAATTTCTCTTAAATAATAACTAGATAAATATTAAATCATTTGGATATAAATTATGTAGCTGATTGACTCCAGCTATAAAAGCGGAGGCTGCTGAACAGGCTCTTGGACTGGGGGTATTCTTTGGAGGGGTGTTTGGCTGTTATTGATATTATTTTCTATCTTTATACAGTCAAACCCTGGCTTTCGAACATCAGAGCTGCTGAACGTTTCAGAAGCCGAACGCTGAAAATCCTGAAGTGAATGCTTCCATTTTCGAACACGCCTTGGAAGTCAAACAGCTTCCACAGCGCATTTTTCCATTTTCACCATTCACTTTGCTGACAGCCCTTTGATTTTCTGTTTTCAAACGTTTCGCAAGTCGAACAGACTTCCAGAACTGATTACATTCGAAAACCAAGGTTCCACTATATTTAGAAATATGTGGAAAGTGTTCAATTTTGTTGTGTACTTTTTGTTGTGTTTTATTTGTGTACGGCTTTATTGTAATTATGCAAACCTTTTCATGTAAATAAAATACTGATAAAATAAAACGCTGATAAAATACAGCAATCAGATCTTATTCCTATTGGTCATTGGAATTTCATTTTTGTTTGCCACTTTCTTTTGTGATGGTGGCTACACCATGGCAGAGTGAAGCAACATCGGAAATTTGTCAAAACTGTGCTGTGTGCAGGTTCCTATAATCCCATGCTTGGCCTCAGAAACTGTGAGAGCTGCTGGCCAGACTAACCCTATATGAGGATATTTTAAAGACATTCTCTCCAGAGTTTGAAAATAGCCAGGTACATTTTGCAGGCCACTTGCAACCAAGTGAAGATGTCTGGGAGCCAAGGTGGTGCCTGACATCTCCATCTGGAGGTGCATGCATGGGGATTACTGTATCCCTGGATAAAGTGACTTTTCTTCTTTAAGTTCTCAGAATTCTTAGCATAGCTCAATGTTATCATCTGAACTACCCAAATGTTTAACTGATAATCCATCACAATCAGTCCATCATTTGAAAAATAAGACTTGCCCAAAAAAGGGAACTAGACATTCCGTTTGGGAGACTGTAACTTTGGTTTCAGGAGCCATTTGACCCCTAGCTTGTATATCTGAGTTTCTAACACTGATTCCCTCTATAGGTAAAAAAAGAAAATATGCAAAATGTGACATCGTAATAATATGTGACAAAGATGTAGGCTTTTGATGTAAGAATGAAATAACAGTATTAATAATGATACTCTTATGTAGTTATGAATTAACATGGCTTCTGGTCAGATGCTCAACTTTGTTTTGTAAAAATATGAATAATATAAATGAATAAGTCCATTTAAAGCTATCATTTGAGTTGGTTTCCTTTCCTAATGATTTAAATCAGGCACCTCCAACTCCCAAGAGACTGTGATCTACTCCCAGTATAAAAAAACTGGCAGTGATCTACCCATTGTCATTGGAGGGAGGTGGAGTGTGGGTGGAAGGGAAGGATTGCCCAAAGTTGGGGGATTGCTATGGGGAGGATTGCCCAGAGGACTTGGGAGCTAGGGGCACTGTTATGCAGTGGTCCCACTCCTTCCCCCTGGGCCGTGTCCAGAGTGTGGTGTTGGAGGAGTGTTCAGACCTATGGGCTCTCACTTGTGGGGTGCTTCAGGGCTCTATCCTCTCCCTCATGCTTTTCAACATCTTTATGAAGCCATTGTGATAGATCACCAAGAGGTTTGGGCTGGGTGTTCACCACTATGCGGATGATACCCAGCACTACCTCTCCTTTAAATTGGAACCAGTGAAGGCAGTGAAGGTCCTGTGTGAGTGTCTGGAGACGGTTGGAGGATGGATGGCTGCTAATAGATTGAGGTTGAATCCTGACAAGACAGAAGTACAGTGGTACCTCTGGTTAAGAACTTAATTCGTTCTGGAGGTCTGTTCTTAACCTGAAACATTTCTTAACCTGAGGTACCACTTTAGCTAATGGGGCCTCCCACTGCTGCAGCACAATTTCTGTTCTCATCCTGAAGCAAAGTTCTTAACCTGAGGTACTATTTCTGGGTTAGTGGAGTCTGTAACCTGAAGCGTCTGTAACCCAAGGAACCAATGTACTGTTATAGGGGGACGGGGGGGGGGGGACAGGGGGTGGACTCCCTGGTCTTGAATGGGTAACTGTGCCCCTGAAGGACCAGGTGTGCAGCTTGCGAGTAATTTTGGACTCGTCCATGGAGGCACATGTCAATTCTGTGTCCAGGGCAGCTACCAGCTTCATCTGATACGCCAGCTGAGACCCTACCTGCCCGTGCACTGTCATGCCAGAGTGGTGCATGCTCTGGTTATTTCCCGCTAGGACTACTAAAATGCGCTCTATGTGGGGCTACCTTTGAAGGTGACTTGGAAACTACAATTAATCCAGAATGTGGCAGGAAGACTGGTGACTGGGAGCAGCCGCTGGGACCATATAACACTGCTCTTAAGGGATCTACATTGGCTCCCAGTTGGTGCTGACTTTTAAAGCCCTAAACCATGGGTAGGCAAACTAAAGGCCGAGGCCCGGATCCAGCCCAATCACCTTCTAAATCCGGCCCATGGACGGTCTGGGAATCAGCGTGTTTTTACATGAGTAGAATGTGTGATTTAAAATGCATCTGTGGGTTATTTGTGAGGCATAGGAATTCGTTCACCCCCCCAAAAAAAATATAGTCCGGCCCCCCACAAGGTCTGAGGGACAGTGGACCGGCCCCCTGCTGAAAAAGTTTGCTGACCCCTGCCCTAAACGGCTTTGGCCCTGTATATCAAAAGGAGCATCTCCACCACCATTGTTCTGCCCGGGCACTGAGAGCCTTCTGGTCATTCCCTCACTGCGAGAAGTGAGGTTACAGGGAACCAGGCAGAGGGACTTCTCAATAGTCGCACCCACCCTGTGGAACCACCTCCCATCATATGTCAAGGAAATAAACAACTATTTGACTTTTAGAAGACACCTGAAGGCAGTCCTGTTTAGGGAAGTTTTAAATGTTTGATGTTTTATCTGCTGGGCAACCCAGTTAGATGAGATGGGTGGCATACAAATAATAAAATTGATGTTGTTGCTGTTGTTGTTGTTGTTGTTAATGCTAAGACAGAAGTGTCCTTGCAATTGTCAGAAACCTGTACTGCTGATAAGAAGCTGGGTGAGATGAAAGCATTTGGCAAAGACACCAAGGAAATAAGAAGAATCCTCATACAGTAGTGACTCCACTCTAGGGTAAACTTCTTCTACCAAGCTGACAGTAATCAGCAGAACTCAAAATGATAGATTCAGAATGGAAATACAGAAGTAAGAAGTAAACAAAAATTCTCGTCAAGCACTAAGCATTAGGCAGTTGAAGCCAGAAAAGTTAAAAATACCAATACATCCCACAGTAGAAAGTTAAAAATACCAATACATCCCACAGTAGAAATTTACAGTGGTACCTTGGCTTAAAAACTTAATTCGTTTCGGAGGTCCATTCTTAACCTGAAACTGTTCTTAACCTGAAGTACCACTTTAGCTAATGGGGCCTCCCGCTACCGCGGGAGCACGATTTCTGTTCTCATCCGGAAGCAAAGTTCTTAACCCGAGGTACTATTTCTGAGTTAGCAGAGCCTGTAACCTGATGCGTATGTAACCCGAGGTACCACTGTATAGGTAAAGAAATAAAAAATGGCTGTGATCTTACTTTAAAAATTTCAGAATTTGACTTAAAAGTAGGACCAGAATTCCACATTTTGCTTTTCATGCATGCCATGACACTGCCCTCTGGTATGCATGGTAACCCACAGCAGGCAACTTTGGAACTGCACATCCTGTAGAATTCTATCAGTTATATTTTTTGACCAAAAAGTTGTATTGAAAAATATGTCTAGCCCATCTTGCAGTGTTAAAAACTCAGATATATAAGCTAGGCACCAAATGGCTCCTTAAGTCAGGTTAGTCACCAAAGCAGAATGCCTAGTTGCCATTTTTGGGCCAGACAGCTCAAAAGTCGTATTTTTCAATATGACTTTTTGGTTCCTGAAATTCATCCTGAGTGTGCAGATAAAATACAATGGATAGTGTGTGAAAACAGGCAAGGATCCTCAGGCATGCACCTTTAGATGGTGGAAACGTCAGGCGCCATCCTGGTGCCCGGCCATCTTCACATGGTCACAAGTGGCCAATAGTCAGGTGCAAAATGCACTTGGCAGATTTTGAATGCTGGAGTTCCCTCCTATAGAAGCTTGCTTGCTTTCTATTGTGAGTGTAAATGAGAAATGGGGCACTTGGTTGCTTCTCCACCAGTCCACTCACCTTCTCCAGAGCAGGAAAGGTGGCAGAGGCCTTATTGGAAACTGCGTAGATGAGACCCCCTAGACTGATGAAGGGAATCATTTCTAGCTCCAAACTAGGTAGTGGAGAGAGGATCCAAGGATTGTCCTGAACACAGAGGTGCAGCTTGAGGTCAGTGACAAGGGGAGTGACAGGGTCCCAATGACCACAATATCCAGCTTGGCCACCAAAGCAAGTAAAAATTTGTTGCAGGAACACCATTAGGACATATTTTAAGCTAATACAAGATGGTTTAAAGAGGCTAGGATGGTGGTTGTTTATATCAAGCAATGGCCTGTATGGGACTTATTCACTTTATCTCCCCCTCCCAAGTTTTTCCTCTTCCTCACCAATTTCATACTGATGCCATATAGACTAGGCTTAAACAGCCTTCCTCTCCTTAAACAATACCAAATGTGTGGTAGCCAAACAATGGCAATACAACCATAGTCTCTCCTAGGGAAGATGCCCCAACTTTAATACATGACAATGATTACCAATCTGCAAACGTCAATAACTAATTTGTACCAGTTCTTGTGTCTTCAAGATGCTAGAAATATTGCAAACATGTGAACCAATGAGTAAGTTTATATTTTCTCAGCACAATGACTCCAGTGAAGAACTCCATGTTTAGGAAGGCTGCTAGGAGTGTAGGTAACTGTGAATTGGAGCCCACTGAGGTCTATCCTCAGATGGCAAATAAATCACCTTTTCTTCCCCAATCAACCCCCCCTCCCACATACACTGGCATCAATCATCTCATGGTCCTGGGACCAAAGTACTTGAAGGTGCACCTTTCTCCTTTACAGTGCAGTTGAGGGTGAAAGTGGGAGAGAGGCCTTTCTCCACCTCTGATGGAACTCCCTTGAGTGGGAGGTCAGGCTCGCCCTTCCTTAGCCACGTTCCAGCAAATTCTGAAGGCATTCGTATTTGTCTAGGCCTCTGGAAGCGGAAGGTACTTTTAGGCATTACCGGTTTTATTGCTGACATTTTAATTACCAGATGGGGTTCTCATCAGGTTTTATAGACTGCTAGCCGCCCTGAAGAACCCTTCAGGCCGGGGGGTAGGCTGGGATGGACATTTTTTTAAAAAAAACCAAACACCACCAGCCAGCTAAATGTATCCCCGAGGGGGCTGCTGCAAAACCTCACCCTGCCTGGCGAAACGAATTAAATCGGGCGGCGGTGGTGCACCCCCAAGTAATAAAGGATCCGCAGCAGCCTAGGCCTGGATTAGTCAGGAGAAAGTTACTCATTTTTCCTCTCCCAGGGAAGGAATTTGGGGAAGAGGAGGGCGGCGAGGGGAAAGGGACGCGCCGGAAGCTTACCCGTGAAAAGGGAAGCGGGGACGAAAGAATGGCGCCGGAAAGCCTTCAAAGTGGGAAAGGGCAGGATGCGAAAGAGGGGGGGGGAATAAAATAAGGCCGCGGTCCCAATTCCTCCGCCCCCCCGCGCCCCCTCTCTCCGTTCCTCCTCCGTTACCAAGCGCAGCAGCATCCCTGCCCCATTCAGAAGCGGGAGGAGGAGGAGGCCGGAGCCGCTCCTCTTTCTCTCACTCCGGCCCGCCGCCCTCGCCTCAGGCCCCGCGACTGCCCCCTCATGCGGCGGCCTCCCCGCGCCGGGTGCGGGAAAGCGAAGCCTCCCACGGGCGCCGGCGTCGGCTTGACGCGCCCCGCTCCTCCGCGGCGTCGCCCTCCCTCCCCGCCTCCCGTTAGCCCCGCGCGAAGCCGCCTCAGGCGCGCACTCACCGAGGCCGCAGCAGTCGCCTGGCGTCGCCTCCACACACAGCGGGGCCAAGATGGCGGGCGGGTAGCCAAGCCGGCGGCGCCTCGCGAGCGTCTGACCTCACCGCGCACGCACGCACGCACGCGGCGGCCAGCCCCACGTGACCCTGGGGCTTCGGCGCTCTGGCCGCCGCCTGCCTTCCGTCGCCGGCGCCAGAGCTGGGAGTGCGGCGGCGGCGCCACCTACCGGGCGCCTCGGGGACGGCAGCGGGGCTGTGCTGCCGCGCGCCTCTAAACAGGTTTAGTTCTCAGGGTTGGTAGAAGGCGGATCCAAGAGGTTTCCATCACTTTGTGGACCTCTCAGCTTCACCTGAGGCAGCTTTAAAAGTAAGGGCAAGGAGGTGGTGCTGGATATGGGTCACGAGGAATGAGGGAGAAAGAATACAGAAGAAGATCTATGGGGAAACAGAAGAAATTAGTTACTTCCTGCCTTCCCTGTGCACTGCTCCCTGGCTGTTGAGGAGAAGAGTGTCAGAGCAGTATGTGTGGTGTTCACATATGGCAAAGGGCATGCTGTCCGGGCACATGAGTGTTATAAGAATGCCAAGGTGTCATAAATGAAATGAATGTTCATAAGTGCACATACATAACTACATCCTGAAGCCATCATGACTCTCCATAGACCTCAAATGAACAGGGGAGATCTGGGACAATGGATTCAAGAACTAAGGTGTTTACTATTTCAAAAGAATGACCCAGACAGACCAGGATAAGGTGATCAGCAAGCATTATCAGGTATCTTGACAGGCAGGAGGGAAGCCACTCTTTCACATTTCTGTTGTAGACCTCCTCTTTCTGTGATGCTGGTATGATGCTTGCAAGGTGGCCTTTGGTGGGGGGCAATTTCTTACATACTTTTTCTGGGTCCTCACCTCCATGCAAGACGGGAAGGGGGAAGGACTCTGTTGCAACAGAAAAATAAAGACTTGACTTGCTTTGACTGGTTCCTGCCTCCATGAATTCTTCTCTGACCAGTAATGGACTTAAGGGACACAGAGTCCCTTGATGGGGAGTTGGGCTGTAAAAGCCAAAGCCAAAATTTCCTTATCAGTTTCTGCAGTTACATATAACAAGATGTGTACCCTCACTCTTGCTTACTTGTGTGGTGTGGAGTGATCTGGGATGTGGTTTGGTGTTGAGTGTTTGATATGGTGAAGGTTCTACATGGAGACGTGTTAGCAACATGCTCAAGCTCCTAGGAGTGCTATGATGCTATGTCCTAGTGCCCCCTTTATGTCCTGTGCCCTTTCTTCATAACTTCCCATCACAAGTTTCCACTTGTGATCTCTAGATGTGCATGAGAGATATGAACCCAGACAACACACCCTATTTTCAGTGTTAAGTTCTTCCTGTTCTTTATAGACTCTGGGTGCGAGTGTGCTTTGTTAAGGTTTTGAGTTACAACATATCCTATTCTCTGTCACAGTAGCATGAGAGGGATGAATGTCAGGGTAGGGACACCTGTTATATATTTATATATTTATTGCAGTCTGCAGAAAGCATAAAATGGTCCAGAGGAATTCTCCAAATTATGGACCCCAAATACAAAATTCAAGACACTTTTATAACATTCTCTTTACATGATTAGCTCGTGGACGATCTTTTCCAAGGCCAGCGGCAGAGCAACCCCCACTGGCGTCTGGGGAGGACCAGCATTTTGGGGAACACCCAGTGGAGAACTGCCCATGTGCAGCCCCCAAGAATCCCAACAACCGCCGTGCAGCCTGCCCTTGCCTGGCTGCATGGACAGCTGGTGAACACCTCGTGCTTACTTTTCACTGGTCTACAAAAATGTGCTTCTACCTATTATACACTATTATAACACATAATTTTAAAATGAAGTTATAAATCCATCCATTCTTCTGTCTCCTGCAAAGTGTTGCATTTTGGGTAGTCTGTTACATGAAGCGGTCAGTCTGAGTGATTGTTCTTTGGAACATTAGTCTCTTCAAGGCCACTTTGTCTTTCTGCTATGCAAAGCTGATAAGAGAGGCTCTGCTTGCTAGCAAAATGCAAAAATGCATCTTCTATTCATAGTTGGGGGTGCACGGAGAAGAGAAAAATAGTTTAAACTTCCAAATCTATGTTTCTGACTCTACAGTGTAAGAACACAAACGGGAACACAATCCTTCCCTTACTCAATTGACAGAGATTATCTGATTAATACTGGACATTTCTGGCTTTGGGACTTAATGATCATTACGTTAAGTGTGTAAAACAATTGCATTAAAAAGCTCTGGTTAGCTAGGTATCTGCTTTTATACAGGACAATGACACAGACACATTGTGGTGGTTACTGTAAGAAGATGTTTATGCAGACTCAGCACTATGCAGGCTGTGTATCAGAAACATGTCTTTAACAGAGGGTGAGAGCATAGGGGCGCGTTCTACGGGTTCTGACATACTTCCTGGGCCAGGTCATGACACCCAGGTATCACACGTGCAAACACACACCCAGATGCAAACACACAAGGGTGGCACATACACAGACGTGCCACACATTCAACAGCAGGGCCTGAAATTTAGGCAGTAAGGATAGCAGCACCTAAGCATGTGCAGAGTCTATTCCTCTGCTCACCAACAGCTGCAACCTGTGCCCACATGCTTAGGGTTAAACGGCACAGATTCCAAAGCAGATGGCCTCACTTTTTTTAGAGAGAGGAAAAAAGAAAAAGAAAAGAAACCACTAACTTCAAGCATGGATTCAAGATTATCAGTTACCTCTTTTAGGCCTGAGCTGAAGTTCCCTTAGATTCAGATTGCCCCTCTCCCTGCAGCCAGGATTAAAGCAGCAAATCAGAGCAGCTTTAGTCCACTCACAATTACTCTCTCCCCACAATTCATAGATAGCCCTGTTCTGCTCCCATCTCCCTTGCCTGCCCACCCACAACCCGGAAGGCTCCCACCTGCAACATGAGGAGAGATTATCGAAACCTCAGGCACACTAATCAGACCACACGCTGTCCATGACCTCTCCTTACCCTTTGGGGGGGGGCAGGGAGCTAGAGAATGAATTTGCAGTGACATTCCCACCTGTGTCAAAGTCACCTAAAATCCACAGCAGATAGATCATTGTTGGGAGAATAGCACATAATTTAATAGACCTCTACCATGTCCCCACTTCCTTTTTGTTTTACTAAACTTAAAAAGCCACAAATGTTGTAACCTTAGAGCCAACTAAAGAGCTGTAGACTGATGAGCAGGAGACGGAGTAAGTAAACAGTGATGTTATAATCCTGCTCTCAGCTGCATGCAGGACGTTTCCAAACTTTCCACTGTTGCGAGTACATTTTCTTGGAAACAGTCATAACTACAGCAAAAAGTGTTACGTACTGAAGTTCTCACCCTGGGCCAGCAGGGGGGGATACTGTAGATAGTTTTCACTCAGGTCCGCATATGCTAATAAGGAATTGAAAGTGACCTTCAGGGATTGGATAGTTACAGAAAGTTGTTACATTTACATTGTATTGGAGCTCTATATAAGCAGACTGGCTGAACCCTTCAGCCCTGTTCGGTTCTGGCCTGTGAATAAACGAGAGCTGTTTGAAGAATCGCTGTGTTGTCTGATATGTTCACCCACAACTTAACAAAAAGCCTCTTTTTTTGTCTTCCCCTTTGGTAGGCATAGAAGAGCCAGGCATAGAAAAGCATACTTTGGGACATGAATGTTATTTGCTTGTGCTTATTTTAACTACTTGATATATTTTGCTGAATATCGGTTATGCTTCTGTCTCATAATTTATGGAAGTGTGTTGCTCGGTCACAGTGAGTAGTGTGAACATTCTGGGGGGAGGGAAGAGTCAGAATGCTTGGTAGCAATGGGAAATACACAGCACTCAAACACGCCAAAGTGAACACTGCTGCTTTGCTAACTTCACTACCAGGATTGACAAATACAAACATCTGGGAACAGTTACTGGGATTGGGAAATACCAGCTTATGCAACATTCCTGTGATTTACAGGAAGCATGACCTTTGCACTTTCCTTGTATGCGGAAGAAATAACTTGTTAGCTAACTTCCTCCTGTAGAAGTAAGTGTGCCGAGAAGTTTCTTTCCAGACACCAGACTGAGTCATGGTGCGAAGAGTGGCAATTGTTGGAGCAGGTGTGAGTGGACTGGCCTCCATCAAATGCTGCCTGGATGAAGGGCTGGAGCCAACCTGCTTTGAGAAGAGCGATGGCATCGGAGGACTGTGGCAATTCACAGTAAGTGGCATAAACTCAATTTAGAGCTTTAAAGAAAGTGATGGCATTCTGCTGCTGGAATGTATGCCCAAAGCCAGGCAAGAGATAGTGGCCTTGCCTCAAAGTGGGTACAGGTGTGCATCACTAGTGTGGTAAACCTGCTGTGGAAGCATGTTTCCACGTTTTGTTTTGACATTAGGCTTTTCATACCCTCCACCTGTGTAGACTGACCATGTGGGGAAACTGGACTGCACGCACAGTTCCCACCTTTCATTTACATGCATTCATCTGAAGGTCAGAACAGAGAGTGCTGGTAAGTTACTTTCCACGCAGCTGGGAACTCTGTAAAAGAATAGTTGTACTTGCGTAAGTTCTATTGAACCCTGAATGTATAAATTAGGGGCAAGAGCCGTCTGAATAACCCTGCTTCCTCCCCCACCCAAGCTTCATTCAGCTACACATTTTGAATGCATGAAAATGCATGTACAATCTTTTGTTCTCCACCAGAATCAGAGGAATTCTGTTTTGTGCTTCCTTTCAGCAGACACTGGCTTTGCAAAGTCCTAACAAGTTGGAATAGAGGTTATATTTTCGGAGAATCCTCTGGAAAAACAATCTCTCAAAGGACCTGTTGATGGCATTTTACCACTACACTGTGGAGAGCGTATTAACTTATGGTCTGTGTGTGTGGTTTGGGAGTTGCAGGGTCAGGGAAAAAACAATGCTATCCAGGGTTGTAAAGACTGCAGAGAGAATAATTGGGTGCACTCTTCCCACCTTAGATCAAATCTATGCTGCCAGGTGCCATAAGAAAGTGGCAGAGATAGCGCAGGACAGTACGCACCCTGGAAATGATCTCTTTCAGCTTCTGCCTTCTGGAAGAAGGTACAGTATA